ACGCCCGAACAGACATCAACCTGCCAGGACATTGCCCGCATGGTTTCAGTAGTCTTCTCTGGAAAGCCTTGCATCGTCCAGCTCTCCCGAAGGTCAATATCGCCGAGCTCATCAACGAGCTGCGCTGCCAACGAGCTTACAAGGACATCGACCGAGCCTATCTTGAGGAACCGAGGGGCTTCTACTAGCTCCACGTTGTCAGCCAAGGTGGTTTCACAGCACCCTCCCCGGTCCAGCAGCATCATGTCTCCCATTAGCTTTGACGGAGGCTCGCCCTCGTTCCTCAACATTGATCCTTTCGCGGCAAAGGCGGAGCCAGAAGAGCCAGAACCCCAGCTCCGCAAGACGGCGCAGATGTTCAAGAGGACGCTCAGCCTGGTCAGGAAGCGTAGCAGGCCTAACCTGAACCAGTCGGCATCCCTGTCTCGAGAGGCTCTGTCAATACAGACGGCCCCCATGGAGCAGGTTGGAGAGGACAAGGAGGAGAACCACACCAGCACTCCCCGAAACGCAACATCAATACCGCCCTCAATCTACCAGGACGTGATGGCCTCAAGGAGGGCCAGCAGCTACTCAGGCACGACAATGTCGCCTGCCAGCGATGCATCGTCACCCATGTCACCGACAAAGCGAATTCGCCAGGGCTTCTTGACTCGGCGGCGAAGCATCAGAGCATGAGCCCTATACACCGCTCCCATTCTATTCATTCTCTCTTTCCGCCTCGACTTTTTCTTCTGCAATACTGGATCTACATTCTATTTGTTTTCATGAATGATCCAGCCAACGACAGCTGGCCTCTACTTTCTTCACTCATGCGAGTTTTGTGACGACGGTGTTGGAATCTTCTCCCTTTTCTGCTCTTTTTCTTTCGACTTGGGTTTTTTTTATAGGCGGCGCAGTTTTATATGGCATAACAAAAAAATGGGGGCACATTGCACGGAGCGGCGTTTTTACATGGGAATACATGCGAAGAGCTCGTCATGTGAATATGACGCTCTTGGGGAGGCTTTGCATTGCCTCGATATGGCGTTTTTTCTTCTTTTCTTTCTTTGGGACAAGAGAGCCGCGATGACATCCGCTGGCAAACACGTGTTTTTTTGTTATTTCGCTTTAGCTACGCAAGTAGTCATGATGCTTACCAATGAAGAAATTCCTTGGACCTCGTTTTGAACCAATTGTTAGCCAATTTTGCCACGTGACGTTTTGTGTGCTGAATATTGTACAGTATTGTTGCCTTTGTTGCCGCGGTGAATTGGGGCTCTACTTCCACATGCTTCTACACCGACGTTGTGGTTGCAAGGGTCCATGAGCTGATAGGCAGAACTCCTGCATCAAGATCCCTGGCAGCGAGGCGGTCTGCCATGAACACGGTGTACAAGAGCCGCTTTTTATTCCCGTTGAAGATGATGCTTAACCCAGAGCGAACAAGATGGGTGAATGCGTGCATGCTTGGTACCTACTTGTCGTGGAATGCTCCATACGAGTACTCCGTACATTGACGTCGATGACTGTATACAGTACAGCAGATGGATGCCCAGAGTGGGGATTTGCACCTGATGAAGATGACGATTCTGGTAGACTATTGGACTATACAGTTTTGATAATACCAAGTGGTTTTTGCTTTTGGATCGAATGGCGGGAGTGTAGTGGATTTGCATTCGCGAGCGAACGGCCTATGAGAAACCCCAATGCAGAATTCGCCACATAAAAGACAAAGGTGAGTGCTCACGAGGTAAAAAGGGTAAAGGCGGCCCTTGATGTTTGACTTTTGGTTGGGTGGTTTTTTTTCTTCTTTGTTTGCTTCCCGCTGTGGAGTTGAAGATGTGTTGTACATGCAGAGGTATGGAGTAGTATTAGTGCCGACATGTTTTTTAGTCGCTTGGGGCTAATGTGCTATTACTGTACGAGTACTGGAATCGGATGCTGGTTGTGCTGGACTTGGGTTAGTAACTTTGATTTTGCTGTGTGAAGAAGATCGGTGTGTTTGTTTGGTGGTGTTGAGAGCGTCCGTTTTGGTCGGGATGGGATATTACTGGCGGGTTTTTGGTTTGTGAGCATCTACCTATCTACCTAGGTCCCTATGAACATACATACTGTACAAGAGAGGTAAGAATCAAGGTGTATTACACAATAACAGGGCAAAAGATTTGAATAGATATCGGAGAATGCGGACCGACGAGATCATCCTTGCTGTCATCTATCTGTTCTGTACCTGAGCGTTCGCTGCACACACTCCGTGCTCCTGCGTCCGATTATTCTCTTTCTGTCCCTTTCCTTTCCTTTCTATTTTCCTATTTCTGCTTCATCATTTTTTATTTTTATTCTGTTTGACCGACCGCATGTACATACGAGGTCCCCCGTACCGTACATACATATACCCGCAGGGCAGGGCAAGGTATGTGCGCAATCTGCAATCCGTGCCCACGTCTGCTTCTGGAGACGGCCATGTGCTGCTGCTTACAAGTGCATGATACGTGCTACTTACTGTACGGAGTACGTGATACGGGCAGCTCAGGAGCAAGACAGAGCAAGGGTTTCAGGGCAAGGGACTGTATTACAGGTACGAGTATGTGCGTGTGTGTGTATGTGCGCGCGCTTGTACGAGGGTTGACTTGTTTTGTTTTTTTCTGATAACGAGACGGGTTTGGGGCTGTGCTGTGCTGTATTTTGTGCAAACGGACGTTGTTCTCTTGTTTCGCGTCCGTGTTGCGGCCCTCTGTCTCAGCCGGAGAGGGCGATGCGGGCCAAGATACGGAGGCGCGTGTGTGTTGTATATCGGGATGCGCCGGTGTTGGTGACGGATAGTTACTCGTATACGGAGTTGCCTCCTGATGATAATAATAGTATAGTAGTAATAGTAATACGAGTACTCGTACAAGAATACCAGGAGTGTCCAAAATGGAATTGGCCTGAAAGTACTGCTTCATCCAATGTCTTTCATGCTTTCGGCTGACAAGTAATAAATAACACAAAGGTGTCTCTCAGCTCATGTGAAACAAAGGCGACGCGCTGGCATTTCAGGATTAGAGACGGAATAGTACGGAATAGTACATTGAACGGGTATCTATACTGCACGCACTCGGCCGAACTGGACCAGACAAGAGGTCCATGCTTTGGTACAGTACAATAATACAGCACAGTACAGTACAGTTAATAGGTAGGCGATACGAGAGCTTGTAGCTGTAGGGGGGCTGCTTGCAACTTCAGAGTGCGACACTGTCTGGGACAAATCACGATGCTGCGTGCCTCGTTCGCAGATCATCGCGATGCAAGCAAGCCCGCTGTTTTGCTTCAATTGCATCCGCCACATGTCATCAATCACATCAGGCGGTACAGCCATCGGTTCATGCTCAACAGCATCACGCGCCTAAAGCACCAAAAACCATCCATCCACACAAAGCAAAAAACAAAGAGAGTGAAGCAGAAAAAGACACAAAAAGTGATGAACCCCAGTGCTCCACCTCCAAGCATCGCGCTTGACAGCACATCAAAAACTATAACCCGCAAGCGACAGCAGGACATCCCAACCAAACAAAGAAAAGGGAAGAAAAGAAAGAAAAACCGGCTGCACTGTGAGATACATGACATGGTTACCCCCCCCCTGAGAACTACGCCCATGATCGCTCAGGTCGAACGTAAAAAAAAAAAAAAAAACGACGAACGAGAGACAAAAGCTAGAAGCGACCTACCGAAATTAGCTTGGGCCCCACATGAGCTTTTTCTGCTTGTCAGGGGTTTTAAATTCTGTCAAGCTGCGCTGCACATGTATCCTGTGTTGTTTTCGTGGGAAAAAGAGAGTCAATGCAGAAATGGGATCGTCTGGGTGCAATTTCCACCGAGATTGAGACATGATGCTCGCAATACAAGTTAGCACTAGATACAAAGGTTAGATGACTATTACCAGTATAACTAAAACAAAACCCACAGAGCACTACAGTATATCCCCCCTCACGTGTCAAAAATACGGTGTATGCACAGAAGCCTCACAGAAGCCTCACCGCATCCCATCCCGTCCCGTCCCCCCCAACCAAACCCTCTCAGCCTCTCCCAACTCAACTCGTATCTTGCCACGAACCCCCATGTCCCTCATCCCCCCAACCCCTGCTCTCTCACTAAAATCCTGCTTTAGCCTCTCTCTTTCTCTTCATGAGTCTTCAATCCCCATCGCTTGCCGGCCTCCCCCCCCCTGCCTGACGCCATCTCGCCTTAGCAACCCGCTCTAACCCCGATTTCTTCTCGCCGTGGCCCGTTGCTGCGCAGACGCGGAACAGCTTTTCATCTTCCCAGTTCACGCTAATGACAGACGAAAAAAAAACACACTGAAGAAAAATCGCCGGCCGAATCTTGCATCACCGCCTTTTTTTTTGTTCCACTGTGAAAAATCTGCCCCAGGGGGAACACGGACAAGAGGCTCCATTTTCGCTTCTTCTCGCTTCGGAGTGGGCATCTCATATCCATATCCCATACTATTAGATTTGAACCCCCCTGCTCAGCAGAAAAGACCAAAAAAACACACGCAACAAACGCATGATTCTCATTCGACCATTCAGCCATGCTTGCACGGTTTCCCTCGTATGACGGCGCCATCTGGTGCTCGTCGCCCTCGCCATGATCGATTGTATCTCCTGTCAATCGACCCTCTCCCCAGGTACTCGGAAATGATGCTGTAACCCTGCCCTTAACTCGGTTAGAGAAATCTCATCACAATCACTGTGAATCACTGTAAGAGACAATCCAATCTCTTTCACAATTAGTGCATACTGTACTCCGTACGCACGACACATTCATGTAATTGGAGATCCACCGCTAAACTCAGCCTCAACACCAGTGCCGCGCTAAACAGATCGCCATCTTATCTCCAAACCCCATCGCGCCATGTCTGGACTGCAAAACTGGGGCACGTGTCTTTCATGTCGTGGAGGCTCTTCATGGGCATCTCGGAGCACAGTGTTTCAGCAGAGCACGTGGGCAAACACCATACTACAAGCAAAAATCATAGTACCAAGATAGTATGTATTCATCATTCAACATGCAACATACGTACAGGTATTTTCTCTCCCCCTTTGATCAAATCGGCAATTGATCCGAAGCCTACATCTCTCCACTCTCGTCGACGTGTCCCCTGATCGAAAGGATTTCCTTTCCGCTCTTCTTTCTTTTTTTTCTTCTTTCTTTTCTGTTTCACATTTACCCAATCTGTTTGCTTCCAATGGACCTCGGTCGTAAGAGTGGAAGAAACAACAAAACAGATATCAAAGATTTGACACACAAAAATTCACTGTCAAAACTGTCCTTGATCCGAAACAATGCTGGCTCTGGACGCATGTTGCTCATGGGGAAAACGCCTCATTTTGCTCTTTTTTTTCTTTCTTTTTTTCTTTAGTTAGTACCGTTGAGGGTGGCCTGGGTCTCCGGGCTGATATCACTGGGCTGCTTTGTTCGAAGCGTCAACGAGAAGGGATATTCTTCGGGGTCCTCCTCCTCACTAAGTCCAACGTGTTAGCCTTGCACTAATATCACTGTAAAATCATGCAAACGCTGTAAAATACTTACGGCAGCTTCCAGGCGACGTAATCCTCCGTGCTCAAGCCTTCTCGTCCCTCCTGCAAGCTGGCAAAGTCTCCAGGGGTCATCATGCCAGTCCGATCGCGAGGCGAGCCAGGGACGGAGAATGGCCTGGAGATCTTCTGCTCTGGTCCGCGGATAAAGTCTTCCAGCTCCTCTTCCTCTTCATCTCCATTGAATGAGTTGGGGTAGGCTCGTCGGAGGGCGAGCTGGCGGGCCTTGATGTACTCCATGCCCATGCGCTTCCAGTCAAGCAGGTCGCTGAGCCGCTCAGTACGGTTTCTCTGGTTAATACGTTGACGACGGCTCTTGCCGCAGTAGTCAAACATGAAGGAGCTCAGTTGGTTCACAGAGTCCTCGACTCCCTTCATTCTCCGGTCCACAATGTAGATACCGTAGTCGCTGGAGTTCTCAATGAGCTCCTCCATATAGCACCCGAAGCCAGAGAGGTTGGTAGTGATGCTGGGGACACCCATGACAGTGCACTCAGCTGGGGTGTAGCCCCACGGCTCATAGTATGATGGGAAAACACCCATGTGGCAGCCACGCACAAAGTCATCATAGTCCAAGGGCAGCACGGGGTTGGCCGAGTTCAAAAACTCTGGGTGGAACACGACCTTGACACGGTCTGACGGGTGATTGAACAGCTGCACCCGGCGAATCTGGTTCAGCACGGGGTCTTCGCTGTCGTTGAGCATGTTGTGAGTCACAATCGGTGGAAGGCCATGGCGCTTCATGGCAAAGAGACGTCGGCGCAGGAGAACGCGATCCTGGCCGGAAATGAGCTCCTTCTCATCCGGCATCGGGTCGCCCTCGTGCCACTTGAGGGACCGCTCAAAGATACGACGGCCAATGGCCTGCTCAATGATGTTGGTGGTATCCTTCAGGGACTTGATAACAGCCTGGCCCTTGAGAGCCTCGACCGTCAGTGATGTGGTCTGAGCAGGCATGATGATGAAGGCAACAACAGTCATCTTGCTGTTGGACGCCTTGAGCCGGTGGTTGAGTCGCGCAAGAGATTCGATGAACATGTCAACTCCCTTATTCCTGAATTCGTAGCGCCCGGCAGTGAAGAAGTACAGTGTGTTTTCTGGCTCAAAGTCGTAGTGGCCATAGAAGTGGCCTCTGACGAAGTCGTGGATCTTCTCCTTGGCCTGCTGATGCAGATTTTGGAACTCGTGAACCGCCGAGAACTTGGTAACATTGAGACCGTTGGGCAAGACGCCATCAGGCTTTCGCTTCAGGAGATGCTCTGATTCGAAAGCCGTGATGTGGGAGACTGTTGTAAAGACGTCGCACGAATGGGCAGCAGCTCGTTCAATGCAATACCGGTGGTAGATACCGCGCTTTCCCGCCTCGGCATCGACATCAAAGAACTGGAGGTTGTTGTAGAAATCAACCGAGCCGGCACAGAGATATCGTCCCAGAAGAGTGGCATGAGTCGTGAAGATGGTCGTAACATCAATTCGCCTCTTCTTGGTAAGGGGAAGAGCAACACCGGCCAGCCATTCGTGGAAGTGGGCAATGACGGCCTTTTCCTTTTCGTGGCATACAAACTACTTGCATGTTAGCGGCAGCCAATTAAAAGCTGAGAAGAAGAGACAAGGAAAGCCAATGGCAACTTCATCAAGGGGGGTTGGGGCAGCGACGGATGCTTACCTCTCCAAGGAACCACGCCACCAGATAACCAAAGACCACAGCCTCATTGGTCTCTTCGTCATCAGGTGGAGACGGAATGCTGGCTACTGACCAGAGGTCCGACTTCCACTCGTTGACGAAGTTGTAAGCCGTCTTGGTATCAATCAAGAGAACCCTGGGGGCTCCCTCAATGAGCCATCGGCCGTAGAGCATGCCAATTCCGCGATCCTTCATGGTCTGCATGGTGGCGGCCAGCTCCTTATTGGTGGGCTCCATCTCTTCGACCTCGACTGCGGCCTGTTTCCCGTCAGTTGGTGCCCAATTTTGAGCTATTAATTAATTCTTGCAAGGTAGTGGGCGCACCGATTGGTGGTTGAGGGGACCGATAAGGGTGTATCGATCGCCATATTCAGCCGTAGTCACTGGAGCCTTGGACTTGAGAACCGAGTAGATACCACCGACTGTGAGGCAATAAACAAGTTAGCTCTTGATCTGGCTGACATTGGGCAGGAACGGGCGCAGAGGCCGTGGTGACATAATCGCAGAGGGTTGGGGTGAGACTCGCCTCGATGAGCTACTTCCGTAGCAATCTCAAAGAGAAGGTGGTTCTTGATATCACGGACAGGGTTTCCGTCGGAGGCCATGTCGTCGTTCTGGACTGTAAAGTGTCACGAGAGGTTGTTGTTTGACCCTTGGGGAAGAGCTCCGGCGAAGAGGCCTGTGCCACGGGCCGACAATCCAGATGACGTAGGTATTAGGGCTGCGTAAGGGCCGCACAAGCTAGAAAGGCTGAGTTTTGTAAGCTTTTGGTCTTTTAAAAAGCATTAGAAGGGGAGAGGACGAACTGAATGTGCCTGTGGCTATCAAGGGAGGCGAAGAAAAAAACTTTTGGTTAGTTAGGCCGAATTTCGGTGCGAGATATTGTGGTGTGATGAGTTACCTAGTACTAGTAGAGCTCTGGTTGAGGTGGCGTCGGAGCTTAGACGAGTCTCTGCTGTTGTAAGTGTCGAGTGAGCGCGGGCGGCGAGGCAAACAATGGCTGGGCCGTGAAACTGGGCAACAGGCTCTGTAGGGTCCAAGGACTGCGGAAGCTGAATCTGAGGCCTTGGGATGAGCAGAACAGAGTCAGGCCGAGAGGGGGAGAAGAAACTTGATGAGGGACTTGGACTGAAGCTTTGGAGGGGTGCAACATAGAAAGTGGGGACCTCTCGAGGTGGTGGGTCTGGGGTTGCGGATAGCGCAATGCTAGTCCAGAGGGCCAAACCACTAACAGCTGTTACCGCGCTGTGTGTTCATGTATCATGTATGCGATTTGTATCTGCATTGACACATGCGCATCACCGGCAGAAGGCGTCTGGAACGAGGTTGTCAGCTTACCTAAGGGACTGACTTGTGCTGTGTGGTAGTACAGAGTACATAGTACATGCACGGGATTATCATTTGTGCTCTTCATCTTCATTCGCTCTACCCCATACTATTTTTTTGGTTCCTTGTCTAAACTCATCTTTTACCTTTCCCTGGGCTTGCATGGTTCCCCGGGCCGCTACGCAGCGCCTCTCAGCGTCATCACCCGCAAGCCAGAGCCGCTGACGTCCCCCCTCTCGACTGGCAGAAGCAAAGACCTCCATGTCCCTGCATAACAAATCATCCTCTCTCCAATCCAGCGGGTCGACGCAAGCCAACCGCGGGAGGTGAGGTGCCAAACTGGCCTCGTGCACTACCTTAGCAGTGTGGGGATGACGCCATGGATTGCGGGGGAGCTGATCGAGGGAAAGTGATGAGAGAAGCGGATTGGCTGGTGTTTTGCATCTGGACGGACATTTGCCATGGATATCTTGGACTCTGCCACGAGTTATTCCATGCTGCCGGTCCCCAATGGGGGAGGAGCCATGCCCGAGATGCATCTCCTCCACACCCCGGTGCCGCAACCTGTGGTTGATTGCAGCTTGGATGATATTCGATGCTCAATTGCAAGATAGTGACGCCAAACCGCATTTCAATGACAGGGATTCACATCATTTGTGTACGCCCAAGCATTGCCTGCCCCATGGACTCGCTTTGAACCTCCAGAGATGACGTATGGTTCTTATCAACGACGCTCTGATTGTGTTAGTTGGGTATGCATGGGAGGGCCAGTCTATCTCTAGTGGGGATGTCTTTATCATGATTGTCTCCCAGAGAACAAGGATAAGTGATCCGAAGCGGCTAAAACAACCTGACGGTCCACAGATTATTCTCAGCTACTTTCTGACTACTAGTCGGACATCTGTCTCGACTCCATGTGTTTTGGCATCTTAGAGCATCAATTAGGCGGTCTAGATGCAGGTTAGTGTGCATTAGGTCGCTTGTTCAGCCTTGCGCCATATTGCCTCTGATTGGCCACTGGCTTCAGCAGCGCACCCCGCAGTGGATCCGCTACTCACAAGGCTGCACTGCATTTTCCAAATTTTTTTGAGATTTCTCTAGCCTGCATGCGCAAAACCAGCCCGTTGCCAGCAACTCGCACCACAGTGACGATTCAGCGAGTACGGTCCTCCTGTCAACTAAAATAACAAGGCCATCTATATTGCTGATTCGCCAGTATTTAAGCGTATCAATTAATTCTTCTTTTTACTACAATGGACGCCTCATCTGCCCAGGTGAAGGTCGTCTTCACCACCAACGAGGAAGACCTCGTCCTCCCAGAGTCCAAGAGACAACTGCTCGTGCCAGCAGGTAAGTCCCCTCGCCAGATTTTTACCCCCTGATTTTACAAATTGATAAAAGGACGAGCCTTGTTAACATGCCCTAGATATCAAGCGCTATGGCCTCTCTCGCATCTTAAACTCCGAGTCGATGCTGGACACTTCATCGCCAGTCCCTCTCGATTTCCTCGCCAACGGCACCTTTCTGAAAACGAGCATTGAAGAATACCTCAAGTCAAACGGCCTGTCTCAGGAAACAACATTGACTCTGCAATACGTTCGCAGTCTTCTCCCTCCCGTCTACGAAGCCAGCTTTGAGCACGACGATTGGGTTAGCGGCGTTGATGTCCTGTCATCGACTTCGCCCGCTGGTCTGCTTGCTGGAGATGCTGCCGTGAATGAGCGGGTTGCCAGTGCCTCTTATGATGGGCTTGTGAGGATCTGGAATCCCTCCGGAACGGCAATTGCCGTCTCTGCTGGTGGTAAAGGCGAAGGACACACCCAGCGCATCAACGCTGTGCGATGGCTGTCACCGACTCAGCTGGCGTCGGCTGGTTTGGACCGAAAAGTCGTCGTCTGGGATTACAAGGAAGCAGATGATGGCTTCTCCGGAACCCTCAAGCCCAACATGGAACTTTGGGGCCACGGCAAGAACATCAACAGCATTGATGTCAACGGTTCCACCCGTCGCATCCTGACAGCCTCCTCGGACGGTCGCGTTGGCTTGTGGTCCGCCTCCAAGAGGACGGCGCCCCAGGCCGACCCCGAATCACTCCCCTCAGCCCACAGCACCAAGCGAGCCAAGCTGTCCAACGCCGGCTCTACCGCTCAGCGTGGACCCCTTGCAATGATTCCTCTGCACGACGAGGCCGTCACTGCCGCCGTCTTCCATCCCAAGGACTCGACCGTCGCCTACTCTGCGTCCTTGGACCACACGGTCAAGACGATCGATCTTACAACACAGCGAGAGGTGTCTCGCCTAACCACTATGCACCCCATTCTTTGCGCAACGGCACTGCCCGGTGCATCGCTGGTGGCCGCTGGTTCTTCGGCACGACACATCACCCTGCTGGACCCTAGGGAGTCTGCTGCCGCAACCGCCGCCATGACCCTCCGAGGCCACGTCAACATGGTTGTTTCGGTGGCTCCCTCCCCGGAAAACGACTACTCGCTGGTTTCTGGCTCACACGACAGTACGTGCCGCGTCTGGGATCTGCGTAGCGTCCGGCTCGCGTCGTCCGAAGAGGGCGGCGGCAGCGTTAGCGAACCAGTCTACACCATCGGAAGAGAGTGGTTGAAGGGCAAGAAGCTGCCTCCTGCTGGAGACGGCGCCAAGGTGTTGAGCGTGGTGTGGGACAAGACATGGGGAATCGTGAGCGGAGGAGAGGACAAGAAGGTTCAAATCAATCGGGGCAACGGGCTGCTGGCTTCATAGATGTAAATTTCCTTAGAATCGTGTCTCAAATTTGAATATACCAAGGCTACAATATTAATCTACACGCTAAGTCTATCCGTTGCTACTTCTTGTCTTGTTGCATTTCCGTTTGCTTCGTTTCCTCGTTGTCTCGCTTCAGCTCTTTTACTGCTTTTGAACACTCTTGAACGAAGGACCTAAACTTGTACATGTACGGCTTCTCAAGGTCTATATGGCACACCACTTCCTTGTGTAGTCTGGGTGCAGGATAGGGAAGCTTCTCCGTCTGTATCGCATCTACAATATACGCCGCAACAGTGGTAGTTAGCAGCGGTGGGTCTCTTAAGAGCGCAGCGATATCGGCAGGACAAAGGTCTTCATTCCGATACCAGATGTAGTACGCCCTGAGGCGGACAGGGGTTGTGATCGGCCAAGTCGCATTGGCAGCAGTATAGGCCTCGTTATATGCCTTCATTTCTGCCTCGGCCGCAATGATCCGCGCGTCTCTATTGTCTTGGGCCTTTGGCGGGCGTGGTCTCGATCTTGCCTTTGCAGGCTTTGGGGCCGATTCGCCCGAGGCTGAAGCTTCTGTGGCTGGAATCTTCGATAAGGAAGTTTCTGGTGATTGAGTTTTGGGTTTGCGATCTCTAGGCTTGGGAGCTCTAGGTTTAGGTATGGAAGCCGTTGCATCTGTAGAAGTTGTTGCTGTCGGATCTATTACTGCAGTAGCATCCTCGTCGTCTTTTTTCTCAACAACTGGAGGAGCTGGAGGTTCAGGAAGTGGAATAGGTAGTCGCAGTTCCGCGTGATGTGGTCTAGGAGGGCAAGGGACGAGCGCCTTTCGTTTCTCCTCAAGTACATAATAAAGCTGAAGGCCGGCATAGGCATCCGACGCCGCATCTGCAACCGATTAGCCATGTGTATTCAACGGAATATTTACTCAACGAGCATATTAGTTTCGCCTTACAGTCAATTTGCTGAGTGCTCAGCCGTCTCATCCAATTCCCTGTTCGGACCATCTGTCCCTTGTACAAAGGAAGCAGTAACTGGTCTTCAACTTGGGTGGCCAGAGACACCAGTCCTTTGTGAACTAGGTTAGGCTGCTCTGGCAGAAACTTGACGACTCTGTAGAGATGGCTCAACTCAAAGATACCCCGAACAGTGACGCCGAGGTGGTTTTTGAGGCGCGTGCAATCCGGTACAATGTTGACGCCGACTTTGCTCACATTGGGATTATCCATGATCTTGCGAAATGATGGTCCCAGAAGGTCCTCCTTATCTGAGAACACTGCGACATGGATCAAGGCAATGCGGCTGGGGCTTGCAATCTGGATCAGAGACACGTTTTGTCGAGCTCCGTCCGTCCGCTTTGCGAACTTCATCCACTCCAGATCAAGCCCGATGACATCTTCGTTTAGGAAATACTCCTTGCAGACACGCTCGGTGGTGGCCTTGCTCTCACAATAATGCACCTTAACATTATCGATCTTCCCATTCTCACCAGTTCGATGGTACATGTTATATGACCAGTGAGCTTCGGGGGTGCCAGGAACGGCGGCACGAGCAGCAAGAAACTCCTTTTTGGAGATGTTGAACTCTAGTGGAGTGAACGGTGGCTCGACAATCTTCTTCTTTTCATCTCCAGGCGCCGCAACGCTCTCTTTTGGGCTGGTATCTTCTGAGATGGGCGCGCCATTTGGATCTGGGAGAGCAATGGGCGCTCGCGGAGGACTCGTTGGGCGAGGTGGAAGAGATATGGGCGGCCGATCAAGGCCTCTTGAGCGTGGAACTGACGACAATGGATCTTGGGCAACATCTGTCGAGTATATGCCTATTTGAGCTGGATTTACGGGGCTGTCGGTGCGACCCTCATCACCGCCTAGAGCAGAAGTATGAAGAGACGAAGTAGTGGCCGGCTCTGGACGCAAATTCGCAAGCGGTCCAAAGCGCACGCCGAGCTGGGAGCTCCAGAGTTGGCTCGAATGATGGTAGCTCATAGCTCTGACCAAGGAACCTCTGCAGGAACCGAGTACTTGAGCAGACAGACATGAATGCATGCCTGCTGTGGAGGAGGCCGCGTTAAGTAGAACCGGCTATCTGTACGAGCACATGTACAGCGACCTCCGCAGTTGGACAGCACATGAGCAGGGCCTCGTTCAGCAGTTCCAAATGCTCCGAACAGGCCATTAGGATCGCACGGCAGGCACCAGGGAGGGCTCGAGGGAACCGGGGAGCTGAGTCTGCGAATAATGATGATTGGCCGCCGAGGCAGCCATCATGTCTCAGCGCGCTTAGGTGCAGTTTGGAGGACAAGGGACAAACGGACTTGGAGGCCGAGCTGCACTTAGTCAGCATCGCGACAATGTGGGGGCCAGGCATTTTGCGTTGTCCTGCTCTGCTCTGCTTAGCGCCACCAGCCCACCAGACTTGCTGGGAACGACTTCAAACTGAGAGAGAGAGCTTAGGCTGGATCCGTCTTCTACAAGGGTCCGTCGAAATCTGAGCTTGCGGGAGTCCTCTTTCCATACATCTGCTGTCGGATATTACCTTTGCCGCATCGAAAGCGCAATAGGCGAAACCCTTTCCAAGATGGCGTCACAACTGCTACCCCTCGGTGAGCTCATCTGCTTCAGGCCCTTGTGCACATTCTTTGAGCTCTGGTTGCAGCATCTGACACTTCGCTTCAGAACTCATCGACAAGTGTGTCGGATCAAAGATATGGGTCGTCATGAAAGGAGATAAAGGTAAGAACACTAGGCCGGCCCTGTTTCAACCCTGCGCTTCAACATTTAACACTTTGGGCAGAGTTCAGCGGCACGCTCCTGGGCTTCGACGACTATGTCAGTAAGTAGACGCGTTTTTGAACAGGAGCATGAAACTTCATCTGACGGTATTCAAGACATGGTGTTGGAGGATGTGACGGAATTGTGAGTCTCTACTGGTATTCTCTCTGGGGTTGATGTTGACCACGACTGCACAGCGATTACTCTGGAAACCACACAAAGCTTCCCAAAATTCTGCTCAACGGCAACAATATCTGCATGGTATAGCCAATAGCTCCCAGCCTGGTGATGCGTGGATAGGCTAACACAATTCCGCAGCTGATTCCCGGGGGAGAAGGGCCAGTTGGCGCCGCGGCTTGAGGAGCTCAAGTCTCACTGATATGTCAAGTACATCCCAGTTCATTGCAACAAATGTCACGCCTTGACGGCTTATTATGCGTATGTCACGCATCCTACGACAGAGATGCTACCTAGTAGGATCTGGCAACAGTGGAAGGCTACTTTCCGATTGTTGAAGGACGGCCAGTTTCGAAACTGGTCTGCATTGTCCCCGCACGCACACTCTCTGTTAAATTAACATAAATTTAAATTCATTTCCCCTGGTCCAAATGATGCCGAAATGCAAAGCCCAATTTCCTGTTCCTATAACGCCTGTCTATGAGACGAGTTGGTGGGACCCCTTAATGGCCGTTGGCATTCCCTTGGTCTCCAGTGTTGGTGATACGTCTCAACTCCCACTCGCGAGTGAACTCCTGATACAACATCTCGAGCTGGTTGATAAGCTTTTCGCACACTGACGTAAAAACGTCACGAGGTGAAATGGTTCCGTCTGTCTGTACACGGATGTAGAGCTCAGGAACATTAGGGTGAGCAACTGATCATCCTGGTCAGCATGATTAACCTCGACCGCAGGCGAATTCAAGACCTACTCTTATATCCGGCCATGTAGACGTTGGGGTGTGCTTTGATGTGCTCGGCGAGCAGATTGCCCAGGGTGTGGTCCTCCTTCTTCAAAATAAAATCCGAGGTGTTGGACATGCCTGTGAAGAAACGTTAGGTTCCTGTCTCAAGTCCGAGATGTGAACATCAACTACCCACCAGAATAAACCTTCTCCTCAATCTTCTTTTCGCCCTCGCCGAGCAGGAAGAGCTCGAAGCTGATTAAAGATTAGCATACTGTCAATAAACCAAGAAATGAAAGCAGTCCAGAGTTGGGGGAACGCAACGGATTGTCCTGGAGATTGTCATGCTTCGTGTTGCAACCCGCCATTTTCGCTGGTGCCTGGCAAAAGTAACAAAGTGCACGGCGATGATGAAGCGGCGTTCAACAATTGTGAATGGAGATGTGGAAGTGAGAAAAAGGTGAAATACAGGCAGCTGTCAAATTTACAGCGGGTTGTAGAGTAGTTTTGTGGCTTTGGGCAGACGACAAGTATAGATTGAGACTGCAGTAGGCGAAAGGCATTGCTGCTGCTGAGCATGCACTCGCATACAGCAGTCGGCACAATAGGGCTCGAAAAGGCAGTATAGAAGGAGCCATCCGTTCGATTCAATAGCAAATCGGAAGGAAATGGCCTATGCCTTACCCTTGCCTTTTAAGCATCTGCCTTTGTGCATCATGATTCCTAACTTCAGGAGAGCCTTAACCGGATTATGGGATTGACTCTGAAAGAGTAATCAAGTAAAACGGCAACGAAGAGGAATCCAATGGCAAAAGAAAAACAGTAAACTTACCGATCCGGTGCGTTCATCTTGATGGAATAGCTGTATTTGGCTGAAAAGAGCTGATGGTTTACTCAGAGACGCGTTGAATGAAATCTCGTGGCGAGATGCACGACCAGGGGATACCGTCAAGCCGGCCGCGGAAATAGACGTTGATATGTGGCGAGAGAGAATATATCGTGAGCCTCTAGGAACGAATCTTCTCTGACAATCCAAAAAAAAAGTAGATTTCGGGCAAAAGTATGATTCAAAAGGGTTATGTTGACATCGGTTCAAAGATGCTATGAATATCGAATGGTTTGAGAGTGATACCAAAAGAAGAGCGGCGAGTATGGCAGGCAGATCGGCTAAAAGCCGGCTATACTTTAATCCACTGCGAACGCTAAGAAAAGGCAATACAGCGAGTTTTTAAGAGGCAGCGGATACCCCAGCTTTTATAGTCTGCAGATAAAGTCAGAAAAATGGGAAAGAGTTGCCATAATAATAGGTACCTATCTATTATCCATCTTTTGATATAAGCTTTCATTTAACCCTTTGTGCTGTATAGGTAGGTGCAATTCTTAATTGCAAATGCCATGAATTTTGGGCGCATTTAGTACCTATAGACTGTTTTGGCAGCCCGATTTTTAAGCCACAGTTGTCTGGTACCAATATCATGCTGCTATTTTAACTCGAGCAACATCAAGTCAATGTCGCGAATCCCACCATGGCTCTTTCGCAAGGCCAACCGTCGCTCCGCCAACATCGCTGCACTACTCCCGGCATGCAGAGACCTCCAATCTGCTCTGAATGAATTCCGATGGCTTAAGGATCATGTGAACAGCACTACAAGCATCGCCAAAGAGAATTTGCTCTCCAGGTTATGCAAGAAAAGAGGGCAAGGCTATCCTTTGCAATACATCTTAGGATCCCAACCGTTTGGGCCGCTGGATATCAAATGCCGTCCTGGCATCTTGATACCTAGACCTGAGACCGAGGCGTACACTTATCACCTGGCTGACCTGATCAAAGCCCGGAGCCTAAGGGTTGGTGAACCGGGGCAACGCCTCAGTATTGTCGATTTCTGCACAGGAACGGGATGCATACCTCTACTTCTTTATGCTTTGCTTTATCGGCAGTTTGAGCACTTGGAAGTCCTTGGAGTGGACATCTCTACTCAAGCTGTCAGCTTGGCCGGGGACAATATTGCTCATAATGTCAGGCTTGGCCATCTCCCACCTCCTCGGCCAAATCAACTCCTCCATATTATACAGCAGGACATCTTTCAAGATGCAGTCATAGAGAAGCTCCAAGGACGCAACTGGGATGTGATGGTGTCCAATCCACCCTACATATCCCGGCGAACTTGGAATCATGGGGGTGGTCAAATTGGGCACTCCGTTCGCAAATATGAGCCGTCTCTGGCTCTGGTTCCAGGAAACGACATTCCCATTCCTGCAAATTGGGAACACGAAGATGTCTTTTATTCTAGGTTGCTGGATATTGCCCACAATTTAAAGCCAAAGGCGATACTGTTAGAGATTGGCGATGAGATGCAGGCACTTCGGGTTATATCCCGATTTTCCCAGCACAAGCTCTCTACCAATTCACATGTAGAGATTTGGCGAGACTGGCCGGATTTAGCATCAAGTCACGATGAAGAATCTCCGCTGGAAATCACAGTGGATGACGGAACTAGCCAAACTATTATAACCAAGGGCAGCGGCAACATACGATCCATCTTCATCAAACTTGACGCACGGGCTTTTTGACTTACTCTGCTACGGAGTACAGAGCCTTCTTTTGTTAACTCCTTTTGACACTGCTAAGCATAATAATTATACTATGAATGCAAAATCTCAACATGACGAAAGAACTAGACCATCGCAATAAATACATGTAATTATTATTCCATCACTCCGTAGAATCTGGAAGAAGTAGAGCACGGAGTTTCTCTCAAGCGGAACCCCGATCCTCCGAGCCTACCCTGCATCGCTCCGAACTCCGCCACGTGACTCCGTACAAATTTCGGGGTTAATGTGGACCGCCCGCCGGCAGGCTTCAACTTCGTGGTGTCATCTAGACAAGTCCGCAGTGGCGTTGGAACATTGCATTTTTCTCCCAGCGCATGTCTATTTTCACGCAAAGGGACCTCGGAGCCATCAAGCGCAATCCTGCGCAGCGAGTGCGATAATCTTGCACATCTCTCTTGTCATTGACAAAGGACCGGCGGATCCGCCGTAAACCACAAGCCGCCGCCCTCCACCATGTCAAGATATCTTCGTCAGTCGAGCCAGCTCGCGCGGCTGGTGAGATTTTCAAATAGCGTGAGCTTACAGAGAACACAGAGACTCGTCGCCGGTTCGAGCGCAGTCTCTCTCCGAGCATTGCCGACACCATACGGTATTGTCCCGCGATACTACTCCTCCAAACCCCCGCATCACGATGAAAATAAAAACCCCGGTCCAGAGAAGCCGATCAATCACAATGACGCGGGAGCAAAGCCAGAGTCAGAAGGCGGGTCAGAATCACCAAAGGTGCCTCTGCCGCCTTTGCCAGAGGGATGGATTCGCCTGTCCAAAGAGGAGATAACTCAGCTTCAGGCGTTCCAAGAGATGCTCCCCGAGGGCCAGAGGCAGACGTTGAAGGATATCCTGGTGGGGCTTCAGCATACTGGTGCACCGGCCGAAATACGCGAGCTATTACACAAGATGCGCCAGGGACCTGGCAACTTGTCGATTATGGATAAGGGCCGGCTGATGCGATGCGTCTTCATCATGGCTGAACGGGTTGCAGAGTGGGAAATTGAACAGCAGCAGCAAGGGAAGCGAGGCATGTTTGACCAGAATACCCCTGAGATGAGCGACCATAAGGATGGAGAGAAAGGAGCAGACGCTAGTCGATCTCATAAGGCGTCCGGCGAATCACATTCAAATCAACAAGAATCTGGGGGCAAGTCACCCAAGCCTGAAAGAAACTCATGGATGGATGCCCTTCAGACTGGTCTTGTTCTTGGTGTTACGCTTTGGGCAATCGAATCTTTTAGCAGGCCCTTCTCTGAGAAAGAAATTACCTGGCAGGAGTTGCGCAAGGCCTTTTTGGACAAGGGCCTTGTGCAGAAGCTGGTAGTAGTCAATGGGTCTCAAGTGCGCGTGGAACTGCATCCCGATGCTGTCCAAGGAACGACTGATGGATCTGGAGCTAAAAGAACATACATCTTCTCAATTGGATCCGTTGAGTCGTTTGAAAAGAAGCTGGAAGAAGCCCAGGACCAACTGGGCATTCCGCCATCTGAGAGGATACCTGTCAGCTACGAGGCGGGTGGCAGCACTGTTGGCAACCTGGTCCTGGCATTCGGACCAACCCTTCTCTTCATCGGTTTGATCTTGTGGACACAGAGATCTATGAGTGGACGGGCAGGCGGTGCTGGAGGCATGTTCAACTTTGGAAAAAGCAAGGCCAAAAAATTCAACGCCGAGAGTGCTGTCAAGGTTAAATTCAGCGACGTTGCTGGACTGGAGGAAGCGAAGACGGAGATTATGGAGTTTGTCAGCTTCTTGAAGCAGCCCGAGAAGTTTGAGAAGCTGGGCGCAAAGATTCCTCGAGGTGCTATTCTCGCCGGCCCACCAGGAACAGGAAAGACTCTTCTCGCCAAGGCTACTGCTGGAGAGTCCGGTGTGCCTTTCTTCAGCGTGAGCGGATCTGAGTTCGTGGAGATGTTTGTTGGTGTGGGTCCTTCTCGTGTGCGAGACTTGTTCGCCGAAGGTCGAAAGAACGCACCTTGCATTATCTTCATTGACGAAATCGACGCCATCGGTCGTGCCCGAATGGAGAGCGGCCGTGGATTCGGTGGCAACGATGAACGCGAGGCTACACTTAACCAGATTCTTACGGAAATGGACGGGTTCAACACGAGAGAGCAGGTCGTTGTCTTGGCCGGTACCAATCGTGCTGATATACTCGACAAGGCACTGATGCGTCCTGGCCGCTTCGACAGGCACATTTACATCGACCGACCCACCATGAAGGGACGACAAGAAATCTTCCAGGTTTATCTGAAGAAGATTGTCACCAAGGAAGACCACGAACACCTCATCGGCCGACTTGCCACCTTGACCCCTGGCTTCTCCGGTGCAGACATCTCCAACGTGGTTAATGAAGCTGCTCTGATTGGTAAGTCGCTAAACTCTTGGCAAGATATGATGTTTGGGAGATTCAGTACTAACAGTAGATACAGCCGCGAGAGAAAACGCAGACGACGTCAAGATGATACATTTTGAGCGCGCCATTGAGAGAGTCATCGGAGGCTTGGAACGCAAGTCGCTGGTGCTCAGACCAGAGGAAAAGAAAACAGTGGCCTATCACGAGGCCGGTCATGCCATCTGCGGCTGGTTCTTGAAACATGCGGACCCTCTCCTGAAGGTCTCAATTATTCCCCGTGGTCAGGGTGCCCTGGGATATGCGCAATACCTCCCCCAGGATGCTTACCTGATGAACACTAACCAGCTGATGGACCGAATGGCCATGACCATGGGAGGCCGTGTCTCCGAAGAACTACACTTCCCCACAGTAACGACCGGTGCTAGTGATGACTTCAAGAAGGTTTCGCAGATGGCACGCAGCATGGTGACCCAATGGGGCATGTCGGACAAGGTGGGACCTGTACACTTTGATAGTGACCCGAACCGCATGGTAAAGCCGTTTGCCGAGGCCACGGCCCAGCAGATCGACCAAGAGGTCCACCGGATAGTTGAAGAAGCTTACACTCAATGCCGAAACCTTTTGGTGGAGAAGAAGAAGGAAGTCGGGCTGATTGCTGAGGAGCTGCTTAAAAAGGAGGTGCTCTCACGCGACGACATGGTCCGAATCCTTGGCAAGCGACCGTTCGACGACAACGAGGACTTTGAGAAGTTCTTCGGAGGCAAAGAGGCCAGCTCCCCGCCGCCTTTCCCGACCGAGACTGACACACCGAAGGAAGAACCGCCTGCGCCCGCACCCGCCTTCCGGAACTTGTCAGATGACGGAAAGAGGTGATGGCGACGTTGTGTAAGATGACGGATCGCGAGGGGGCATGTACAGTAGGATGGAACAAAGGCAAAGGTCTAGGGCAAATAATCATGGCGGAAATATTGGACCTCATGAAGTGAAAGTATGATGGGGGAACTGCCGGGAACTTGATGACAAGCCCGGATTGGCTGCTACATCTTCGTCAAAGGGGGCGGGAATCAATATCCGCTACCCCGTGGCCGACGATGGTAGCCTGTGTTATTTTTTACGAGTCTCAACTCTACTATGAGCACTGGGGGTGCTAAATCTCCTCTGCATGTACTTATTTATCTTCATATGGGGGAACTAGCGGGTAAGGAAAAGGGTGGCAGGGGCTTATTGAACATTACTGTGTACTCGTATCTGGATTTAGAACTGTAGACGTATTGGTAGGATTAGGAAATCAAGTAGAAGAGCGCTGCTCGGCTCAAAAAAAGAAGAAGGGGATTTGATGATGAATATCGAAGCATAAAGTCTAGAATATGGTGTGATTGCGCAAGGTAGAAAATCCCGACAGTATTAGACTGTGGGTTTACAGAATTACACCACCACAAGCCTCTACTATCATCAAGCAGACGGATATACATATAGACGACGGAGTCCGTGGCACACAAAACGCACGATAAGGCGAATAAAACAATCATTCATTTCCTTGTCGTTGGAGTTTGGAATGTTGGACGAGGATCCCGGGCAGAAGGTGATTGGCTGGAAAAGTTCCTCCCTCTGGCGACGCTAAAACGGGCAACGGTAACACAAAGATGGGCTTTATGGAGCCTCAAAGTGGCGATGCCTTGAATGCAGAGCTCCGAAAGAAGACAAATTTTCGTCCAGGATAACGAGAAAGCATCGTTGTAGAATGCTTGAATTTGCCTATCTTGCCAACGTGCCTGATATTAGGCGAATTTGTGGATTTTGCAAGGCATTCTGCTAGCAGTCACAAGTTAATTAGTAGGTACTTCTAGTATTACATGTACTTTGGCTTTTTCTATAAAGCTACTTAGTTACACAGCAGCTTAAAAGTTCCGTGCAGCGAGTAGATGAGCACATTGTGTGAGGTTTCCTGTTTGTTGGTTGGTGGTAAAAGTTCTTCTAGCCGTGGTTAATAAAACAACTTGGCATCATCATCAAGCATCCAATCCCAATTGTAGTTTATGAGCCGTCTGGCGCTGACGGCTGATGCTAGTGATCAAGTTCCACAGTGAGGCTTGGGGGGAGAAATTGCTATGGGGTGGTGTAGAGATGACCTGCTACATAAGGTATCGAATCAGATGTGAATTTTTCTTATTTCGGACGTTGTTGGTTTTTATGGTGGGAAGGAATATACTCGTATGTAGTTTTGTACTCCGTAGATGTTGTGATATAAACCAGCTGTCTCTGTGCCGCTACCCAGTATTACTAAGGTGCTGGAAGGAATGTCTCGAACTCCAACACCAAGTCAAAGATGCAAAATGCCAACGTTGGATCATGTGATAATCATCTGATCTTGATGCAATAAAACGAGTTGCCTATTGCCATATTGCCATATTGCCCGTCACCATCTCATTTCGTCGTCAATGCCGTCAAAAGGCACTTTGTTCTCGGTATAAAAGTTAAAGCCCACTCCCTGCTGTGGGGTCAAAATGCGGTAACGACACACCGGCGCTTGCAGGTCTAAACCATGTCGGGCAGTGTTTCATCTAATGCGTGCAGTGTGCGATGTCATAGGCGGTGTTAGTGTTGGCGCCTTCCGATCTCGAATCTGGATCTAGCCACTCGAAAAAAAAAAGTTGGGAAAAGGAAAAATAAAAAAGAGGCAGGATCTTTCCCAGTTCCATTTATTAAACAAGCGGGGAGAGGAGAAAAGCAATTCGTCTTCTAATACCCGTCCTTCTTCTGCATATAACCCTTCAGTGCTAGCTTTGCAGTGGAGGATCTGTCTTTTGCCTTGCCAGGGGGTGTCGACATGACTCCCTTGTTGGATCCATCCTCCATAAAATCGTCCTTCGTATAACAATTCCCTTTCTTTTGCTTTCTTCGTCACGCTTGTCTCGAGTGTTTCCGCTCCATCGTCTCGATGACTTTGTTATGACGAGACGCTCATATCCGGCTTGACGTTTTGGACAGTGCCACAGCCCTGCGAAGAAACCGGAACTTTCAGAGAGCCCGGCATATGTCTCGGAGTATTCACTGCCGAGAGACAAAGCCGACGACACGAGGAGGCTGCAGCCCATCGAGAATCAGCTCACGATGACAGTTCCAATGGCGAATCCTGGTGATGGAGGACGGGTGAGAGGTGAGGATGGAGGCTATACAGCGACGACCATCTTTCGAGCGGCATCGGGCCAAGAGCCGCCGGTCACGACGACAACACCAACGACGAGAGACGACAGAGCATCGATATCGACATCAAAGCGACGCCATGAAGCGTGGTGGAGCATTCACCCCTTCCGTGGCATGGTCAACGATGTTCGTCGGAGAGCTCCTTACTACGCGAGTGACTGGCTCGACGCGTGGGACTATCGTGTTGTTCCCGCCACAATCTTTATGTACTTTGCAAAGTGTGTGACATACATCGTCTCCCCATATCCCCGATGGAGTTAATGATGGACGTCTATCGAGAAAGTATTTGCTAATCCGTGTTATTGACAGCATCCTACCTGCTCTTGCCTTCTCGCTGGACATGTTTCAGAATACCGGATCAAACTACGGTGTAAATGAAGTTTTGCTGGCTTCTGTCCTTGGCTCTGTTGTCTTTTCCATATTTTCCGCACAGCCGCTTGTCATTGTTGGAGTCACTGGTATGTGTGCTATGTGATGCGCATGGTATCTTGTTGGTTCTAATATGGCATCCCATAGGCCCCATAACTGTGTTCAACAGTACAGTCTATGATATAATGAAGCCAACCGGTGTCAATTATCTGGGATTCATGACCTGGATTGGAATGTAAGTTTCAATGTCGCCCTGAGACTAGTTATTGACAAATCATTGACTCCATGCCCCTTCTAGATGGTCGCTGATTTTGCATTGGATTCTTGCCATTACAAACTCCTGTAACTGGCTTCGTTGGGTCACCCGATTCCCTTGCGACATCTTTGGCTTTTACGTGGCCTTCATCTATCTCCAAAAGGGCATCCAAGTGCTAGAGCGTCTTGGCAATGGGAGTGCCTTTTACCTCTCCATTGTTGCCGCACTGTTACTCTTCATGGTTGCTTACATCTGTGGAGAACTTGGAGGCAGCAATCTTTTCAGACACCCAGTTCGTGTATTTCTGAAAGACTACGGAACGCCGTTGACTCTCGTTTTCTTCACTGGATTTGTTCACTTTGGTCGCATGTCTGAGATTCATCTGGCAGTGCTCCCAACCAGTACTGCCTTTGAGCCGACGGCCGATCGAGGATGGGTCGTCAACTTCTGGGATTTGAGTGTTGGAGAAGTTTTCACCGCTCTCCCATTTGCCATTCTCTTAACTATTCTATTCTGGTTTGACCACAATGGTAAGACTGCTCCTTTCTTTTTTCAACATGCGCCTAGTTATTAACGCTGATGTAGTATCATCTCTTATCGCGCAAGGAAGCGAGTTCCCCCTGAGAAAGCCTGCTGGCTTCCACTGGGACTTCTTTCTTCTCGGCATCACCACCGGTGTGGCCGGCATTCTCGGCTTACCCTTCCCCAATGGGCTGATCCCACAAGCCCCTTTTCACACAGAATCCCTTTGCGTCACTAAAGCTGTTAAGCAGCTTGACGAAAAGGGTGAAGACAAAGGAGAGTATACTTTCGAAGCGACGCATGTTGTCGAGCAGCGTGTGTCCAATCTGGCTCAGGGACTTCTTACACTTGGCACCATGACGGGCCCTCTTCTCGTCGTCCTGCATTTGGTCCCCCACGGAGTTTTAGCAGGGCTATTTTTCATCATGGGCGTCCAAGCTCTTCAGGCTAATGGCATCACTGCCAAGCTACTCTTCCTAGCCCGGGATAAGAATTTGACCCCCGCAAACTCACCTCTCAAACTAGTGAAGCGGCGCTCTGCAATCTGGGGGTTTGTCATCGTCGAGCTGGTCGGCTTCGGCGCCACGTTTGCCATTACACAAACCATTGCTGCTGTCGGCTTCCCTATCATCATCTTGCTCCTCATCCCCGTACGCGCTCTCGTCTTACCGAGGATCTTTCACCCAGACGAATTGGTCGTGCTTGACGAGCCAACCGCTTCCGACTATATCATGGAGGGTATAGGTGGCTCCTGGGGTGGTGTTAGCCAACGAAACGAAATTCAGAGCAGTGATGATACGCCTGTAGCGAGCGGGTCCTCGTCGTCTTCTCAGCGAAGCGGCAACCATGCCCAGGGTGGTGGAGGCGCTCAGCATGGCTCCCTGCACAAGAGTCAAGAAGACCTCGCAGAGCTTGGACAAGCCCCCAATACACAGAATATGATAACCAGGAGAAGGAGCATTGACAAGAGAATGGGCCGGCTACGGAGAGGGAGCACTTCGTCCGATGCTGTGTAATTTTCAAAAGTGGTATGCCTAATGATGGTAGGTGGTGGAATTTTGATACCCTGGATAATGACAGACTTTACTGTTGGATACCTATGTGGAGTTGATGCGATGTTTGGTGTGCGATGCCTAGACATAAAAAAAATGGCAGGATGGCGAATGAAATATATAATAGACTTGGGTATGATACCATTTATACAAAAGCACATCTTTCACTAGCCTTTTCCTTTATTAATATGCGGTCGTCAATTCATATCCCAAAAGATTCCTCGCAATGCACTTTCGCACCCTTTTCAATTCCCACGCTTCCATCTATTCTTCGTCATCACTGTCTATGACAAAGCCACCGCGTATCCTCGGTCTGCGGGCCACGATAGGGGCGTCATCACCATCTTCCTTGGCGTTTTCTTCCACTTGCTGAGATTGTTCGGCATTGGAAGCATCCTCCATATCAACATCCTCATCTGCATCATCCTCCACGCTGATCCTTCTCTTCTTCCTACTATCGCCATCGCTCTCCTCCATGGGGGTATCATCCCTGCTCTCCGGCTCCTCATCATCAATCAAGCCCAAAGCATCATCATCGTCCTCTTCATCGCTATCAATCCGCACCGCAGCACCTTTCCGCTTCTTCGCCGGCTCAGGATCCAAAGCCGACTGCGCAGCCTTCGCAGCCCTAGCCGCAATCTCGCGCTCGCGGGCGAAAAAGGCCTCGTCTTCCTCCTCGTCGAACTCGTCGTCTCCATCCTTGACGTACACGGCGGACTTGATCTTGCGGGCCTTTTCGCGCTCGCGCTCGCGCCGCTTGCGGGCTTTTTCTTCGAGCTCTTCGTCATCTAGTTCCTGCACCTGGCTGTTTCTTCGTCTTCTCTTTCTTGTCTTCTTGGGTCTTTCGGACTCGTCAATGACTTTTCTTGCCGTTGGGCCTCCGGGCTCAAATAGAAATTCGTCGTCAATGTCGTCGCCTTCATCGTCATCAAAATCTGCCTTTTTGCGGGGCAGTGTTTTCCTTTTAAGTTGATTCTCGGCCAGCTGTCCATCGTCAAATGTTGGAGGATTAAATTCTGCCTGGTTGATAAAATGCAATGTATCTTTAAGCGAGTCAGCCGTGACATCTTCTGGGAGTACCCAGAGGGACTCGGGTGTCTCTTCTGCAGCAGGTCCAAACAGCTGAAATCCGCAGAGATTCAGCAGCAGCCGCAGATAAGGGTCCTTAAATCTCGCCGTGCGTCTCGCGTCACTGTCAGGCCGTACGTCTAAATATAGGTTAGATGTGATTCAAGCACAAAAAATGGCTGGAAACTTACTGAATGGGGGAGGTTTGCTCGGTTCCTTTGGTTCATTGGCATCTGTTGACTCTTCAAACGGATTTTCTGTTGATGCCAGAGCTTCTTCAGCAGCAGCCCATGATCGGCGTTCGCTCTCGGCTTCGGTAATAACACCCTTCACCCAACTGATGTGATCCCCCTCATTCTTGTCCAGCAGTGCGCCGACCACGATGGCGATCTGGCGATCTCGTTCTTCTGTGTATTTGAAAACAAGCTCAGCTCCAGGTTTCGCCTGCTTCTTGGAAACAGTCTGCTTCTCATATCCATATTCTAGGAAGAAAGCGGTGCTTTGCAATTTGCTGAAAAGCATTTCGATGATGAGTTCTGGTCTTTGCTCAATCTTCTTGAAGCACTTGCGGAGTATTTGCTTCACGAGCTCTTCCCAGTCTTTGTACATACTCGAAGACTTATCTAAAGGCTCGGGGCCTTTGATCATGTTATATAACAAATGGATTATGTCCACACGGAAAAGCATCACGCTCATCTCCTGTTTGAATGCGAGGCGATAAAAGTATCGATGGACGCGCTTCAGCTGGGCATCATTCATATCACGATAAAATCGCGTAAACTTGATAAAAGTATCCACTACGCCTTGTGGTGCAAAGCGAGCTGCGAAGCGCTGGAAATCAAACTTGCGTTCTTTGGAAGTGCGCTCTGTAGTTTCCTCGTCGTTGGCCGAGTCATCATTTTCTTCAGCTAGAGCACCGTCTTCAGTACCCTGCTGCTGCTGCTGCTGTTGATCTTTGTTCTTCTTCTGCCGCGTTCTTTTGCGAGAGCGAACTTGCATATCCGCATTCTGCTTTGAGTATGCCTCCAGAATACGCAGGAAATGATGAACCAGTTCCGTAGCAGCATCCAGGTAGTAGAATCCCTGGTCCTTGTAGGTCCTGATTATGTTTGCAATGGTATCGTGCGTCGTTTCTTCGTAAAACAGACGACTCAAGACGTTTTCTGCTATTTCCTCATCGTCCTCTCGACCGCTCTCGGACATCTCTTGAACAGTGAGCAGAATCTGGGTAAAGCATCTCATCACCGCAGCCAGCTCATGCCAGTCTTTGTACTCATAGGCTTCGTGCATCGCCTTGTTGAGAGTGATGAACATTTCTTGGTTTAAAACGCCAGCCACAAGGCTGAAGCTGGATACATCATCATCAGCCTTGTCACCAGATCCTTTCTTTAACTTCTTCCGTGTCCGTTCGGCTTCAAGAAACCATGCTACGAGGTAGAAGAATTGTCTCCTGTGGTACTGCATGACATGGGAAGCCTCTCGATCAATAGTTTTGCGAACATGTTGGAATAAGGGGTTGAAGCCTGAGTCAAGGAATTCTTCAACAAATGAGCGGAGCTGTCCGGCTGCTCGCGCGTTAAGCTTTGCCGGTGGTCCCAGATCTCTCTCATCTTTATTCTCCTTCCTTGTTCTACGAGGAGGTTTGAATACTTTGTTGTTGTCCATCTTCAGGTTACGTGCCGTGGCGTCGCTAAGAGCATCTTGCCCTGAGAGGGAAGACATCTTCCCGTCCTCACGCTTGACCCAAATCATTGTTCCGAAGCGGTTATGTCTGGTTGGGCCGTTGCGGGCGTAGGCCTTGTGCATTGCCGATTCCTTATTCATCAGCGATGCGAGCTCATTGGCCTTTGCTTTGTGTACTTGCTGCTCCGTCATAAAGAGCTTCTCTATGTCTACTCTTTTGATGAGATGGTAGATAATCTCCATGACAGCGGTGTCTTCCGTCCTAAAATCATCGCCCATGTTTGAAGCCAATGTAAGGAGGAATAAGAATATGTCTTGGTATGAAAACGCATCGATGGTAGCCGACCGCGAGATTTGCGTCTCATCGCCCTCGTATTGAACATTGGGTGGAGGGGCAATCATGGCCATGTTGCGGAGGAAGAAGAGCACCAGCTTGATGATGCCTTGATCCCGTGCTGCCCTGTCGCCAGCTGGGAGCGCCAGCGACGGCAGAGCAGTCCTGACGGCGGCGTGAAGGATACGAGCTTCGTCAAAGTTGATAATGGCTCTCTTGTATTGAACTTGTGCAAGCTCCAGCACAGGCATGTGCCGATGGTGATTGACCGTCATTCGCTCCTTATCCCGCTCCATGGGCCAAGTCAACGGCACCATAATCTCAAAGCACGACAGCGCAATTTTCGACTTGTACTTGCTGTCGGTGGCATTTTCGGGCCATGTTGCCAGGATCGGGAGCAGGTCTCCCTCGATCAAGTTCGCCTCGTGGATGCATCGAGCAACATCCATGCGGTTCGTCTTTTCGTCGTAGAAGCGAATCCATCGTTTGATATCGCGGAGGACCTCCAACGCATCGTCTCCCAAGTGGTATCGGCCATCGTCCTCCGTGCCTGCGCCTCCCAGCTGCCATGTACATCAGTCTACATCATCCTGGCAGCTCCAGCAAGTAATTAGAGACTCTGTTGAAAACCTACCGCTGCAATGAGGCTGCTGATGTGTGCCCGAACTTCGGGATGGACAATGTCCGTTGTGCCGTCGCCCAGGTCCATCGTGGCCGTCTTCTGCGTGAAGCTGCTATGGGTATCAAGGCGGATTAATCGACAGCATCGAAGCCGGCCAAATGCAAGCAGCCGTATGCTTCAATGCAGCCCAAAATGACCGATCAATTGTCAGTTCGTAAATCCATGGCTGCCCCTCCAGCACGCGTCTAGCTAGACGCGTTTCAGTGCAGCAGCGACCAATTTACGCGGTCGATAAGCGGATGATTGTCGGCAGCGATAACACAGCTTCACTCAACCTCCACCAAGCAAATGGGCCGAGGTTACCCGTATTGCCGGGCAATCCATATTAATTTGTTCATATACCTCATCTAGCCGCCCAGGACCTTCACCGATCTCTCTTTATTCTTCACAGTTCAAAATGGCCAGTTCAATTCTTCGAGGGAGGGCGCTGGGCGCCGTGCGTCAGGCTCGCTGCTTCAGCTCTACTCCAAGGCAATATGCTGCCGATGTCAAGAGCCTCGGTGTTCTCGGCGCCGGCCAGATGGTAAAGTCATCATCCCGCTTACACGTGAAGACGGAATTTTAATACTGCATTTAGGGTCTGGGCATCGCTCTTGTTGCTGCGCAAAGGGCGCAGGTTCCGGTCACTCTCGTTGATGCTTCTGAGCAGGCATTGAGTAAAGGCATTGCTTTTGCTGGTGCGTTGGAGATTTGAGCCGCGAGCCATGTGATGTCATGACTGACAACCGTGATATAGAGAAGCTGCTGGCCAAGGATGTGTCCAAGTCCAGAATTACTCAGGAACAGGCTGATCAGGCCCGATCCCTGCTGACTACTAGCACCAAGATGGAGGACTTCTCCTCCGTCGACTTCATTATCGAAGCTGTGCCTGAGATCCCTCAACTCAAGTTCGACATCTTCAGCAAGCTGGCTAAGATCGCTCCCTCTCACGCAATCTTGGCAACCAACACCTCTTCAATCTCCATTACGCGCATTGCTGCGGCCACTACTACCGATCCCAATGATACCTCAGCTTCATCGAGAGTTGTTTCTACTCACTTCATGAACCCCGTCCCAGTTCAGAAGGGTGTGGAGATTATTAGCGGCCTGCAAACCAGCAAGGAGACGCTTGATACGGCTGTTGAATTCTGCAAGCGGATGGGCAAGATCACTTCCGTCTCTGCTGATTCTCCTGGATTCCTTGCCAACAGAATCCTCATGCCTTACATCAACGAGGCCATCATCTGCCTTGAGACGGGAGTTGGTGACAGAGACTCAATCGATGCCATCATGAAGAACGGAACCAATGTCCCCATGGGTCCCCTGCAGCTTGCAGACTTCATTGGTCTCGATACCTGCTTGTCCATCATGAAGGTTCTCCATACAGAAACTGGCGACTCCAAGTACCGCCCAAGTGTGTTGCTGGGAAAGATGGTGGATGCCGGGTGGCTTGGAAAGAAGAGTGGAAAGGGATTCTATGACTATTAAAGGTCCAAAGACATGTGTATCGAATGTTACGACGATGTGTCTGATTGAATAAAAGCTCGTGTATAACTCGCCGTGAAATTATAGATGTTGGCAGCTCAGGTATCCATTCATGGCATTTGTCTACACATATTTCTATGACATGCAGTATGCAAATACTGGCTGTACATACGTTCTTTCTTTCTTTCTTTCTTTGTATTCCAACTACGCTCTATTGATTGAACCAAACCAAATTCTATCTTTGGTGCATACTTACATATAATTGGTAATCTAAAACCTGCCTGTTTACCGTTTCTTTGACATCGGTATTGTATCGAGGCCACCTTCAGGGATATCCTTACACATGAGCAGCATAACAGAAGACGCTATATAATACAACGACATTTTAATCATAGCCCCTTGTACAGCCTAACTGACACTCGAGGTCACGAGACTATTAGAGTGACAGCAAACCAACATACTCTTACGGTTCTAACAAGGTTGAGGATCCGTACCCGTAAGCATTAGGTTATGAGGTGGGTTGACTTGCATATGCCGGCAGAAGTCGACTGATGGCGATGGCATTGCATTCAATATACAGAGGAAACAGGGTTTTCCAAGCATAGCAAATATCATTGCCGTCCTGTGGAGAAACTTGCCTGCCTCCATACGTACTGTAGCTGATTCAGGGCGCCCTCAGCATCTCGTTATTTCGCTCGCGAATGCTATTCGTATCCGCCAAAGTCGCAAAGCCACCATGTACGAGTACTTTTTGCTAACCCATCAAGAACCAGCATCTAGCGTCTGTGCTCCCAGCGTTTCAGCGCTAGGCAAGTCATCCGACGGGGCTAATAATAGATCCATTTCGAGATCGGGCTGTTCCTGGCGAAATGTCTCACCAAGCCTTACAATAATAACGGTTGATTAGCACCCAACTGAGGTACTTTAGTGTCAAGGCCGTGGACACCAAGCCTCAAGTATACGAGTACCTGTACTCGTACTTGTAGTAGCCAGCCGAGGCGTTGATTGCACATGTGCGTTTTATCTTGTGTCGTCGTCGCTGGCCTTGCGAGAAGCGTCTTTTGGATGCCATGTCCACATATTTCCTCACGGCTTGGGCTGCGTATCCGACCAAAGATGAGAGAATTCCTGGAGGATGCGGGTGACTGACTAATGCGCAGCTAAGATGATGCAGGAAGGCCGATGCTCTGATGCATGATGCGGCACTCACACGGCGGTTCTCTCTTCAGCTCTTGGCATAGTCATAGCATTCAGCCGTTTCCGACGCCGCAAATTTGCGAAATAAACGCCGACAGGGAGAAGGCAAAAGAAATCAAGAAGAAAAATAGGCGGAATTATCGAAGCGGCCTCGTACTGGCGATCGGCCACTCTGCCTGTACTTGTATAATTGATGTTACGCTACCAGGGCCAGGATTCTGCTCGTGAGATTGAGGCTGAATTGAAGGATTGGGCTTCCCCCTCTGCAATTACGTGGATGGCTCGATCACGACTCCTCCCGGGAGCGGAAGGGAAATTAGACGAGCAGGTTTGCACATTCAGCACCGGCTAAGACCCCTCCGAGATTCGCAGATAGAGCACCCAGGCGTCGGCCGCATCGAAAGGCTGGGTGTCCGGGAAGGTGAGGGTGCACATCACGCCAATGTTCAGCTTCTGCAGCCCACAACTGGGCCATTGTTGAGAAGTGATTTCGATTTCCGGCTAATTTACGCCGGCATGTACTCCGCACTTGCCGTAAAGTAGAGAGGCGGCAGTGATGAATCTGCATGCTTTCCTCATCTCTATGCGACTCGGGGGGCAGATCTCCCGCCTGCTGAAGCGATGATTAAAGACCCGGCCTAGTCCAAGAGAACATGTGTCCAGCCCATGTGCCCGCCATGGCTTGCAGCATGGATAGGTCTGCGTACAAGGCCTTGCCTGGCATGTACGTACAGTAGCACTGGTGGTGGTGGTGGTAGCAGCACCCTCCTTCGAAAGGAGTAATACACACGCGTGCCGGTAGTATCTGTCTTCACCCAGGAGCCTGCTGATAGGTACTGTACAATCAGAACAAAGTCCAAGGGCAGAGGCACACACACACCGGATGCACACCTTACTTACCTTGGATATCCTATGAAGCTTGTTTTCCAATAGCTCCAAGGTTGGCATCATAGCACCGGTACAAGTAAGTACAAGGCGCTCTGCGCCCGCATATGATACCAAACAAACAGGTATGTGCAGTAGGCATCACACCAGAGCCGTCCATCCACAGGCTTGCTCGCCACACCACCAGCTGGATGCAGTAGGTCGAGAACCAACGGCAACAGGCGTGGCAACAGGCGTGAGGGAACGCTGTCATTGGGCCCTCGGGCAATCTTGGGAGTATAAACCCGAGGACGCTTCACGGTCACGCACCCACGCACGCGGCCTGAGGGACAAACGTCTTGACGACTCCGTCCTGTGCAAGCTCGAGTAAGCCTCTTTTCTTTTTCTCCCCTAGAGCCGGGTACCTTGCTTGCTCATCTCTCCATGGTACCAGCACATGCAGCCAACTTGGTAGGGGGACTGTCGTACAGGTCGCAACGTTCCGGACAAGTCGCAGCATCTTGAAATGAAAGGCCCGGCTGCTCCATCTGCCTCTCCATCGCAAGCCCTTTGCTGCCTCTTCGGGCGGGAACTAGCACTGACTGAGGCATTGGTCCGGGCCTCGATTGGAACGCGCTCCTCAGAGCTCCCCGCTTTGTCGCGCAGCAAATTTGAAGCTTGAGCGAGCATGTGCATGTGAGCGGCTGGAACAAGACCGGGGGCTTCGCAAGGCGTCAGGCGCGGGGAAAAGGCGGCGACGCGAGGCTACGCGAGAGGTCCTGAAATCTTTCGAGCGGCCAGCCATTGGCGGGAGTCCAGGGTAAGGGGAAGGAGAGAACAAGACCGGTCGGGCCATGGTGCAGGCACAAGGTACAGGTGGTGCAGCAAGTACTGGAACAAGAGGAACCACTGCGGAACCACTGCGGACAGGAGCGCTGCAGCGCGGGAGCAGGTATTCGGTACGGGTGCCTGAGGTGGGCACTCGACATTTGGGGAGGGGGAGTGTCGATATCTCTTAGGTGCAGGTCGCACCCTCCCCCTAGCACAGCCTTGCTCTCTCGTCGTGTTTTCTCGTTTTCTTCTTTTGCTGCCCATTCCATCTTCCGGCCGGTTCTCTCATGGAGGGTGGCATCTGGCAAGCGATCAGCGAGTGGCCTGCTAGTGGAAAGTCCAGGGAATACCAGGCCTCAAGTACAGGTACGTGACCATGCAGGGCGTTACCGGCGGCGCACATGTACCGCAACGGCAACGTGATGGCCCTGACTCTTCGGAGCATCTCGAGATTAACACCTTGCGTGCGTGCTACTATACAGGCACGGCAAGGCTACTTGCTCCGTGCATGCACACACAACCGTATGCACATGACAGACATCCCAACGATGCCTTATCTACTGCATCGTCGACTGTTGGATCCCGAGGGCGCAGAATGGGCTGCCGAGCTATACGAGCACGCGTAGCTTGAATGGCCCGTTGAAAAGAGAAGGCGATAACGCCATACAAATAACCAGCTCGGCCGTTCTCGAAACTCGCCCGGGCTGCCCTGGGCCATCGGGTGATCCATTCATTCTTTAGCTGCTTCACAACGGCGGCAGCTAGAAGCTCACAGTCGTGCCACAGCTGACCAGGGTCTCTTTTTTTCTCCTTCGTCCAGACAGGGAGCAGAAACTCCAAACATGACTTCTAAACAGCCAGACCCGCTGCGTCAAACATGTCGGCCCATGCCCAATGAGTCAAGTGGCCCTGAGGCTTTCCCACTTCCGACATGGCGGCTGCTTGCGTCCTCGTGGCTGGCGGCCATCCGAAACCTGGCACTACAAGCCATGTGGTCGGATCTTGCCTAATACAACGTGCGGTTTTCGTTGCTCCAGGCTGGTCGATGGCGAGTCAAAGATGACCGGGAAAATACTATATGATTGCTTCGTACTCCGTAGACACCCCAACGGTTGGGCAGACAGGGCCCAAGAGACGCTCAGCTCCGGATATTCTCACCGGTGGCAGGCATCGTCCGATCCCTTGACTTCTGTTGCGCCGCGCCGCGTGCGACGCCTCGGGTGCCTCCCATTTCACACCATTGGTGGTAGAACAGACACAAGCCCGGTGACAGGAAGAGCTATCCGTCATGCGCACCTGTTTCAACAGGGGCGGTAGCAGCGGCCTGGCAGATTCGCGAGGCTTGTTGTCTGACCTGCAGGTCTCTACGATATAACGACTGGCAATAATGCGCCGTATTATGTTTCTGACTCGCTGCCCCGCGCCGCCGCGTTACTGGAATTCATGCTTATTCCAACAGTCGTGATGGACTTTCCCCCCCTGATGTCTTACTATACCTGTATAGTGGAGTGTTTCTTTCTTCTAGAATCTCGCTCCCGGTTCCGTTGACAGCAGAATCCGCCCTAAGATCCACTGCTAAGGCATCTTGAAACGACATGGCTTCTCCTCCTTTCATTACCAAGTACAGTCTGCGCAACACAGTAGCGTCTACAGCTTCAATCGAGATGTTATTATGGAGCGCAGGTAGGTTTCAGTGCTAACTGTGCGGAACGATCTGGTTGCTCGCTCTCGCTAATACTACTGCAAGTCTCTCAGAACTAGGCTCTTAGAGAATATGACTCTGCCCAATATGGACTGAGAGCATTCATGCTTCGCACGTGGCCTACTGCACATCTGCAAGAGCGGGAACTTTGAAAGCAAATATAATAAACAACAACTCAATAGGCAGCGGGCCTGCCAATTACCGAGCACAGCGACATTCTTGAGCGTTCTAGTTCGTAGGTACCCCTGAGGGAGCTAGAAGCGTGAGTTTGTCTAGCCACCCCCGGCTTGGGATGAAACGACTTGGTTTACAGCATGTGCCGGAATCTCTTTGCGCGTTGTCGTGAGTATTTGTGCGAGTACTCGTGCTGCCGACCTGCCTTATTGCTCAGGCGACTGATTATGCTTTACAGGTTCCGGCATTATCGCGCTGCTGTCTTCCTCTTGGGCTAAACGCGAGCAGGTCATACACATACACACGCGCAGACGCACGCACACGAGCGCAATGCTACGTGGAATGAGCATCTCGCGGCTTGAGCTAGCCCCACTAAGTCTGGCCCGGTTGCACCGGCGCATATCCTTTCTCAGCACCTCCATGGAAAGGCTGGCATCTTGTACGAAGTACGAAGTACATCCAGGTACTGTAGCTCTAGATTGGTGTACGGGTAGCGTCGTCGTTGCCCTGCAATTCTTCCGCGTGTCGATTGATCCGTGCGCAGATATCCTGGCGATGCTCTTTCGACCTGTGGCAGATTCGACTAAGAAACTGCGTTCCTCCAATATCAGCGCTGCGGCTCATCTCGTTGCTTCTGTGTACAAGTACGTATATCGTGGTCAGATGAGGGATGCCACTTTCTCGCTCCAGCCTGATGCAGAGATGGGAGTCCAATCCACCCTGGCTGCAAATGCCGTTCGCTTTGCCTCCATCGTATGAGAGCTAACGAGGCATATGCTAGGCACAACTCTGCAGTGAGAGGGCCTAGCTCCATTACGCCACGCTCGGGAGGAGGGGTGGATACCTTGGAAGGCATCGTGCTGCAGTTTTCCCAAGCGTCATCCGCTTCACATGTTCTTCTAGCCCAATTGATCGCACGCGTTATCTGCATGAACAAGCGAATCGAGGCTGGACATGTTAGTGCTACTCCCACCCTCTTCCAGTTGCAGCAGAAGAACAATTCAGGTGGCCAGGGACGTGGCTTTCACATCCACGATGGCGACGAGTACGAGTATTCTCTCGATTCAACACAAAGAGGGCAACCACTCCACCTCTACTCCGTACCTAGTCGTCCTCCTCGGCCGCTGTAACTATTACCTGCATTCAAATGTGGCGACCATCCCCACTTACAAGGCCTGCGATTTCTTGTCGTCTTTGACTTGCCGCTGACGACCCCTGTCTTGGATGGCAACCCCCCGGTCACCGATATGCGCGCCCCCTGGCGTCAACCCTCCTTGGTTTCGAGGACCCCCCCTTGCCGGTTGTACTATACCCTCAACTACCATGACTTTTGTAACCCGTTGCAGAGCCCATTCGAAAACTGGCTTCGAGCGGCGGTCATGCGTTCGTCCGTGGAGTCGATTTAGAGCAAATGTTCTCCTACGCCCCAGGAGCCGCTGAACAACCCACCAGTGGTCCGGCCGAGGTGCCGTCTGGTAGTCGATTCTTGCGACCCTTTTATGTGGTCCTTTGCTACTGCTTGGCTTTGGCCTTGCTATAAGCCCTGTCCCTTCATGCAAATTGCTGGCTAATGAGATCGATCCCATGCCGCTAAGATTGGAAAAGAACCACTTTAACTTGCGCTTTCGCGCGGGCGTACAAGTATCTTCGCTGTTAAAAGCGGCGGTCTAGCATAATGAACGAGGCCTTCATGCTGCGGCTACAGGTGCTCGTACGGACGAATAACTGAGTGCGGTGTTCCTGATGGGTCTGGTTTTGCATACCCGGCGCAAAGAGAGCATCGGATCACTGCGTCGGCGCGGCTGAGCGCCCCCTCTTGGCCGACACGCACATTACAGATGCTAGTAGTAGTGCTACTCGACATGCTCGACCGAGGGCCCAGATCCGCGCTGCTCCTGCCGCTGCCCATGGCACAACTTTTGTTTTCATCGACTCATTGCTTGTTGACTTGGTAACCTAAATAACTGGTAATTGCCAGTGAGTCGTTGCCACTCGTCGTTTTCATGGTTCACACTTATACTAAAAGTACGGAGCAGTCGTCGTAGTAGTTCGACCAAGAAAAGCTTGGGGACAAGGGGCCGTTCTCAATTATACCCTTCCTGGCAGTGGTCCCTCTTTCCCGATCTTGGAACACGGAAGACTCCTGGTAGCTCAACCGACAACCGCAAGGGTGAGAGTGCATGCTCTGCACCGGCTGGCCCATTACGGTGCGGCTTTTCTCGAATCAAGAAGCTTCAAAGCCTGCATAGGCTCACCCACCCCATCCTCCTTCATCAGGTACCAGGTACGGAGACGCCCCCCCACAGCTTCTTCTCCATCGATACAGGTCCTTGTCTCTAGCGGCAGCCTCCATTTTTGCCGTATTCTGCGGACAATTCTCTGAAACCCCTCCTAACGGATATTACGAGTACTCTGCTTTCTGACAAGATCTGGAGCATGCAGGCTCGGGACAAGTCAGTCATCCTGCCAGCATCTTGAGAGGACCCGGCACCCCATACCTGCACGAGGCATATACCTGTATGCGAGCTGATGATTCCAGGACCATCGATTGCACCTAACTCGATGTTGGACCCCACTGAAGCGCGTGGTATGCGGTCCTCATTTTCATGTCACCATACAAGTCTATCCCAATCCTACCTCGTGGAACCTTGGAACTAACCCAGATGCTACCCCTTCAAATCAGTCTTGCGACCTGAACTTGGATGGCCACTTATGCCCTAACTTTGCTCAGACAGGGGTCGCTCACTGGCTTTCTCGCTTTGCAGGCGGCTAACTACCTACTTCTTTCTTGGCCAACCCGGTCAAAGGGATACATCCACTGTATTACCAGTACAGCCAGCTCTCCGCAGGCCGACATCAAAGGCAGTCAGTCCCTTTTCGAAGGGATTCCCGCCCCCTCAACCCAAACCAAACTAATCCAAGCCGTCTTTGCTCCGTGCCACTGCTTTTCAGCATAACTAAACTTGTTCCTCGTGATACATCATTTGGTTGGTTGGTTTCGAGTTTCTGAATCATACAACTCGCGAGCGAGACGATTCAACCGGCGCCTACTACTTCCTATCGGTCTACCACGGAACATTCCACAGCACCTCGTAAGCTATTTTGACTGTTTCAGGGCCTGGATCTGTCGACAACTTGCTGGCGACGGTAGTGGCATCTCTGTCTAGCTCTTGTCGAGTTGATGCTAGCAGCGCTGTCCACCATATTTCGAGGAATTCGTGTGGTGATTCCGCTGGCGCCTCTCCATCCGAAGGCTTAAAACACTTCCCAATGCTCGCCACTAGGTCCTGCGACCCTGAGCATAGCCACTGGTCCTTTGGCAAATACTTTCCGGCTCCTGGAAAAGCTTCAACGAGTCCACGCATGTCAGACCAGTACGATTCTTCCCTTCCGACACAGCCAGACTGGCAGGGCCAGTATCCATATCTTCCGCAGCCAGCTGGATCTGCCTATCCTCAATCTTCCGAACCGAATCATGCCAACTCAGGAGTAGCTCAACCACAGCCTGTGGTAGAGAGCGAAAACCTTCGTCTGGAAGCTCATACAGACAGACAGCCAGCACCGCCACCTAGTTTACGCCATAATACTTATCGCGTAGGAGCAGATGACCACGGCCACCCACCTCGACCTGCCGAGCCATTAGAGATCAAGGAGGAATCGAGAAGCATGAACACGACATCCCGTTTGCTGGACGAACCCCTACTGCCTGCCAGAGCTACCCCTAGAGATTCTGCACCTTCGAGCCACATCAACTCAGCTTCAGCGATGGCGAAAAGTTTGAGCAGCCCCTCTGAGAGGTTTGGATCAGATGATCAACGTGCGGTGGTATGCAAGGAGGATCCAGATGATCCTTTGCTTGACGAGGATATGGCCGAAGACGAGGCAGATTCACTACTTCAAACTACGGCAGAACGAGTGGCAGCTCGCAGAAAGATGAAGCGCTTCAGGTAGGTTTCTAACTATGGCTGGAGATGAACAAGCCAGCAAGCTAACATGATGGTGAAGGCTTACGCACCAGCAAACGCGATTCTTGACGAGCGAATTTGCAAAGCAACCCCACCCCGATGCTGCCCATCGGGAAAGGCTATCTAGGGAGATACCTGGATTAAGCCCTCGACAAGTCCAAGTGTGGTTTCAAAACAGGTAAGTTAACTTAATAGGAGATGCTATACCCCGTGCTGGTTGGGGGGGAGGAGGGGTACAATAGAATCTGACCAGTCTGTTAGGCGGGCGAAGATTAAGAGGCTCAACGCCGATGACCGTGATCGAATGATCAAGATGAGAGCAGTTCCGGATGATTTTGATAATGTACAAGCTTTACATTCTCCTTACGGGGCAGTCCATATGCCGATGCCGCTGGCTGCTCCCGTAGATTTTGGACACCACCCCCCATATCCAAGCAATTCGATGAGAGCACCCCCCCTAATGGTTGATGTTCGACGTCAAGAGGGACCAAGTCATATGTCGCCTACAGGGCTGACACCATCGTTTGGCAATATCGGCTTTTATGCTTCAAGCGCAGTAAATTCATCCGGAGTCATGTCGCCGATATCACCACACTCAAGCGAGCGTTATCCTCCCCATGGAAGCAGCGGGCCACACGGGTCTCTGGAAGCGCATCGCCACGGAGGCAGGCCAGTTCAAACCTTTCATAACCGGGGAGATCCCGTCTCTAGACCAAGGTCTGAGTCTCTGCAATTACACTATATGCATTCTGGGATGAATGCGCACTCTAGTGTATCTGATCGATCTCCCTTGGTCTATCAGTCCGGTCAGATGAACCAAGCTGCATCCAGCAGCACAGGGGGCGTTGACCGGAGTCCCTACACAAGTAAGTTGACGATGAATCTCGAAATTAGCCGAATATGACGCTAATGATGGTGCACAAGGCGGCAGCAATGCACAATCATCACCGACGGGATTGAGCTACCCCAGCTTCCAGCAGACACCTGAGACTGGATCTCGTCTTCGAGCCGCCTCAGCCTCATTGCCCCTGAATACAGCAGACCACTATCGAGCTCTCCAATCCCCTCAATCCCATAGCCATCGAACAGCCGGGTCTTCGCAATACGGAGCATCCTCAACATATCAGGCAAGCTACGGTGCGCCTCTATCAGCACCGTTGACACCTTCTCTGGCAGCCCCACCAACGCGACCATCGGCTACACCATCAAGTGCAAGAGATTATTCAGACTCGGTGGGAACACCCGGGTTTCCCCAGACTCTGCAGAGCGGTCTAAACGGTCATGATTCACGGACGGACTCGAGAAGCGTATATCCTAGCGGAGCACCGGAATACGCAAATAGCCAGCAACGTAACGAGAGCTATGGTATCAGCGATATAAATAGCACAATCTCCTTGAAACGGGACCGAGGCTACATAACTCAAGGAGGGGCAACATCGCCCCTGAATAGAGCGCGGCCTTCGTTACACCATAGCACAAATTAAGTGTGTGTTCTGGGTAGCAGATTGTCATCCACGCTTGTGGAATCAGAACACACTTGATGGCAATGAAGCCCAAAGCGCAATAAGCACCGCCAATATGATCCCAATCATGAAGGGTTGAGCGGGCATAACTATATAACCACAGAGACAAGAATAACGGCCGATTAGTATACGGAAGGCGAGAGCATGCTACATGGCAATGTGGTAGTTTACATTTCATATGTTGACTAGCGACGACATAGATGGGGCCAGTGTATGCCCATCTACACTTGATTCAACCTATCCCCTTTCATTATCGTTTTCCCTTTGGAGTTGGGTGGCAAATGATTTACGCATTGGGATGTATTACGGACGGACCCTGAGGCTCGGGGGGCGCCACAAAAACGGCAGAGGAGCTATTGACTTATAAGGGATTCAGCAGGCCACACTCCCAAGCCAAACTCGACTACATACTGCTGCCGAACCAGCTCAAATGGCGTTAAAGAAGCTTCTTGACTCTAACACTATTCTGGCAGACTGGTCTGGGGCTGGACCAAAAAAAAACCGCATTTACCTGGAGCAATATGACGGGACCATATGCGGAATTTGAGATACCAAATTACCCTCTTGGAGTTGGGCAAACGACGCAATATCTTTGGGCATCCGACAATATCTTCTCTTCTTCTCTTCTCTTCTTTCTTCTTCTTTCTCTTTCTCTTTTCTTTCTTCTTCTTCTCTTCTCTTCTTTTCTTTTGTCTGCTTCTCTTCTCGCTTTTTTCTCCTTTCTTTTCTTTCACTTCTCTACTTCTCGTTCAATTGTATAGATTACAAGGACATACCCAATTTTACCCCTTTTTCTAGAGAGTTGTACTCTGACAGAAACTGGACACGCGGAGACGTGATCATCTTTTCTTCTCCTTCTTCTTTTTCTCCTTCTTCTTTCACCTGTATATACATATATACCTTCTTGACAGCCGGATGCTCCCCGTCGTTGGGCGAAGATAACTAATTGAATTGGTTCTTTCTTTGTCATAACGCATTTTAATTGTCATTGCTCGTCGTAGAATTTGACTGATAGTTGTGAAGTGAACGAGATGCATGCTCTCTAGCCCACTTTGTGTGTTTTGATAAAAGAAAGAAAGAAGGAAGTAAGGAAGGAAAAAAGGCTGCCTGGATTCTGAACGACGGGCCGCTTCCTGCAGCATTAAGCAAGCTACAGATTTTACTACAAGGCGCTTACACTTGTAACATGAAGACAATACTGGGACTCATGATTTACGCTGCCCAGGCTGGTACCGCCGTTGGGTCTCATTGGCTCATCTGGATAAGCAACTCTGGTCAGTATATCAGTTGCGAAATTCAAGCCAGCTCTTTTCTCTTAAAGATGACCACAATCCAATCAGTCGAGCCAATGATTTTCCGCACGCAGCCAAGTGGTTGACGGTTATATAAACAGTATTGTTTAAATTCCCTGAAAACGGCAACATGGCAGGTAGGTTTACCAGATGTTAGGTGTCATCACAATGGGTTGTATGTGTGGTTGGAAGACAAACGTTACGGAGTCAAGCCGATGAATATATAGCTTACCTTTACATTCTTAGTCTATTCGAGAAAGCCGTAATAGTCGGTCATGATACGATTGCCTCGTGGCAGGGTCCCGAGGAGATATTATGTGTGCGAGGTGAGGCATCTTATCATGGTGAATCACGGAAATGTGAAGAGTCGAAAGATTGCAAATGCATTCACACACGCACACACACATATTCACAAGGGCTCGTTGTACATGAGCCTCCCCCCGCAGATCGGTTCTCAATTACACATTAGATATAGTGAGAATAGTATGTCACTTGCATCAGGTCATCACCGCATCATGGTAGCCGCACAGACGGGGCCCTCGTGATGATGGTTTTAGGCAAGGTTGCTGTAAAAGTGCGCTCTGGACCAGGCATCGAGATATCGTCGGCAGCATCGAGCGTCGCTGAGTGATCAGAAACAGGCCGGCGGCGGTTTTTATGTATCGATTGCTGGTCGTAAAAGGTTTGATGGGAAAAAAAAAGAAGAAGAAAGAGAAGACGCAGCGGGGAGAGGTGGAATTTTGTTTTGCAGGCCCAGCATCGGATTCTGCCCCGCTGGTCATGTGATTTGCGTTGTGATGCAACATTTGCTCTGCTGACTGATGCGGTGGAGACTGATTAAAACCTTTGCATGGGGGTTACATAAGCATTCTCGTGGAAAACACCCATTCAGCCATTCAATGCAGGTGATGAAAGGGCGCTAGCGGCGGTACCTGTACGAAAGTACGAGCACGGCGAATTGTCTCTCGCAGAGGCTGAGACATACAGACACATGCCGTTGAATACGACGGGAGACTAGCAGAGCCGAATTAGTAACCTGGAAGCAGAGTCGGTGCGCACAAAAGTAACACATTGGTACGTACCCATGTGTTTTTTTTTGTTCTTTTATTTTATTTTTAACTCCAAACCTCTGCAAGCGCCCAAAGTGTTTGTTGTCACACTTTCCACCCCCCAGCAACGTGCGTTCCAAGCAAAGGCGCACAGGCTCTGGCTGGCTGGCCCATCCCATCCTCGGCAACACGCGTTTGTTCACGCAACAGCCCACTGGAGCTTAGCGCCGTTGCCCTTCTGTGCTCGCCGAAGGCCAGTGCTGACAGCCGCTGAAGCACCCACTAGCGACCGGGTTAGCCTTTTAGCCCGGCCAGGAAAGGCAGCCCTTGAGCCGCCCGCTCTTTTGCCCGTAATCCATTGACTGCCTCGTCTTTCAGGCTCGGAGGATCCCTTCGCCTCTCCACCTTTTGCTTCTCCAGCATACTCGCCTCTCAACCCTCAGCTCAGCGCTTCAATCATCGCCCCGTCCGTCGCCCTACGATCGCTCTCCCTGCCCAGCTCTCGAATCGACGACGCCCACGGGTTTGTCCGTGTCCATTCTCTCTCCCGCATCGTGCGCCGCAGCGGATTTCCCCCAGCGAACCCACCGCCTGCCCCCTAGCGATAGGAAAAACCCTGAAAGGCGCCGGACTGCTCCTCTCGGTTGCCGACACGGGACCAGGTTTTCCTCAGGCCGTCGCCCTCCGCGATCCTCCGCCATCGCCAGAGAACGCAAGAGACGACAACACCAGGCAATCCGTCACCATCGACAGGCCGAGTGTATGAAGCCGTCCGCCTGATTTCGGCCCTTCCCCTTACCGCAGCGACATCTCGGCCTCCCGGCCTGGCGCGACACGCCACTCTGGTCCCTCGCGAGGAGCCTTGGTTCATGATGTCTTTCCACCCCCAAACTCCCCAAAGTCCCTCGCAATTCTCGCCCGCAACCTCTTCGGATCCCTCCCTCGGCTCGTCCGGCTCTGTGGCCGCCGCGGGAACAGGAACGACGACTTTGCCGACTCCTGCACACAGCGTCAACGGCAGCTCCTCGCACCCTGACTCCATCATGCTCGACGATTCACCGCATAAGCGAAAGCGGCCCCTCGAAGATGTCGGCGACGACCGCGACCTGAAAAAGGCTCACATTGACGACTACAAGCTCGCCATCGAGGACCTGCATCGGGACGTGGGCCTGAAATATCTCCTGCTTCAATCTCGTAAGACTCCCTCCGCTGCTCTCGTCTCGCTCCTCCGCCCTTGGAAGACGGGATCTCGACAGTCGTTGGGATGTTTTTGTCGTTCCTAAGATCTCTGCTTTGTTGACACTGCTATCCATCTAGCGCATCCCGAGTCTCTTCCTAGCACGTCGGAAGATCTCTACGACATGTTCGACTTGGCCAATCTGGCTGCCGAAGTCGCCAGAGAGAAGCCAAACGGCGAGAAGAACGCGCTCCGTAAGACGTACAAGGGTCACATCAAGCGGCTAGGCGTCACTGGACACTTTGATGTCCAGAAGAAGAAGGAGGACTCGCCTTCGGATTTCCTTGCCATGCTGCAGGTTCCCGACCACGAATGGAACGTCCATCAGGTCAAGGGTCGGGCTCTCATGGATGGCTTGTCGGATCTAACCAAGTCGTCCTTGGGCCGCGCCCTGACTATGTCCAAGGGCCCAGTCGCGAAATCGGTTTGGGACACGTCGGTGTTAGGGGACATCGGCCCATCTAATGGTGATAGTTCGAAGGCACCGTCCGCGAAACCGACGGCGCCAAACACGCCTCTAATATCCATGCCCGGAGCTGCCATCAATCGGCATAAGTCTCAGCTGTCGTCTGGTTCAAATGCCGCACGGCCTCAACGCAGCATCAAGAAGCGGTCATACGGTGACAGCAGCTACGAGGGATATGGCGAAGGCTTTCCCGACGACGACACTGGCCTTGAAACAGGCTACTCTACGGGAGAAGGTGAAGGAGGCCAGAAGCGCCGCAAGAAGGCAAGCGAGAACCCGACTTCCGATGCTGCCGGTAAATTCTAACACCGAGCAGAATTCAGGAAACACACCGCCCTACCCAAGCGCTATGCGCCAATCGAGCTACGGCCCTGGAATGGTTGGAGTATGACACCTACGGCCTTCCTAAACCCGACATGCCTTTTCAACAGAGTTTACCGAAGGGACTCGCGGAGAGCTGAAATCAATGCTCTCGGAGAATCCAAAAGCTTTAGTTTTCGTCGTTGATTTTGTGGCCCATGGTAGTTCTTTGCAACTCGGGCTTTTGCGACTTGGGCGTGGGCAAGAGAAAAAGTTATGGGGACAATGGTTTGGTAACTTGTACAGGCTCTATATCACGATACATGAAGGCTTGGCTCTCGCAGAAGATCAAAGGGAACTGGCTTGCTTTTTTTTTTCTGCTTTTTTTTTCTTCGCCATTTACATCTTTTGCATCCTTGGACAAAGAGGAGTTGAATCCTCACATTTGCGGTTTTTGTCTAGCACGGCGTTTGGGAGAGGATAAGGGGGTATGTATGCTGGGGCGAGCAGAGGCTTCTTTCTATTTCTATTTTCTCACTAGAAGTATTCTGCCTCGCCCCAGTCATTTTTTATTCTTTTCTTTCATTTTTTTTTCATCATTTGACATTTGCGCTGTTACCTTTTTTTTTTCTGCTGTCTGTTCACTTATACAACCCTTTCAGCAACGCAGCAAAGGGCCGGTTGGAAATTTGAAACCTAAAAAAATACTTCTGGGGACGGGAAAAAGAACATGGTTGTCACTGAGCGCTGAAACAAGCCGCTGAAACGTCAATGAAAGGGGAAATCAAGCGAGACGGAACAACGATTCGGACGGCTTTGGACGGAATGAAAACGGCTGAAATGAGAAAAACACGAGGGTTTAAAGACATCTTTGGAGGGGTGTGACGGCTTATGGGATATCACTGAGCCCCTTTTCTTGTCACAAAAAGGTGCTGTTTTTATTTTTCTCCCCTGCCTCGGGACAGCAGCGGAAAGAGGGAATTTGCGGGTGATGGTTTGTTTGATTAGCCCCCCTCCCTTTATTTTACAAAAATCCCCTTGGGGGGGCTTTTATAGCTCGTCGTGTTTGCTTTTTGCACAGATACCAGTAGGTGAAACAATAAAAAGCTGGTCCCCCAGCGTAATTGGCACATATACTTGTCTCTGCATATCGAGTATTACAGGAGAAATAATCATTGATACCACATCAAGACTTACGGGATTACGACAACTAGGCGTAAATCAACAATAAAAACTTTAATATACAGCTTGATTACTTTGAGCAAAACGCACGTAGGCTGTATATATTGGCACTATTCCCTTCTACATTAAGAGCACTGTACATGTCCATCTGATAGGTATATACCACCGTGAGAATTTCAAAACAAAGAAGCAAGTAACAGAAATAAGGACGGGGTTGAGACAACCATCCGGTCATCAGTCATGCTAGAATACATTCGAGCCCGCTGCTGCTTCAAAGTGATTTATCCACCAAAAAATCCATCCAGCACACATTAAACCCAAAATAAAAAGAGATGGCAAAAGGATAACGCTACGATATCGAATCATGAACAGCCATACAAAATGGTATCAACTCAGAACCTTAGTTTCTCCAGCATCATCCAACTCACTGCGGTTGCTGCTGTCTTGGGTCAAGAACTCCGGTATTCTCGAGGCCGCCAAAGTTCCCATTTTCTACTGTGGGATACGCCCCTCCACTCATCTCAACCCAGTTCCAATCAAAACTCATAGATAGGGAAAAGAGATCTTGAGGGAGTAAAGGTTGCTGAAAGCCTCGGCCGCTGGGCAAGGGTGGCGATTGAACATCGCCGCCGAATCCGGTCATTTCGTCGAAGGATTCAAACTCCATCTCCTGGGGAACCTGGAAATCTTGTGTCCATCCCATGGAGTCCATTGATGGTGACGACCCTAACGGTGTGGCTTTGTAGGCACGTGCAGCAGCAAACTCAGGCGATAAGGTGTCTTGGACGTTGGTCTGCGGCGTTGTTGTTGCGGAGCTGCTCGTATGCTGCGGCGTGTGGATTGAAGCTGCTGGGGTTGTCGACTTGGAGGTACTTGCGGCATTCGGCGACAAGGATTGATTACGACCATCTCCGCTTCCTGGAGTTTCCGCGGTCTTGCGCTTGCGACGAGAGGATTGCTCTCTATCAGCCTTTTCAATAACTCTCTGCGCGATGCGACAGAATTCAGAGCAGATGCCCAGCATTCTGTGAACACCGCCCTGCTCTGCCTCTTGGCCCAGCATTGAGAGGAATGTGACGACAAGATTCATTAGTCGAACATCGGATTTCGCCCGCTGATCGAGAGGATTCTGAAGGATATTGCCAAAGAGGGTGACCAGCGCTGAGACTGGGAAGTATAGAATCAACCTATGAAAACGTTTAGCTTTTTATCTCCTTCATGTTGAGGGCCCTTAAGTTTCCTTACCAGACACAAGAAAAGTCTCCTTGAGGAACATATTTGAGTAGAGAAATGGATGCTCGTGCCGCTGCTGTTGAGAGCATAGCAGACGAGAATACTCTGGGATTCAATGGCCGCACATTCTGACCCGAGATGGCATAGTTGGCCAGCCGACTTGTCCAAAACCCATGGTGGATCGACATGCGGTGGATTGTTGTCAAGCAGTTGTAATAAGTAAAGTGGACCATGACGATATGGAGGATAAGAGGTGTGTGAGAAGCCCTGATTTCATGCTCAGGCCTAAAATCAATCGGGATCCTGTCCTTCCACTCTTCAAGCTCCTGATCCAACTCTCCAATTGTTGCGAGAAGCTCGCCGTCGGACTGCTTTGCCGCCTTGGCCGAATATAGCCTCTTGTACACATTGCTTTCGATGACGGCGAACTCGCACATTACCCGGAACAGGTTCATTTTGCCCTTTCCATCTGCCAGAGGGATGTTCCCAATGTTGTCCTCAGGGTTGGCATCAGGAAGTTCGACGTTCATATCATCATCGTCCTGAGCAGGAGGACGCCCTGATCTTAGGCAGAGATCCTTGTCTAGCATATAAGCGATCCAAAACACTCTCTTGCGCTGCTCGATTTCGATGGGGTTGAGGTTGAATCCCGTTCCCTTCTTGTGGAGGCCGATGCTGTGCGAAAGCCGAATGGCAGCGGCAATCAAAAGGAAGGTTGGCTGAGGATTGGGTGTTCCCTGCATGAACAGCGCCATTCCAAGCAGGGCCTGGACACTCAACAGGTCCGTGTTGCGCATGGTGAGCTCGGCAAAGACACCCATAGCGTTCTTCAAATAACCCCACGCCTTGTCATCCTCTTCTTGTGGAACCAGATTACTCATGACGCGCAGGCGATGGGCGATAGCAAACGCACAGTTGAGACTTGCCCACCAACCAGAGCCCTGGTATGGATCATCGGAGTACTGTCGTTCGACTAGATGCATAAAAGTCGGCTGATGGAAGAGCGGGAACATGCAGTTGAAATTTTCAAAGTAGTCCTTGAGCAGGGACATGGCTTCGGGCTTTGACGGTAGGGGTCGGAAGACGGGTCGCCGAAACAAGTCGCTGAATATTTCGGGCTTCCAATTTGTCCACTTGTGGTCGTCCTCGGAAACTTCAGAGATCATATTCTGGAAAGTGGCGTCACCAGTCTTGTTGTTAATCCATTGGATGCCCTTTGGTGAGAAAATGGAAAAGCCAGATGAGGAGCCTACGTCTTGTTAGTTGAGCATATCCGCCAAATTGCCAGTATGTATGATTTACCGATGTATCTGGTTTCTCCGCATTGATTCGTCACCAGAGAGCACATCATCTCAGACAAGGCCTCGACTTCCTCCTCTCCCTGAAGACTAGCCGGCGTGGCGGCTGGCTTGTTCTTTTCTTCCTGTCTCTTGTCCTTGTCCTTGTCCTTCTCCCTCTCCTTGTCTTTGTCTCTTGGTAGACCTGGCGATGTGACGGAGCTTCTGGGAGAAGCTGTAGGGTCGCTTTCCGACAGAAGGTGTGAAGGCGAGGAGGGGCCGGAGCTATGAGCGACAGCTGTCTGTTCTGACTTTTCGATAAGTCGCTTCTCGAGTTCAGCAAGATCTTCATCCTCATTTACGATAATGCCTAAGGAGCACGTGTAAGTGACGTCAAAACTTGTCTTAGGGGAACCGGTTGATGAGCGTACCAGCCAGCCGAAGAAGCTTTTCCATGCGACTTAGACGGTTCTCCAGTCCTTCGATGTACTTGGCACTATGATGTGTTAATATCTATCGCCCTTATATAAAAAGAAGACGTCTGAAGAATCTTACCCCTTTGGCGTCGCCCTCTTCTTTTCAATCTGGGTGAAGATACATTCAGTCTTGTAATTAGTGCAATGGGTGCACGATGGCAGCTTGCCGTCACACTTGATCTTCTTTCTTCTACATTGGTCACAGGCCTGAAGAAAGGTTAAGGAAAGACCGGATTAGCATCTCGGGATACTTCATTGGTAGCCAATTGCAGCACATGTACCGCTCCAACGGGCATATAGGGGACCTTACCCTAGCTATTCTCCTCCTCTTAGCATCTTGGCTGTCGTCAAGCAGCAAGTTGGAGTCAGAAAACATTTGTGCCGTCATGTCTGGCGGAAGCTGCTGCAAGCTGGCCAAGCCATCGGTCAAGAATGAGCCAAAGACCTGAGGTGGCTGGTTTGTAAGCGGTGGTTGCACCAGACCGGGCATCTGGAACATGCCCAAGCGATCCATGGTAGTAGCGGGATTAGAGGCAGCCGAGGTCGCTTTTGTCTGTGAAATATATTCGTATCGTGTTGTCCTGTTGTGCGTGTATCGCTGTCCTGGTGATTGGGACCAGTTGACACGGCTAATACGCACAAGGTGGGATAGAGAGCTGGTGTTATAGCTCTGGATAATGCAGAGTCATACAGTTGATGTCGTATTCTGATGCAGAATAGACGGTCGACACTGAAAAGACTGTACGGCGTGAGGTCCTTTGTGATACCCAAGGCAGGATCAGGAAGAGGGTACCGAGTAGGGCGTGTCTATCGCGAATGCGGCGGGTTGTGGTGAGACACTTGAATGGGCCGTCTATGGCTTTAATCGGTGCCAAGGGCCGCCACAAGAAAGCTCTGCGGCGAATAGGAGGATGCGCCGTGACGAATTTGGAATGAAGAAGCAATGAGAAGCTCGCCTCAGAGAAAAACTCAGAGGGAAGGTATTCGGATGCGCATCTGGGGCGTGAGGGAGTGAGTGCGAAGGAGGATGATTTGATTTGAGCAGTGAGAAACAAGCGGGGACCAGGAACCCGAACCTGTATGCGCACGAGGTTCTTGTCCAGTTACCTGCGTATCTGGTACTTGGTATTACTACTGCTAAGGTACTACTCGGTGCGGCCACAAGCCCGCATCCGTGGGTGGATGACACAGGCGCTCTGCTCCAGCGGCTGAGCCCCAAAACCCACCCTGCAAAGCTCTGAAGGCTCCGCCTGACGCTCCCCTTACAGGCTCTCGCGCTGGCCGCCGTCCCCCGTACTGCCAAGGTACAGGTACTAAGTCGGGGCCCCGAGCGTCTCAGCGACAACATGCCGCACAAGCCGCTTCTGTTTCTTTTTCGGCTCCCATCAGCCCACTCGAGCCCTGGACGAGCGGCCGCGAACGGCTAGAGCCTTGGCCAAAGTGATACTGCTGGCGTCATGCCGTGTAACAAGTACAGGTACTTGGCTTTTCAAGTGTGTCAGTGCGTTGTCTCTGCTTTGACGGCTTCAACGAGGCTGCATTTAATGTACAGTAAGGTAGTGATCTAATGTAAGGTAATGGTTATATAACAGACACATAAGCAAGTACGGAGTAGTATAGGAGAAATGAAGCAAAAAAAAGAAGGCAATCGAAGTCATTAGGCGATGCGATGCGAGAGGGGGGGCAACAATCCTGCCCACCAGGACCAGGACCAGCAGATATCCCAACGCCACCAAAAAGTCGCCGGTTTGCTTCACTGCTTGGCCCCTTTCTCACGGCTGTTGATCTTGGAGGCATCCGTGATTGACGCCTTGTTGGGGAAATGCCACTAGCACGCAGCATCGTGTGACAGCAGAAACAAGGTGCAGCATCACATCATAACTAATATTCCCTCCATTGGTTCCCCATCCGTGCTCCACGATGTTCAGAATCGGGGATAACGCCCTTCCGTCGTCTTGGCTTCATGGAGGTCCCTCTATTCTGTTTCTGGCGTTGTTTGTCAGCCGGGCCATCTCCAGGAATCATAACATCGTACTAGTTAAAATCCTCCATATCCCTACAGAGATGTCTGTCTACCTATCTACAGTACACGTTGGTAGCAGTAGCAGCTGTAATTGAAGTTACCAACATGAAAGTCCATCCATGTATTTACAAGGCTCTGCGGTGGTCTTGACTGGCAAAGATGGAAGCGTCGCAAAAAAACAGAAAAGGTAATACCCCGACGCACCGTCGGCTATTGCGGAGATGAACGCACGAAAGCTGCTCGGATTCCCAATCTTACTTCTGGGCGGACCTGTGCAACGCAACGGCGGACTTTGTAAGTTGTCCATGCTCACTCATACCATCCTTCATCCTCCATCCTCCTCGCCAGACGAAAAAAAAAAAAACACAGAAAAGGAAAAAGGAACCCTCGGAAGACGCCAAGCCTGCGTCGGGGCTTTTCCCTCCCACCTGCAAATGCATGTCTCTCGTTTCCCTTTGGGGGTTGTTGTTGATTTTTTGTTTCAACTGCCCCGCCGCCGCCAGGAACCTGAAATGCCAATTTAGCTGCGACAAGAATAAATCATACGTGAAACGCACACACGATCGATGCTGCAATCGCGAGACGCTGTTTAGAATCCCTCCCTCCCTCCCTATCAAACGCCACTCAATTTGGAATTGCATTGCCAATCCTTCTGTCATTGCTAAGCAATCTATTGACGCTACGTTAACGTGCATCCCACCACAGCTGCATGTACCGGTACCTGTACCTGCACCTCGCCTTATTTAGGTTCAGTCGACTTTCCAGACATATACGAACTCGAACTTGCAATATCCGCCAACTAAAAACCCCAACCAACCAACCAACCACTCGCACAGCACACTTGGCAACAAACTAGAATAGCCCCAGAAAAGCCCCGTCAGCTTCTAAAAATGCGTCTCAGCAACTACAAATGGTGCTCTCAAAAGGTCCATAACACTAAAAGTGCTTCCACTACCAGAGTAGGCAAGTAGGTAAGCAGCTAAGCAGCCAACCACAGCGTCGTCAGCCCTATCAAGTTTGACTCCGTGCTCGCTCCTTTCTTAATATAGCACACCTGGTATTCAAGCACACTTATATTTGGACCAACGGCCGCGTCCCTGCTCCCGTGCTATACATAGGTAGGCAGCTTACCACTATGGACACCTATTAGTCAATCCTCCATTGTGGGCAGCACTCTCGTCATGAGAACCCGATGAAATGCTGCGAGACACGACAAGGAGACACTTGCAACCTCCTCTCCAATCGCAGGACCCGTCAGACATCCGGCACCACGTGGGAACCCTGACAAAAGACTTACGAGTACGAGGCTCTTCCAGTCATTGAGCTCCCATGACATGACTCACGCTTCAATGCAAATGTCTCTCAGGGCGGAGTTTGCGTCCCATGTTTCCAGTGCCGGCTCCGGATCTTTGTCTCGACACCGGCCCGCTCACACACACTTCCCGTACCGTTTCATCAATGTCTCGTCTGCTTATCAACGCGTCCGTCACACTCATCACGTTCATCCTTTCTTCTCGTTCATCTGTCGTTTGTCTTCATGCCATGCAAGCTGCCCGGGCATTCCGGAAACACGGCCAGATAGATGCAATCTGATCATCTGACGCTACTAGATCATCTACGAAGTACCTACCAGGTGACATCACATGCGATGCCCTATATCGAAAATAGTAGCTACCACGAAAGATCTTCAGTATTCGAATGATGTTATCCGTTTTACTGCTGCGTTCTCCGTACTGTGTCCTAAGATATTAACTGCAACATCATAGCACCCGTCATTCTCACACCGAATACGACACAGAAAAATCAATCATACGTATGGGTATTTGCCTTATTTTCTGACAACTTGCATCGTCCTAGGTACTTAAACTATACATAACATAATCGCAAGGTGTATAAAGCGCACCCTGCATACAAGAATCGCTCCCTTCAAACCTCCACTGATGCAAATGGATTATCGTTAGAGATGGACAAGAAAGGGAAAAGAAATAAGAAAAGATCGACAAAGAACAAAGAAATGGCCCTCCCATATGAAAGAAAATCTCTCCCTTACTTTTCCTCTATATCCTTCCCTTCCTTTTCCTCAGATTACTGTCCAAAAAATCCCACTTTGACCACACCAACGCCACTGTAAAGGAAAAGAAGAACAAAAGGAAAGAAAAAAGAATAAAAAGGGAATAGAACGCAAAATTCAAAGCTCCTTGAGAGGGGAGCAGCCCGGTGAGCGCAGCGGCGACAACAAAAGGAAAATATCTTCTTCAGAGGTAATAGATAAAAGAGGAGGAAAATGTACAGGAAACAATATGGGTATGGAAACGTATGTAACGAATTGGTATCAATCAAAGGCCTTCTTGGAATCTGGATCCTCTCCCGGGACTCTCGCGTTGCCGCATCATAGGGGGCACGGAGTCGTCGGCAGGGGGGGTTCTTGGAGGGTCTGCAAACGGGTTTGACTCTGCAACCACAGCCCGGGCTGGGCCGGATCGAACAATGGGTACGCCGCTGGTTGGTCGCATGGGAACTCCCAGCTGTAACCGGGCTCCTGGTCCTCCGAAGGGATCAAAGGCCTGTGAGCCACGGTTCCAGTCTGAAGTGCTGCTCATGAAACTCGCACGAGGGTCCGAGTACCCATCGCCGCCCACCTGCAGAACTGATGGCAGCTTTCTGCCAGACACACGGTAGAAACCTCTTTCTCCGGTTTCTGAAGAGTTTACAGAAGCAGAACTCCTTTTGGGGGTTAAACCGGCAAACGCCGCGGTTAGTGCCGCAGCGCCGTATCTCTCCGTCATTGCACCTCCGCTATCACCCCCGTCCCCTCCGCTGGGAGCTCCATCAGGGGTGATGATGGTCGGGGGAAGTCCGCGGGACTCCGAAGTAGGTTGGCCGGTAGGTTGAGATGCATTAAGCTGACGTCGCTTGTATCTCAGAGCCAGCAGTACCAAAACGAGAAAGAAAGCAGCGCCGGCCAGGCCTCCAACCACACCTCCAATGACTTGCTTCTGCTGGGGAGAGAGCGCACCCTCGGTTGAGTTGGAAGATGTCGACGGCGTGGGCGCTGCGCCGCTTCCTGCTGTTGGTGCGCTATCTCCTCCATACACGCCTCCAAATGCGCCATCAGTAGGCGCAGGCTGAAAGGAAGTAGCAGCTGAAATGACGGTATCTGAAAACGATGTAAACTGAGAAGAGGAAATCTCCGAGGTCGTCGATGAAGTGTGGTGGCGTGTTGATGTCGATGAGAACTTGGTTGACGAAGAAGTGACATTTACTGATTCAGCATGGAATAAAGAATTGGTCGCATTATGATGAATGGAATGGTGAACTATCACGTCAGGGTTAGAGAGGAAGCCGGTTGGGATATGCTTGGTCTTGGGTAACGGGTGACGACGTACTGCTTGTTCCATTGTGGCCAATGCCCAAAGAAGGAGCCGCGGGCACCGTTGGAGGTGAGGAATGAGCGGGCGGCGAAAGTGATACCGGAGAAGATGCTGAGATGGGGGCAATAGAAGTTGCCTTTATTTGCGGGACGGATGCTGAGTCGGAGGCAATAGAAGTAGGCCTTGTTTGCGAGTCGGTGCTGGATGTTGAAGAGCTGGTTCCTCCGCTAGGCCCCGGGCCGGAACCCGGCGCAGCTGGAGCTGTCGTGTGGTCCGGATTAGAAGCAGAGATAGTCTGGCCCGTGTTCTTATCAACAATGATGGTGTTGGGAGGAGCAAAGCGAGTCAGTGTTTCGATTGGTGATCCGGAGGTATCCACTACTTGAACGAGCGAAACGGTCTGGATGACCCTGGTAACGAGAGAGGTTGCGCTGGGGGTTGTCGCATCACTGGGCTTTTGGTCCGGGACAGGTATAACAGCTCGATTTTGGAGATCTGGTCCTTGGGCCTTGTCGGGCTTGACGTCGTCGGGTCGAGGGCCGGCGACGGCGTCGTGAGGATACTGATGATGCAGATGCTGGCCGTGGCCGTGTGTGTGTCCAAGTTTGAATGCGGAATGAGCGTGAGCGTGCGGACCGCTACGGGCCTGAAGGAGTGAAGGCCGGCGGTTCGTCATTGTGGCAATGTCGGTGGGCAGTGCTGATTTGCCCAGTAGCGACGATCGTATCGTATTCCCAGGTGTTGTGGGGTCTGGCAGGCTGACGCCGAGAAATGAAGCAAGTGAAAATCTAATTCGCTATTCCTTCTGCTGGCTGCATCTTGAGAACCCAAAATAACCACCGTAGTCGTAGTCAATGTCGTCGTCGTAGTTGGTAATGTCCGTCTTGGCGATACTATATCGAAGAGGACTGCCTCACTTTCACCATCCGTCCGTGTCACTGGAAGATGGATCTGACGAGGCGAAAAGGCGAAAAGGCCAAGGGGGAAAAATAGAAAGAATTATTCGAGAATCAATATCGCGACGGCGATTCGTTTCGTTTCGTTTGCTCGTGGCGCTCCGGATTCTCTCGTTTCCACTTTCTTATTCCTCAATCGCACAAGAACTTCCCTCTCAAAGGAACGGCTCAACAAAGGTCAAACAAAAAAAAAAAGGCAATGGTCATGGCGAAGAAAAAAAAAACCAAAGCAATGATGCGCGCACGTCCGCTGGCCACGGGGAGAAAAAAAAGGCAAAAGAGAAAGAGAACAAACGGACGAAAGAGGAGAAGCGAAGGAAGGGGAGACGATAGCAATCTCTCCGCCAACCTGGCACAGGGACGAGCCAGGCCACAGAGATTTGCCCAAGTACACGTACCTCGTGCAGCTACTTCGCACGGGGCAGCACGGCATACAAGCGAGGACGCGCGGAGGTACCTGTACTTTGTGCCAGCACACCTAACGTGCTTTGCGCTGCAAGTACGGAGTACTCGTACTGTTAGCAGCACGGGCAAGGCCTTTGGGATCGCCTGGGTGCAAAAGCCGAGCTGCACGACTTGCACGAGGATGCCGGGGCTTTTCGCAGCCAGGATGTGGTTAATTTCAGGTGCATCTCCCAATTGCTCCGTGCCTGAGGCTGATGCTAGCGCAGGTGCCGGGACAAGCCTGGTTGCACTAACACTAACAGACACGATGGACGAGCAAAAGGCCGCTGAGGGGATACTTGTCGGTACATGTAATTTCGCTTTGGCGGGGGGCTGTGGCTCCGATAACCAATCACAGATGGGCTGCTACACGATTTGCGGGCCCGAGCGTTGGAATGTCAAGTGCCAAGACGCACCAAAAGATGCAGGTCCGGCGCACAGATACGATACAGCACAGCGCAGAATGCCACTGGCCAGCACACAAAGTACTGTAGCAGTACTCGTACAGCACAGTAGTGAATACTACAAGGAGGTGGTGAAGCTTTTGATCTATCCATTTTGATGCATGAGATATGCCCGTCTCAGGACTAGCAGCTGCAAAGGCATCCATCGCACCGGAATCTGCATATTATACGGGCAAGAAGGCAACTGAACAACAATGTAATGTATGGTACTTATGTAGTGCTAATATAACCTGATTGTTGTTTACTGTACTCCGTAATATACTCGTACCTACCTATCCGTTGGGAATGACTTTGACACCGCAATGGCCATGGTACCTTAGTAGTAATGATACGTAATAGTATGCGTACGCGGTCGAGGCAGCTGATGCAATCTAGGATGATATAGGCAAGGCATTGTGGTTTTAATATAGAATAGTACGGATCATCTCTCGTCGGTAATCACAGAGTGCTCCATCTCGGTATGCTAGCGTGAGGATGCTGCAAGGTACGGATCAGTCAATGGGGCATTCCGAACCCGGTTTACAGAAGAATGTACAAGTGCCCCTACGCGGCGAAATACATGGCATGATGCAGTACTCGTAAGCACGGAGAGAGGTACTGTAGCTTGGGTAGGTGAGTATTCAACTCGTACTCACAAATTTACTACATACAGTCAGAACAGAAGGATTGAGATTTGGCTGTAGTACGAGAATGCAGCCTACCACCGTTGGGTGCAACAAACCCGTCACGAGTCATCCCGCAATGTCCTTTAATTATTCTACGTCTATTAGTATCCGGATAGCTTCCTTCAATTGCGCCACTAATTATTTTTCTCTTCTTTCTGTCGCTGTTGATCCGCCTTGTTGTTTGCACGCTATTCGAGCGAGCAAGTGATGGACAACCCTGCTAGTGTGCTGTCTGGCATCAATGCGTCCCTTAGCACTGCAGATTGGGGGCTGCACGACCAAAGACAGCGGAGACTAGGAGCTCTCGCCGTGCTCCTGCTTAATCTACAGGCACTGCTAGGCTGGTATAGTATAGTTTCGGAGGCACTTGTAAATAACAGCAGTACTGTCTCGTTGAATGATCTCATATGGAGACATTTATTCGGGTACTATTGAAGTAAGCCATCAGCGAGCTGTAGGAAAAGTACCTTCAAAGTTGTTAGGTCCGCATCTACCAATACAAACACTAGCATTCACAAGTACGAGTACGAAATAGAAAAGAACAAGCGGGTAACAATGACAGCATGAATCATGAATGCGCAATGCCGAACAAAAAGAGAGAAAAAACTTCATGGCTCGGAATCACGGAATGTCCCAGTCCGTGGTGCTCCTTTATGCCAACTGATGCCCCCAATCACTTGTGCTTGTACTTGCATGTACTGTCGTTGGCGCTCTGCCTCACTGCCATTGGCCCAGGCTGAGACATCAACCCCCACCCCAAACGGCCCATGCGCAGGCACCATGCGGTGGCTTTTTCGCTGCCACATGCAGCCTAGCGCAGCGATACGAGTACGGCGCCCAGGCACCAGGTCCCAGCTGCATGGCTATTGATAGCACACATGGAAGGCACAGGTAACGTAATGCTTCCTATTAGCGCTCTATCAGACCATTTAGTCCTCCGCTTGATGGTACCCGGAGCCGCTATACAGCTGCAGTGCACAAGCAATGTACTTACATCCTGTCACCTAAATAAGGTACCTACCTACTCGTACACAAACGATTCAGGATCCTTATCGATTGTGCTCAGCAGCAGCCCCGCTATCTGCATCTCGGCCAGCCTCGCCTCTCCCCCGCTCCGGCCTTGCAACCGCCTCCCGAGTCCCGTGGCCGATCGCTGGGCTTTGTTTCACAGCCTTATTCATCTTGATGACGACGACGGTGAAGCTGTGATTTATCAGTACGTCCAAGTACGTCCACGGTCACGTTGCGGCAATGTTGATGGCATCTATTCTGCAATCTCAATCATAGCCCACCCTTGACGCCACCACCTCTCCATCCCAGAGATATTAAACACCACTTTCACCCATACACCAGCCGCCTCATATCATTCTTATTCAAACACCATGGCATCGCCACCTCCCCTTCCAGAAAGATCTCTTCCTCGGCCTCCGCCCCCTCCCCTGCCGCCAAGGAACAATTCCCAATTGCCTCCGCCACCTCCCTATTCCGCCGTGGATGAGTCCCGGGCCTCGTTGGCCTCTCCGGATCAACAAGGCCCTCAGATCCTGCTCTCCAAGGTCAAAGACCCCCGTACTTCGTCATCTCAATCTCTGGTGCCATCAGGCTCCGACTCGGATGGCAGGCGAACTCTTCTGTTGGTCTACATCCATGGTTTCTATGGGAATGACCAGTCCTTTCGATCATTCCCAGCCCATGTCCATAACTTCTTACGTGAAGCCCTGTCAGAAACGCATGTTGTCCACTCCAAAGTGTATCCCAGGTACAAGACCTACAAGGCCATAGATGTTGCGAGGGATAACTTCAGTGCTTGGCTGGAGCCTCACGAGTCACCCACAACCGATGTCATCCTCATAGGTCATTCCATGGGAGGCTTACTGGCTGCCGAGATGGTTCTCATGGTAAGCCACCCCTGGCCTGATTGAATATATGACTATAGCAAATTCTGTGTTCTAACGATGTGAACCTCTTTAGCCTAGCCAGATCTCGTCCAGCCAGTATCCTCTGAAGCATCGTATTCTAGGAACTCTATCCCTAGATTCGCCCTTTCTGGGACTTCATCCCGGCATCGTAGCTTCGGGAATCTCAAGTCTCTTTCAGCCCGGCCAAACCCCTCCTAGCCAAGACTCCGCATCACCGTCTCTTCCAGAAGCTCACTCGGCAGATCCACAGCCCTCATCACCTACCATGTCTCCGAATAGCCCACTGAGCGGACCAAGAGATCCCAATTTTGACCCCCCTTTCTTCAATGACGCGCCGTTCAGAGAAAAGTCATTTCTTACCCGCGTGATGAATTTCAGTTCCAAGCATTGGTCTGAAGGCCTCATTACTGCCTTGGGTAATCATATTGCCTCCCATCTAGAGTTTGGCGGATGTCTGGCCGACTATCGCGGACTCATGTCGCGATACAATCAACTTCGTGCTCTTGAAGATGTGGACGATCTCCAGGCGTTGAACAGTGGTACATTCAACAATTCACACACGCGAGTTCGTTTTGTGAACTACTATACGCTGTCTTCTGGCCGCCCCAAACAGCCATCCACAACTCAAGGCAGTCGTGATATAAGCCAGGTCGATCTGTCCACAAATTCTGCGTCTGAGACCAAGACTGAGGACGATATTAACAAAAAGCTGGCTGATGTGACTATGTCAACAGATGATGACACAAGAACCCTCTCCTCTCCCACCCTTTCTAAGCCTAGCACTCCGGCTAAAGAGAGTGAGCTGAATGAGCCAGTAGCAGCCTCAGTGCCAAAAGAAGAGAAGGACATTAACCACGCCAGTTCAAGTTCCCAGTTGGAAGAACCAGAACTAACTATTGATTCAAATCGGCTGTCTAGACTTTCTATGCTGTCCATGCAAGAGATTGACCCGATCCCCATGGATGAGACAGAATCCGATTTCGTAGAACAAGGCTCTGAAATCACCCTACCGACCATCTCAGACGGACCGCCCGTTTCGATGAAAGGTTCCATCGATGAGATAAGAGATCCGTCAGACCCAACACTTGTTTCTCCTCTCGATATAGACCTCCCTCCGATTCCCGATCTCCCTAATCCCCCCGAGCAGCCCGACCTCTCGCAATACACAGATAAAGACTCCCGCAAGCAAGCAGAAAAAGAATTCAGCCGCCTGCAAAAGGCCTACGAGAACGCCGTCAAAGACCGCAGCAAGGCCCTCCGCGAACGCGAGAAACTAATCGAGAAGCGCCAAAAGAAGGCCCAAAAGGACGCCCAAAAGGACGCAGACAAGCTAGAAAAGGACCTGAAGAAGCAAAAGCAAAAAGCAGAACAGGAAAAGCGCCGCCTCGAAAAGGAAGAAGAAAAAGCCGGCAAGGCGGAGAAGAAGCGGCTGGACAAGGAAGCCGCCGCCGCCGCGAAACAGCTCGTCACGGCAGATGAAACCAAACGCAGCGCCGCGGCATCGTCATCCGTCGCTTCGCTGGCTGAGACGGAGGCTGAAATGGCGGGTACAAGTAAGCCAAGGAAGATGAAAAAGTTTTGCACTACGCCGAGCAAGACGAATGGCGTTATGGATTCGACGTGGGTGAGCGTGTACATGGACGGCATGGACGAGGTGACGGCCCATTGCGCGCTCTTCTTGCCTGGGCCGCATTACGATAGGTTGGTGGGTGATGTGGGCGGCCGGATCGTGAGTTGGGTGCATAACGACCTTTCTGTGAGGGCCATGATGGAGATGGATTGAGTGCTCAACGAGAAGTTGAGCTCCAGAGAGATGGTCTTTGCCGTTGTCTGATGATGATTGTATGTGGAATATTTTCAAAGCTATAGAGCGCAAGGTAAACTCGTAATGTAATGGTTTATAACTTGGTATCAATATATTTCGTCATGGAGACGAGACGCTCATGTATACACACTTTTTCCCATCCCGCAAATCAAACATCGTACACTCAGTATATACATGTATATATACATACACACTTATATATCAAAGTCAATTAATTAAAATCCCACCTCCATAAAATACACAAACATTAAAAAAATGACAAAAAGCGCAATTCAGTAGATATCCAACTCCCGCAACCGTACCCTCAAATCCTTCTTCTCCCCGCTTCTAGCATCAATCCCCTTCATAATAGACGCATCGGCCTCGTTCGCCACAGGCACCAGCCCGTCATACGCGATGCTCAATGCGCCCAGACGCACCAACTGGCCCTCGGGATCCCAGTTCCTGCGCCCGCATATCAGCGCCGTCGCCGTAGCCGCGGCACTCCCCGGGCCCGTTGCACGATGAATCGGGCCATCGGACTTCCAGTGACGCCCCGAAACGAGGACGCCGACGAGGTGGTACTCTGGGTCGATCGGTGCATCATCTGCAGAGGCGGAGAGGACAGTGACGGACGAGCGGCGGATCCATGCGTCGACGTATTCGGAGGCGGATTTGCCCAGCGCGGAGGCCACGGGCTCGGCCAGGGACAGGGTCGACCTGTTTCCAGCGCCAGCGGTGGTTTTTTTCACGTCAAGATCGAAGCAGTACGTCTTAAGGCGCAGCATCTCGATCTTGTCGGTCTTGCGGGCGATGGCGTCCCCGTCAATCTCCCACGAGAGAACCATGCCGTCGCTGAAGCCGACGGAGATTTCCATCCCGGGCGCCGCTGATACGCCGTCAAGAAGAGGTGAGGCGTCGTCCACGAGATTGAAGTTGAAGGAGTAGCTAGGGGTGTTGTAATTATACGTTGTTTGGTTAGGCCGCCATGCGAGCCATGTCCAAGAGGGAAAGGGACAGGGGGAATCAATGAGAGAGTAAGGGTCGATGACGGGATTGTGAAGGAGGTCGTCGTGGGAAGAGTTGGAGGCGGCGGAGATGGAAGAAGAGGGGAGTGTGCGGTTGGGCATCCATCCCAGAGCAACGGCCAGGCGGTCTGTTTGGCTGACGACCTTGTGCCTGGTGAAGTCGTCAGGATGGAAAAGGGGCAGGCCGAGCAAGTGCTCAACAGGCAGCTTCTCCCGCCGTGAGTATTCATGAAGTAAGCCCCTGAAGGCGTCTAGGTGGTCGTCGGTGTAAGTGAGGCTCTTGGCCAGGTAGGCTTTGATATGATTCTTCAGTTTGTTGGGCCGAAGAATATCTTCGGTCGAAGTGGGAAACACCCGACCAAAGTTCAGACCCGGTGCATATTTTAGGGGCAGAGAAAGACTCTCGTGACAGTGCATGGCCTGGCACTGGAAGTAGATCTGCGAGGGCGTGAAGATGAGGCGTCGTCGCGACAAAAGACCCTCCTGGTATGTCCATGCCCGAGACGCCCACTTCGACGAAGCAACCTCGAGGTCTGGGCGCAAAAGCGACGTGGTGAAAAGGTCTGACCCTGTTTGTATTGACAGCTGCTCTTCGCGGGGTACACTGACTCCAGCGATGCCGTCATCAACGCCTTCTCCCGCGGCAACGACGAGTGTCAGAGTCGAATGGCTGAATATCTGACCCATAATGTCAAGCTGTTGCTGGCGTTCTAACGCTCTCTCCAGGTCTCCCTTCGCGGGCATGCAATATCGGTCGACCCAGAGGTACCGATATCCAAGGCCCCTAGTAGTGGCAATAGCATCAGCAATCAGTTTTGGGAGATCGCGCGGAAGATGGCCGCCGTCGTCGGTTCCTTGACCAGAGGCGGCCCCGTCGTCCTTATGGTGAGAGCCTCCCCAGACATAGCTGAGCGTGACATAGTCCACATTCTGATGCCTGGTGCCGGTCTCGTGGCTGTTGCGAGTGCCACTCTGGCTCTTGTCGTCTTGCGGCTCGTCGTGAGGTGCTGCTGCAGATAACTGCTCTGCGAGAACAACTTTATTCTCTTCGCAATCAATCAGCTTCAAGCCCTTGACCAGTACCCGATTCTTGGCGGAACAGGCCTCGGTATGATTCTCACCGCAAAAGTCAATCCAGCTCTTTGCCAGCGGGAGATGGAGCAACGGAGATATCTCCCTCCCCCGGATGACCCTTGATTCGACTTGGCGCTTGTCCTTTCCGTTGACTTTCGCATGGCCGTTCTGCTTCGTCTCGGCTTGTGTCTCCTCCGTATTGCCATTCTGCTTTGTCTCGGCTGGTATCGCTTCGGCATGCCCCTCCACCTCATCGGCCACCGATGTCCTTGGCTTTACCTCTACTAATGCCTCCTCCTTCAACTCTGCATCGGCCTCGACTCCCGAGTCCGTCCCTGTTTCTGCTCCTCCATGTACGCTCGCCTCTGCATCCAGTTCCGCGTCCGTTTCTGTCGCTGTCTCCGCCTCTACCTTTGCATTTGCGTGTAATTCCTCCTCCTGCTGCTCCTCTTCCTCCAGCGGAGGCGCAGCCTTCACAATGTACCCCCATGGAAGAGACCGATTCCTCGTCGTGACTTCAAAGAGTACCGACTTGCCTAGCGCGTGCTTCTCTCCACCGCCAAGCCGCTCGAATGCTAGGCGAATACGCAGATACGGCGTGAACTTGCCCTTCATGGCCCTGCCATCCCTCCCATCTGCGCCGCCGGTCTCGTCCCCTTCTGGCACGGTAGTGATCATGGAGTGGAAGAAGACACACCACGGACACAGGTTTCCCTCCTTCCTCCTCTTCCTCCGTCTCTCGTCCTCGCTCAGTCCGTCTCCGTCCAGCATCAATCCTTCGAGGCCTAAACCCTCGTCCTCGGGCAGTCTCAGCCTCAAGCAGTGAGCCAACGAAACCCATGGTCTTGAATCCCCCGGCTGCCAGTCCAGCAGCGTCGCAAAGTCAATATCCTGGCAAACCTCGCAAAGCTGCCCAGCGTCGTCGCTCCCATCCGCCAATATCCTCCCGGCGCCATACCTGGGAACCTCCTTGGTGAAGATGCGACTATGATTCTCACCATTCATCGCCAGCCCATCGTCGCCGCTGCGCCACCGTCTGGACGTCAGCTGGTGGAAATCCAGCGAGAACTCCAGGCCCGCGTCCCAACGGCCATGGTCGTCGCCGCCAGATCGCCCAAGCCGCCGCGACAGGATCTTGGAAAACTTCTTCATTCCAGTGTTTCGCCTGTCAAGAAAAGCACCGACAAGGGGATCCAAAAAGTCCGGCGTAGCTCACTTCGCGCTCTCTCTTCTCGCTTTCACTCAACAGTGCGCATCTTCCCGTGCTGCTGGTTTGCGCGTGCCTCTGCACCGAGGCGCTTTCAAAAAATAATAGATGTAAGAGAAATAGTAAAAGAGCGGCTGTTGTATGGCGAAGACGTGAGTTGTTCTCTTCAAGTGAAAGCGCGGAAAGGTAATGTAATATCGTCTCAAGGGAAGGTAACGGATTTTGGTATGACTTCTTTAGTAATCGGCGGCAACCACAAATAGGCGGACATATGATTCCAAGACAGAGATTAAAAATAGAGTTCCAGATCGCACGATGAAAAATGAGAAAAGAAGAAAAAAGTATAAAGACAGGGGTCCCAAACCAGACGACGCCTCCAATATATTATAAGAAGAGTTTAAAAAAAAATTATGGAAACGAGGGAGAACAAGGCCGAGATAAGACACACCAAAAGCTAACGTGGTAACAGAGAAACCAGGCCCGCGGATCGGGGATCAGGAGGTTCAAGGGGTCCCACCGCAGTTGATGGCGGCTGGAGAAAAAGGGCAAGACACCCATTTCAGACGCAGCTCGACCTAACCTCATCCAAAATGCCATGTCCAATAGCCCGTAAAAAACCGCCGGACCGGGGCCTTTGATTGATCCGCCTTGGTTGATTCTTGCACACCAGTCCGATTTTTTAATTTCATCTCTTCTTTCCCCTCTGGCTCTCCCGTCCATTTGAAATCCAGCCATTCGTTCGCGGTGCTCCCACTTGAGGCCCCCCATCTCGTAGCGCCAGACTATGCCCTCGCTAGCCAAATAATTTCTCATTAACCCGAATCCTGCCAAAGTATTGGGGGAGGGAAGCATGAACACGACATATATAGGATATTCATGCTGTCATCTCCGCCATTAGTCGGGTTTGTTGAGCAGAGTAAAGTCCATCACTGGGATATGAGCTGTTGACGGCTTCAAGAGTACAATACAGAGGTCCACGGGTATCTTACTCGCATGCTCTCCACAACAATACTACTAGGTATCAACACGCCTTACCTGAAATGCACTGTATAAGCCAGTAATAAGCCATTGTAAAGAATCTCTCTACAGTCCCCCCATGCCACTTCAAGACCCCCGGCTCCGAAGCAGTATCAGGTAGCATTTAGTCTTACTACCCGTGTCTGCGCTTGCTCCGTATCGACTACTAAACCCGGTAGTATTACCACCTAGACCTGGGGTACGTAGTATTAAATGTTCCAAGTTAGCCTCGAGTCTGGAGTGTCGCAATCTGGAGTCTCGGCAGCCTTGGATCCAGCGCATACGGATATAAATAGAGTTGTTGGATCCCATAGCCAAGCACGCGACCAACTCGATATTGCCTCGGGCCGCTCTGCATCGTATCCATGCAACGTACATGTAGATGGATAATTCCGAGATGGCTCTCACTCACAGAGTACCCCAAGCCTCATCAGAGTCAATATCATAATCATCATCAGCCTACTTCGTATGATGGACGTTCTTCGCTATTTCTTTTCTGAAGTGCATAAAAAAATCGCCAAATATCTTAGCCATCCCAGTGACGAATCTCTCCAAAGTGATTCCTAAAGCACATTTATGCCCCTAGCCTATTGTGTCCCCTGCTTCCCTTCAACCGGCCCTTTTCCCTTGACCCCTTGAACTAGTAGCCGCAGATCCTGCTTCACGACACAAGAGCCAGCGTGTTGTCGTACCTAAGCCTTCCGACAACACCCAGACTAGTCTCGCCGCCAGCAACGCTAGGTCCAGTTGCGAGGATCTATGGTCCGTATGTCAGCGCGTGCTATACTGGAATGCCAGACAAGTCATATTTCAGCTTACCTCTCCCGCAACCACATCATCTGTTGTTTTGAATGAGCCTTTGTCCTTCAAACGAATCTCGATGCTTGTCACAGGTGCGCCAAAGTGGCCGTTATCGTCGCCCTCCTCGACTCTGTAGTCGTAATATGCCGTCTGTGAAACAGCGCCTACCACCCGAGCACTTGTCAGAGCATACACGACTCGGGCGCCTGTGAAGACGCGCAAGTCAGAGAGGACTTTGGGGGAAAGACGAGGAGTGTCCGCGCCAACACGCTCTGCGGTATACACTGCACGCAGCTTGCTGAGGTCGGTGCCAAGGGCCGGCTTCGCTCCAGCCGCAAACGCAGACAGCAGGTTAGAGGTTGGAAGAATGCCCTGTTGTGTGAGAGCACGAGTAGAAAAGGCATGAGAGGCTCTGGCAAGAGGAGAACTCAGTTTGGCGGTGGATTCTTCATGAATCTTGAGCAAGCTGGAGGGGCTGGCAACAATCACCGTCGGGGCGATGCCCTGAGTCGCCAGAACCAGATCCGGCGATCGACCAGCAACCGAGTTGAAAGCTACCGAAGAATTCTGGTAAAGTGCAGCCAAGGTAAGAGTAAGGGTGTGGATGCCGGCCAAAGATTCAGCAGGAAGAAACAGGTCAGTGGGGGTCAATCTCTCCTTCATGGGGACAGTATTGATTTGGGAGGCGATGCCAGCAACCAGATTACCCTGCGTGAAACGAACCATTTCTTCCAATTGGCCGGGCTTCGTCTGCCAGAAGGTAACCACATCCATGGGAACGTTTTCCAGGTCCAGGGGAGGAAGTTCAGTGCCAGAGTCTGCCGGGGCGTCGCGGATGATCTCCTGCCATGTGGCGACATTGACGCTGCCTCCCATGCCTTCGGGAACCTCATTCCAGTCAAGATGCGAGCTACCTTCATCCACGACCCAGATGAGCTGTCTCAGCGACGGATATGCCTTGGCAACGTCATCGAGCGCGAATGAGCCGGGAGTCGTCACGACGGTGTCAACGGCAGATCGTCGCATCATGGAGATGAGCTCCTCGTTGGAGACGTTGAATGGGATCAGGACAGTTGTCAAGTTCGGGAAGAAGCTGCATGCCAAAACTGTAACGAGAAACTCGACAGAGTTGGGCAGGTAGATGGCAACTCTGATGCCGCCCTGTTCTGCAATGTGATGTCCAATGAGGTTGATCTGTCTCGTAATATCCTCTGCAACAGAGAATAAGAAAAAGTATACAGTCAGCTATCATTGTTCTCTTGGCGGCTCTCAAGTAGTAAGCAAGTCTTGGGGATCCTACCTAGGCGGTGCTCAATAACATTCTCGGATCCGAGGACAGTGAGCAGCTTTCCCTTTTTTCCCTGTTCGTTTCCGGTCACTGCCTTGCGCCAGATGTCTCGAAGATCGCCATCTCGTCCCCTCGCCCATCGTGAAGCACCAGCATCCTTGACGTCAAGTCCGCTGTTCAACGGCATGCTGTGGGAAGCAGCCAGGCATCTGTAGGCGGCGCTCTCGCCTTCATTGCGCACGGCAGAAGGGCCGGCCTGTCTAGCAAGCAGCAGAGGGTGCACGTCGGGCTCGCGCGACGAGGTGATGCGGTAGGTGACGAGGGCAATAAGCAGCGTCACCAGCCCAGTCGAGTAGGCATCCCACTGGCCTATAAAGCCAGTGATGCCGGCGTCGAGGCGCTCGAGGAGACTCATCTCGTGCTCGAGAGCAAGGCAAGGGAGCTTCAAGAGTCGTGGTTATGCTGCCTTGTGCTCCCTCTAGGGTCGAGGCATGTGATGGGAGAGGAAGAGAGGAAGAGCTGTCAACAGCTGGTGGGGGGGTGATGTGAGATATGGATGACTGTCAAGTTGGCCAGTAATAAGCGAGTGTACTTTCAATCGTACCCAACCCCGAGCCTTACAGGAAGTTCTCCGGCCGCACCGGCGCAGCGGGGAAAGATTTCAGCCAGGTACCGAGCTCTTGTGGAGCTTTCTGCCCGAGAAATAGATGTGCAGTGCTGGAGGATGCCCTAAAAATCCGCCGTCTTCCCGTCTCCAGCACACATCAGTCCACTGTATTGCATCAATTTACGGCGATCGAAGCGAAAGCCCAGTGACGTCTAGTAGTTGTTCAGCCGCTCACGTGGATCGTGCTGTGCAGGATGACGGCAGGCTGTGGCTTCAACAAAACCTCTCACTGCACGTGTACTACCTGTCCAGAATCTTCCACGCAGGAGAAAATCTCTTACTGTCGCAGCACGGTCCAAGATTAGCAGGGTGGTATTTATGAATAAACCTAACTGAATACAGAAACATTGCAGATAGACTACAGATAGCTGGGGAATCATTTTCCCTTTTCAGATTTTCCAATCAGCGGAGAATGAGTGCGCTGCAAGAAGCGAAAACGAAAACGAAAAGCGTCCAGGGTAGCAAGAGAAGAAAATGCCGGAGCATTTCGTCAACATGCGGGATGAAATCTTGCTGCAAGCGATACAGAAGCAGATCCCAGTCCACATCGACGAGTAACATCACAGTGATACCATGTTCATACATCGCAAAACCTTTTATTTTTTTACTTGGGACTCCTCAGTCCACTCTGGTTGTCTGTCTATCACGGGAACAAAAAACCCCCGAGACCCTGTTCCTTCAAGGCTGCGTACTCGGCACCCTTTCGGCCGAGTCGAAGCGTTCCATGTGCTTATGACGGTCAAAGAGCCGAGAGCCTTTGATCCATGCCCTCCCAACCAAAATCCATAACTAGCGTCGAGAGGCCCAGTTCTTGCTCTCGAATGAAATAGAGAAACCAACCTATAGGCCATCTGTATTCCCAGTCTATGCTCATAGCTCTCTCTTCCGTCCCAAAATCCGTGGGAGACCGTCGAGTAAATTCCGACCAGAGAACCGAGTAAATCCACTTTTGTCTATGTATGCCACGGCGATAGCATGACCCTCTATCATGAAAAGCGAGAAAATGCCCTGCGGGGGGAGGAAACCCTCGTAGACAGCAGAAACATGAAAAAAACCGTGATGTCCTAGTCCAGATCTAGCAACCGTAGATCTCTCAACACCACGTTCTGCCAGTGTCGTTAAGTTCCTCTATTCTCGGTCTAAGGGTATCAAGCGAGGGAGGATGCTGAAATCAAAAGAAATGCAATCTATCACATGCGTCGTGAAATGCCCCTGACCGTTACTGCCCTTTGCAGTAAATAAAAAAAAGGCACTCTTCCGCCTTCGCAGGTCATGATGCCGCCGTGTCGTCGAAAACAAATGACATGATGCGTAAATGTGAAATAACCGATTTAATCAAAGCAGAATTGTCGCAAATAAAATAAAATAGATGACGATAAGGGAAAAGTGAGAAGGAAAAGAAAAAATGCAGTGGCTGAAACCGGAGCCACTATGATAGACACAACGATATGTCTATCGGACAGCGAGAGTGTTTACCACCACGAGGACTGAGCTCCAGCACCGCCGGGGTTGCCGTAGCTGCCACCGTTGCCGTAACCACCACCATAGCCGCCGCCGCCGCCGCCGCCGCTATAGTTGGAGCCTCCCTGAGACCCTCCACCATAGTTGCTGAAGCCACCCTGCTGGGGGTTGTTGCTGAAGCCGCCGCCGCTGCCGCCAAAGCCGCCACCGCCAAACTTGCGGAAATCACGGTTGGCATTGCCACGGCCACCACCGCCGGGGCGAGAGCGACCACCGCGACCGCCGCCGCCGAAGGAGGACTCACGAGCGATAGCCTCAAGGAAGGGAGGAATCTCCTGGTTGGCCTCCTTGAGAAGGTCAATGAGTTCGCGGACAATGCCGCGGTTGCCGCGGTTGAAGAAGGCGGTAGCAATACCAGTGTTTCCAGCACGGCCGGTACGACCAATTCTGTGGACGTAATCATCAACATCGGTGGGAAGGTCATAGTTGATGACGTGGGTGACATTGGGGATATCAAGACCACGAGCAGCAACAGCAGTAGCCACCAGAATGGGGCAGCGTCCGTTACGGAAGAACTCGAGAGCGCGTTCACGCTCACGCTGAGTCCTGTCTCCGTGGATGGAAGTGGCAGGGAAGCTCTGGTTGATGAGGAAGTCGGACAGAGAGTCGGCCATGCGCTTGGTCTCGACGAAGATGAGAGTCAGACCACCAGCATGTGTGTGGAGGATATCGAGGAGAACAGAGCGCTTGTCAATGTCCTCGACGAATTCGACCTTCTGGGTAATGTTCTCAGAGGTAGAACCAACGCGACCGACGGACAAGAAGACGTAGTCCTTGAGGAAGTCCCTTGCGAGCATCTGGATGTCGCGAGGGAAGGTGGCGGAGAACATGAGAGTCTGGCGATCAGCGACGTTAGGCATGTCCTCACCCTCAACAATACGGCGGATCTGGGGCTCGAAACCCATGTCCAGCATGCGATCGGCCTCATCGAGCACAAGATACTTAATGTTGCACAGGGAGATGCGGCCTCGCTCTATGAGATCCACAAGTCGTCCTGGGGTGGCAACAAGAAGATCACATCCACGCTCAATCTGGCGAAGCTGAGAACCAATATCGGCACCACCATACACCACGCAAGGGCGGACCCAAGATCGGTAAGAGAACTTTCGAGCCTCGTCGTAGATCTGAGAAACAAGCTCTCGAGTGGGGGCAAGGATGAGAGAGGTGGGGTAAGCCTTGCGCTGACGACCAAACTGTCCAGCAGCGTTGGCGGGGACAGCAGAAGGACCGTGGATGAAAGCCTGAGACAGGATGGGGAAAAGGAAACCACCAGTCTTGCCAGAACCAGTCTGGGCACAAGCCATGAGATCACGGCCACCCATAACGATGGGGATGGAGTATTTCTGAACGGGAGTAGGGACCTTGTAGCGGGCCAACTCGATGTTGCGGCACAGGTGCTCGTCAAGAGGAGGGGTGGTGAACTGGTGGACGGGCTCGGGGACGTCGCGACCCGAGGCTTCGACAGGGATATCGTCGTACTTCTCAAAGTTGATACCGGTGTGCTGCTTGGAAGGATCGTCGGCAGTGCCAAAGAGCTCACGCTCGACACGAGGGTTAGCCGGGCCGGGAATGTGCTTTCCTTCACGCCATTGTCCGTCTCCAGAGCCACGAGCAGCGTGGTTACCGCCGCCGTGGCCATCGTAGTTACCACCACCACCACCACCACCGCCACCAGAGTAGCCTCCACGACCACCCCAGCCACCGCCGCCGCGACGGTTGTTCTGATAACCGGGACCATCGCCGTTCCAGTTGCCGCCGCCCTGTCGACCGCCGCTGTAGCCTTGGTTGTTACTGTTATCAAAGTTAGTTGTGTTGTTCAGTCGCGAAGTAGGGATGATGTGCTCTGTACTTACCCAGCCCAGGTGCTGTTGTTCAAACCAGCGGCAGGAGGGGCGCCGTCGTTCATGGGAGGGTTGGCGCTTTGACGGCCGCGCATGTGAGGCGGGATGTAGGATCGTGCCTGGGGAGACGACTGAGCGCCTTCAGCACCAAGGTTGAGGCCGCCCATGTTCAGTTGGTCCGCCATGTTGGAAGTTGGGTTCCGGTGAAGAGGGACTTGAATCGTCGTAGTGAACTTTTTGTTCGCAAAGCGCGAAAGAAATTATCGAACTTTGTCGATTAGAAAATCACCCTCGCAAAATGAATGAGAGTGAAATATGGAAGCCTGTCCGCAAAAATAGAGACAGTAAACACGAAGAGAAAGAAACGGGAAGAACAGAAGTTCCCTGATTTTTTTGTTTTTTTCTTTTCTCCGACTTGTATTAAATTGGGCACGCGTAAACAACTTGTGCTTGCACTTTCCGTCGAAGAACACGCAGAATCTTCAAAGGAAAGACCAAGGAAAGACGAAAATGCCTTGAGGAGGTATGAGGATGAAAAAAAGAGAGGGGGATGGAGATGGAGAGGTTTGTGTGTTGGGAGGGTTGAGTTGTGGGAAAGAAAAGAAGAAAAGGGACGGCGAGCCTTGAGGCGAAGGCGAGAAAAAAATTAGTCTCAAGGCGGACCAGAAAGCGGCTAGTGCCCGAGGGGGGTCAGAAATTTTTAGGATGGAAGCCACCAAAGGAGTACCCTCCAAGTACTGCGTCACGTGAACATGTGCTCTTCGGACTTCTCCTTGCGCGCTGGGACGGTGCAGCGGTACTTGGCCGCTACCTTGGCCATCCCTCGCAGGGCCGTGGCGTTGTGGCTTGTGACGTTACTGGGCAGACCGATTGTTTCCTCCCTCCTGGCAGTTGAGATTCTCATGGCTTCTATGCGAATCGCCACTTCGGGGGATTTAGTGTTTCGGAGTCAGCGAGGCTCTAAAGAGAGAGACTTTCGGGAAATGGGATTTTGCTCGGATTGGCGCCCGGCCAGATGAATCTGCGATGTTGGGCCATCCGTCTCCGTCCGTCTCCGTCTGTCGCCGTCTTGGCGACCCTTATCATGGTGCCTGACATGTGCCAGCCTGGCCATTACTTCCACTGTATGCTAGTGCTGCACAGTGTCTGGACCAACCAGGAAATGGCCCTAATAATCAACCTGAAGCATACGAGTACTCGTTTGAAGCCTACAGGACGTACTACTAATGTAGCTACACCGATAGATGCGGTGCAGCTCAAGTGAATACCGCCTCGTCCACCTGCAGAAGTGGGACAGGCAGGCACACTCCGAGTACCGTGGATGTACGCCCGCTGCAATCAAAAGGAGGCAGTCCAACTCTGCAGCCCCGGACATTCGAGCCGAGTCTCGGTACCTGGACGGCCATCGAACTGAATCAACATGGATGGAATCCCAACACAACTCTGCAGCGCTTCTCTAGCGGAGGAACGCCCTGTAATGCGGCACGGATCCCCGCCGATTGACCTGATGGCTTGCTCTGACAGGTGGGGGAAGTTTTTCAGATCTTCGTCCGTGCCTGCAACGGTGGCAACAGTGGGTTGATCCTGGCAACGGGGCTGATTTCATTTAAAAACACCAATTTCTTGCGCTATACGCCTGGTCGATACACGTATGTTGCGAGAGGCTCTGTGATTTGAACCGCAAACTGCCGCGAAGTGGTCGTTACCGGCATTCAAGGATGCCTACGTCAGTACTTCGTAAACGTGGGAGGATTCAAAGTTTGACCAGGGCCCTTGCCAGGCACGGGATTCAACCCAAGAAGATCCGATCATTGCCACCTGCCTGTATCTAACACGATACCACATTAATCCCATCCCAGCACTGCGTGACACCTAGCACTGGTATACATGTATAGATGACCATGGAATTCCTTCATTTATACAGATATCCAGTGAGGAGGTTAATGATGAATGCATGCTTCTACTGCCTACTAGGTACACAGCAGTTAGTAAATCTCCGACAAGTAGCAGCTTACGCATAATGAAGGGGGAGCAACAAAGCACAACCAATTCTACGTGGTGGATACTCTGTAGGAACGGAAATATATAACACGAATGGGAGACAGCGGTATCCAAGCTGCGTTTGAAACCATGGTACCACTGTCGAAATGTCTCATAGCCGCCATGGTGAAACTCGATAGAGGAGACAGTTTCGATAACAAAAAGGTCTATTTGGGATTCTAATTTGACACAGACAGCAGAACCCGGTTTCATATTTCCACCAAGGGAAAGTTCTCAGTAACTGTGATGCAAAATACGAGAGAGTATCCGGCCGTTCTTATACACATATGCTGGCGGTTCTAGGACAGAATAGAGTCTAGGTTGTTTCTCAAATATGGACTGCAAATCTGCAGCTAGACGCAAACTAGAACACGAGCTGTCGTGAAGTATACTATTCTTCAGCATTTCAATATGACGTATCCACCAGCCAGGAAACTTCCACAGCTAATATACGTGTACGTCTTGGCTCTCCCTGCAGCAGCCCCTCTTCTCGCCCTGCGTTTGCCAAACCTTGACCAGTCGCATATCGAAGTTGGTGAAGAATGAACCGGAAGAAGCGGCCGTATATTAATTACCAAGCTCAAGCCAGTCTCTAGTGATACACGCCATTCCTTCTTCAGCACCCGCTCTTGCTTATGCGCTTTTCACAATCCGGTCGTCGTCGAACTCTATATCGACAATTCCGTCTGCTTTAATCGCCTTGACCACCATTCCCTTGAAGTCGATCGGTAGTCGACGCTTCAGCTCATCTATGCACATCGTCATGAGCTTAATTCCCTGTCCTAGTGTAATATCGGGGTGGTGGTGCTTGTCGAGGAGAGACAGGCAGTAGTATCTGTTCAAAGCAGCCAGCAGTCAGTAAACATGCAAAAAAGAGATGGACAACCTTCGTAGCCGAGGCCCCAAACTCAGAGAAACCCAACAACTAGAAAACAAAACACGTACTGCGCATAACCGTGTGCTGCGTACGGCACCTCCGCCAGCGACGCTAGGTAGTCCAGCCAGTATAGAGAGGGCTTCCCAGTGATGGGATCAACTCCTCCCATGAGGAGATTTACGTTGTATGGGTTTCGAGATCGTAGACTGGTGGCGAGTTCTCCTCGGACGAAGTGGGCGAGACCAGAGGGTGACAGCTCTGTCTCGTTGCGCATGGAGTAGAGTTGGGCATTTCGTTGGATGTATTCGGCGAATTGTACTGGACTCCCGTTAAAAACCCTGTGCTTTAGACAGCATCAAAACCTGGGGGGAGCTCACCTGTATCACCAGCTTCGCCAGAGAAAGCCAGCAGAGTGTGCTTGTTCAACGCCCTTGTCTTGTCGTCGGATGCCTTGAGGATGGTGGCTCCTCTCATGGCAGCTTTGGAGGCGCCGATGAGAGTAAAGTCCTTGCCAGTAATTCCCAGAAGAACCTCCCTGGAGAGACTCTGTTAGCTATCACAAGCAGCAGACGAGGCGCATTCGCAGGTACTGACATGATGACTGTGTGTGTTGGGTATGATGTATCTCGTTGGAGAGCTGTAGAGCTGTAGAGAATCGAACTGCCCTCAATTACAGTTACAGCCCGCCTGCGACAGCAGCCAGAGCTACCTCATCCCGCTAGGCTGTAGCGCTGCGCGTCAACGAACCGCCCACCTGCCCGTTTGCTTGTGCCAGAGCTGACCGCCCTGGGCCGGAAGCACTATAACCCGGGCCTGTCGTGTGATTCGTCGCCGTGAGGCTCTTGTGGATCCCGAAAAGTTCAGTGGGCCATCCATCTCGAACTTTTTTTTTTTTTCAGGACGGGTTTAATGGGAGAAAGGTCGACCGCACATAGTGGGAGAGCAGGCCCGGCGGATTGAGCTACAATGTCGTCGTTTTTCACAGTTCCCGGCGCGCAAAAGAAGAGGAAGAGGCCCTCAGCCCCTGAAGCGCCCAAGAAGAGAGTTGCCGCTTCAAAGTCGTCGGCCAAGTCGTCTGCGAGATCTGCGAAGCCGGCCGCGAAACCAGCCGCCTCCAGCAAGAAGCGAGTCGAGCGTGACGACGAGTCAATCTCGGGCAGCGACTCTGAGGATGATGAAAGCCAACAAGGCGCTTCCGACGCGATCAATGACGAAGACGATAATGATTCTGACAACGAGGGCGAGACCGCCGCCGAGAAGCGACTGCGGTTGGCCGAGCGCTACCTGGACAACGTCAAGGAGCACGTGGACGAGATTGGATTCGACGCCGCGGAGATTGATCGAGATCTAATCGCTGAGAGGCTGCAAGAGGATGTTGCCGAAACAAAGGGAAAAGTTTACCGTCAATTGGCCTCGGAGCTGGCCTTTGAGAGCGTCCGCCAGACATTCTTCAGATCAAACACAAACTCTATCACATCCATTGCCGCTTGCGCGCCATACGTCTACACCACCACCAAAGACCTCTTCCTGCACAAGTGGAGGATACAGGACCTACCTCAGCACCAGTACCCGCAGACAACAAAACGGAAACCGAAGAAGCCACCGGCACCGCCCAAAAAGAGGCCGGAGTTGGAGATGTGGATCAAGGGAAACGCGGGCAAGCAACAGGATAAGGAGTACAAGAGACATGTGGGCAGCATTCTGGCTGTTGCTGCTTCCTCAGACGGCAAATTCGTTGTCACCGGAGGCCAAGACAAGAAGATTATCGTCTACGACGCCGAGACCCTCAAGCCAATCAAGATCTTCACACACCACCGCGACGCTGTAACAGGACTGGCGTTTCGGAGGGGCACAAATCAGCTCTATTCGTGCTCCAAGGACCGGACAGTCAAGGTCTGGAGTCTGGATGAGCTGGCCTACATCGAGACGCTTTTCGGTCACCAAGACGAGGTTCTCGACATCGATGCCCTCGCCCAAGACCGATGCGTCAGTGTCGGCGCTCGAGATAGGACGGCCCGATTATGGAAGGTGGCCGAAGAGACACAGCTAGTCTTCCGTGGCGGCGCGGTAGACAAGAAGCCACAGCCGGGCATCAACCCCCGGTCACTCCTCCACGAGGGTAGCATGGACCGTATCGCCATGATTGACGACGAGCTCTTCGTCACCGGCAGCGACAACGGCAGCCTTGCCCTCTGGAGCGTTTCCAAGAAGAAGCCCGTCTACATCCAGCCCCTCGCTCACGGCCTAGACCCGCCGCTCAAGCCCGAGGCCGCATCCGCCGAGGTGAAGCCGGACCGCAAGGCCGTCCCCGCCCCTCTCCCTCGCTGGATCACGGCCCTCAAGACCATCCCTTACTCCGACGTCATCCTTAGCGGAAGCTGGGACGGCCACGTGCGCGTGTGGAGGCTGTCAGAGGACAAGAAGAAGATTGACCTCGTCGCCACCCTCGGCGGCTCCCCAGACGACGAAAAGCCGGCAGACGCCGACGACCAGCCCAACGGCGCGCCCAAGAACGGCAAGGAAAACCCGCACCCCCGACTCGTTCACGGTGTCATCAACGACATCACCGTGTTTGAGCGTGGCGAACGCGGCCAAGACGGCGTCTGCATCGTCGCCGCCGTGGCCAAGGACCACCGCCTAGGAAGATGGAGCGTGAGCAAAGGCAAAGGCGTAAGAAACGGCGGAGTAGTATTTGAAATTCCCAAAATCCCAAAAGCATCCACCAACGGCGTACATAACCAAGAGGAAGAGGAAGGTGACGGCTCAGACGAGGATCAGGAGAAGCGTGCAGCAGCAAAATCATAGAGGGTACATAATAGCAAAGTCCAAAATTTTCGTACAAGCATCGGTTCATGTATATATAATTTTTCTTTTTCATGATCACATTTTTGAGAGAGGGGCACATACATATGCATGTATAGGTAAACACACTGTGATGATCATCTTTAGAGGGTTCACGATCGATAATGTTTCTTCTTTCTTTGTTATTACTCTATCTGGTGTTACATCTCTCCCTCGCTTCCGGCTGCATGTATATCGCCAACATGATATTTAGCCGCCAAAGTATCGAATTCAGCAAATCGGTTCTGTCTGCAAAGTCGAATCCCCACAAGGCAGCAAAAGAGATGAAGAAAATAGAAAAGACGCTCCCTGCTATGCTCAACCCGTATTCCCCCTTAAAACCTGCAAACGCATGCGGTATGGAATCAACAAATCAGAGTGAAAGTTTAGCCATAACTCCTCCCCTTGTCTCCGTGATGTGTACCCTTCGCAATGAAATGACGGGCCACTTGGTATTCTCATAAAAAAAAAGTATCAAAGAGAAAAATTAAAATAAAATATCAGAATAATATATCATAGTGCTGTTTTGTCAGCAGGTTTACCCGATCTGTCTATGCCATCATATTTGGCTTCTCCGCGGGTGGCATTGTCGCTGTCGTATTCAATCGACTGCCGCGGCTTCGACCCAGGCGAGGGGTTGATGGAAGGCTTGTCCCCTTGATTTTGCACCCGAGAAGATGGAATTGGTCGATTTGTTATTGACTCTATTACTTCAACTGAGGAGTGCCGACGTCTGCGTGTCTCCGTTGTCTTTGAGTTGGGCTTGAATGCGTACGGGTACGGAGAGCCTGACAACTCTTTCACAATCTGGACCTCGTCGTCGTCGTCGGGCAAGGTTGTTTCTTCAAACTCGCTCTTGTCATAGCCCTTGGCAGATTTCAGCTCTACGACAACTCTACTGGAGCGGCTGTCAAGCTTAGAGGTTGAGGAGGAAGTGTCGGCAATGGTTTTGTCCTTTGTAATTTGGGGGCTGACACTCGATCCAGGCAAGGGGCTTATGAATCGGAACTCTTCGATCGGTTTGGGCTTCTGTTGAGCTTCGTGCGATGCTTTACCGCTCAGGCCACTGCTTTCCGAGCTGTCGGCTTCTTGTACAGACTCCGATGACGATAGCGTTGCCTCTGGTACTGGTTTACTCTCCGGGGAGTCGGATGGGAATGAACCGGGCAACTTTGGTACTGGAGGTGACAACTCCACAAGCCTGACCGGCGAGGAATAAGGTTTAGTCGTTTCAGCACTGGACTTCTTCTTCGCTTTGCGGAGCCTCTTTTCCTCCTCGAGCTGTTTATGATGCTTTTGTTGTTCCCCTTGAAGGTCAAAGAGTAGCCCTCTTATGCGGTTTCGTAGCTCAGACGGACGAATGTCCCATCCAAGTTCTTCCTTCATCAAGAGCTTCCGGGCAGCTTCATCGGGGTTTGCCAGAAATTCTTGCATATACCCTAGTATGAAGACGCCGCAATCGCAAAAGTTGTTTTGTTCTGGTATGCCTCTAGCTGTCATGCCGGTGGGTACAGTTGTCAGATCAATTCCCTTCTTCGTCTTTGCTTCCTCGACCAGATATTCCTTCAGCGCTTTGCAAGTCGGAGGGTGCGGACCACCGAGCGAATCAAGAGTGACAATCCTCGGTTGTGTAGGGCTAAGTTTGGATACTGGGCCTGCAGATTTCCTCCTTTTAAGAGGCGATGGCGGTACATCATTCATCCCTTCTTTTTGTGTTCCCGTCACTGCAGTTCCATCTTCCAGAGAAATTTCAGTCAGATCCCTTTCTACCGTCGACAATCTTGGGGAGCTGGGCGTATCCGTCACTTCTATGGCATTGGATATTAAATTTGTCGATGTTTCTGAGCCTTTCTCCTCCAAGATGGGCTGGATGGCATTGGGGATATTGCAAATAATGGCCAGATACCAGTGAGCATGTTCGTTGACGGGCACAAAGATGTAGTCGTAAGATAGCAGATCTACCTTTGCGGTCCACGCCTTTACGCCGTCGTAATTAATTTTGCCCTTCGTAGATCTTAGCTTCTCAAAGAAGAAGGTACTGAAAAAATAGACTTTGCGTAGCAACTCAGGCCGTTCCTTTTCCAAGGTGTGTTCAAGGTACCGGATATAAAAGTTGATGAGGTTGTCGTTTAGGAATTCATTCTCGTCTAGCCTGGGGATGTCGATTTTATCTACCGTCGCCCTATTCTTGCCGGTAGGGGGGAATACCAGCGGCGCCTGCCACGATTCATGCCACTCCGGATTCAATTGTGTCCAGCCAATAGGGGATGGCATCCGATGACGGGTAGACGGACCGGATGACCTCGTAGACCTACGAATGTCGAAATCCAGCAGTTCCTCGACTCGTTGCAGAGCTGCGGAATCGCCGAAATCCTTAGCTGACTGTATTAGGGTGTCTTTTAGTTTTGCACGTGTCGACCCAGGGCGTCGACCTGGGGGAGAAGATGCTCGACCTATATCGTTTTCTTTCTTATCTCTGGTGTATGTTCGGCTGCTGTTTTTAGAAGTGACATTCGAAGCTATCCAATTCTTTGCCTCGTCGAATGCTCTCTCGGCTTTTTTCTCTAGATCAGCGCTATAGGAGTGGTGTTAGCCGATTACCTTGGTCATTGGAATATCCAAGACTCACATGAATTTTTCCCCAGCGCGCGAAGATTTCAGAATTTCACGGAAAGCTTTAATGCCATCATGATTTTCGAATTCCAGATAAAGCTTTGGGCCAGCGTCTCCCGATTGCGAGCGCAGGATGAAACCATAACGGTTTGGTAGCTCCGAAGTTCCAAAGCTCTGAACGTGATCCAGATCAACGCCCAGCCAAGCATGATCGCTCGAAACCTGACCATCTTCTAATACTGGCTCCAGTCTTTTGCCTTCTTTTCCTTCTCGATGCAAAAAGACTGCGCTGGGATTGTCATCGTGATTGTAGACCCATTTCCCACAAACCGCCCGGGTTATGGCTATCATTTCGGATCGTGCCCGGCGCGACGGCTTTCCAAAGGCTGTATGATGTAGGTCGCCTCGCATGGAGCTCTTGCTAAGACCGCCTAGATTGCGGGAGGATTGTGAGGCTGCGCTCTCCTTCTTGTTCGGACCCGTGCACTTGGCTGAATCGCCTTGGAGTTCATCTTCCGAGATGTCGATAGGCTCCTTGGCTGTTGAAAGCTTATGTCGTTTGTACTGACGCCCCCCGGAATTGTCTGCAAGACGATATGGCCGATCTCTTTTTCCGCCGAAAAGCGAAGAGATACTAGAAACTACCTCTGGGACTCCAGAAGACAGTTCCTCGAAATCGAGTACATCTGGGCTGTCAGAGACTGTAGATATCAGGGGTCGTCTTGAAAGCGCAGGAGTTCGGTAGACACTAGAGCTGGCATCAACCGCATCGCGCTGTTGGAAGTTTGAAGAAGTACGGCTTCTGCGTCGCCGATTCGCTTTTCTACTCGGCGGCTGGACGTTGCGATACTCGGCCAACGCTAGGCCATTGACACCCACATTTCCTGCGCTTGAAGTACTTATAAGGTCGAATATCTCGTCCGACTCAACGTGGACGTTGTGAAACTCGTTGCTCTTTTTCGCCCGCGGTGTCGTGAAATATGGGCTCGTTGTTGAGTCGCTTGCTCGCGTGTTGTCCTTTTTCTGACGTTTGGCAGACGGTACATCCGGCTCGTTATGCTGGGCCTCAAATCGCCGTACGCTGAGGGTGTTGACCGGGTTGGCCGACAACCTGTTGATATGTCTCTGCTCGCTGCCTGTCAGTACTCTGCAAAACGGTTCAGCAGGGAATGTCATGACCAACCAGCCGTTCCGGACCCATGATAGCTCCGCGATTCCGGTCCCTTGTCCAGGTCAGTAACCCAGGAAGAAAAAAAAAGATGACCGGATGGACTCGTAGCCTTACCCATAATCCGGAAACGAGTTTGCATCTGATAAATAGCGAGCAAAAGCGCTGAGACGAGTCAGCGGAAAAGATCCTAAGCATAACGACAAGTGGCAATCATTGGATGCCATCAGAGTTCACGTACTCGAAGCGCTTCTTCGTCGGCTTCCTATCGCTGCCTTGGTCCTCGTGACTGTCTGGCAATTTTTCTTCAACGGCCGCGATGGGATTTCGGCTAGCGACGCTTGGCGCCGATTCGGGCAGCCTAGTCTAGTTCAGCACATGCTTGACGGATGACAGGGAGGGCAGGGAGGGCAAGGGGAAGAGCGGCGATGCGATGGGCTTACTTTGGGGCCCCGACAGCTACAGACTCTGGCTGCACATGGACATGAATCTTTGGCAACGCCGGCGATAGTGGTTGGGTCTATGTATATTCCAGGCATTAGTGGAGGGGTCCACGATGAAATGGCAAAATCGGCCCGTGGCCAACAGCCAGGGCAGGCAGAAAGTCATGGCGGCCATAGCGCAGGTGGTGTGGTGAGCTGGCGCAAGTTAGTGGACATAGCCTACTGCGTCACAGCGCGTCAGGGCCCACGCGCGCCTGTGCCTCCACTGGGGGTACTTGCTCAGGGAGGAGGCTATTTTGAGCAGTGCTGTAAACACAATAGATTGAAGGGGGCAGAGAGAAAAAATAAGATGGAATAAAATGGAGACAGCCTCAACTGCAATCAGTGGGCAAAGCGGCAAGTCGTCTTAGGCTGAATGGCAAGGCTGGGCGACGATGCTCAAACGAGGGTTTTTTTTTCTTCCTCTCTTCATGCTTTTATTACTTGCCTCGGGGCCTGCAGCATCGTCTCTCGCGCCTTTGGTCACGCTGGGCGGCTTATCGTCGTCGCAGAGGGACATGGCGTCGTCGCTTGTGGTCGCATTGTTCAGGCGGAGCTCTATCGATGCTATCCGAGCAAGCAACGAGGCGCTGGGCATTTATTGCGTCGGAGCGCTTTCCAGCCGGTTGCGTCCACTGCCCAGGGCTGTCGGGCTCCTGGTTTGGACTCCTGGTTTGGAGAAGGGGAGAAGGGGGGAGGGGAGGCCGGCATGGGAGAGGTCACTCGTACCGGGTAGGAATATCACAGAGAGAGGCGGATAAAGAGCTGTTCAATAAGGACGAAACGCATACAAATCATGTGAAGCGACACTCCGCCCTTGATGACGGCGGAAAAAAAGGTGGGCTGTCTCTTAGCATATTGCCCGTCCAAAGTACCATCTTGGCTTTAGTCGCATCGATCGATACAAGTGACTTTGAGCTATCAAATTAGATGCAGCAGCCTATCGCTAGCCGTAGCCTCCCCTAATCGCCCAATGAGCAGCAGAGCCCGGCTGCAAGGCTGACACTTGCACTTGCGCCCCAGCGACGTGTCCTATTAAGCTACTGATGTACCTTGAGCTTGGCTATAATACATGTACCGGCGCATCCACATACAATTGAAGTGCCAGCCTCACTCCCTCCACAGCATTGGATTCCTGCTAACCGACCAATTTCACCCCGATTGCTGCGTTCTGCTGGCGCCCCGGATTGTTGCCCAGCATGCACAGCTCCTTCACCCGTCTCCAGAATGTCTTCGGCTTCTTCACCACCGTTGCCTTCGTCCTAGGCGCATTCATCGCCGCCACAGACCTGGGCTCTGCCCGCTCCCCCAGCGGTGTCATTAAGACGGACAACATTCAAGTGTACGTGTGACGCCAACAAAAGAGAAGCCGCTATGAATTGATGCATCTAACTCATTCATCGTCACAAAATCAACAGTGTCAAGGGCCGACCCCACTACTACTCTTCGAAGAAGGAAGAGTATGCCATCATCCGCTTCTCTCTCGAGGCCGACCTCTCCTCCCTCTTCACATGGAACACGAAGCAGCTCTTTGTATACGTAACGGCAGACTGGACCGGCCCCGGCAATACCAACAACTCCGCCGTCATTTGGGATAGCATCATCACCAACCCCAGCGCCGACCACTTACAGAACATCGGCCCCGTGGCCATGAAGAAGCTTAAGAGAAGCGCTGAGGGAAAGAGCATTGCACCTGACCGGTATGTTTCAAACATTATATGAATGCATGTATTGGCTCTGAAGTCAACTAACGCCGTGGTTGCAGAGGAATTCTTAAGCTCAAGAACCAGAAGCCCAAGTACCAAATCACCCATCCTAGCGGCAAGATCGCAGAGACTGCCAACGTGACCCTGAAGCTACATTACAATGTCCAGCCCTGGGTTGGACTTTTGACATGGGACATGGACAAGTCGTTCGGTATGTGGAATGCTATGAGCGGTGGTGTCAGTAACCTGTTCACGCTCCCTGCTCTCAAGTCCAAGGACAACAAGGACAAGAATGCCGCAAAGAACAAGACCAAGGGCAAGAAGCCTTGAGACCAACTTGCTTTTATGAATAGTAGTGAATGAAAAGAAAATAAATAAAAAAAGATGCAAAATTTGAAGCACATACAAGGTTAAAGACTAACGTTTTGTTTTACGGGTGTTTTGTGTCCATGATATTCAGGTGTCGCTACAGCCAGATCGAACTTCCTCCTATCATGTCATATCGTACACAAGTAATGGTTCGCTATATTACAGGATAGGCTGTTGTAGCCCCATCCACCCGTCATACGACACCCCACCGTTGAATATCATCTTCTTCCAGTCCCAATCCTAGAGGAAGAGGGCCATCGCCATCGAGGCAGACCCTCCTAAGCTGCCTGGTTCGCTACAGCCCCTCCGCGACCGCGATTGGGGTTACCCCCGCCACGTCCCCTTCCTCCTCGGCCACGACCTCGTCCACCTCGCGACGCTTCAAGGTTTGCAGGAGGTGGAACGTTGGTATAATCTCGTCCTCCAGCTTGCGGAGCAGGTGAGCCTCTGTTGCCGCCATTGCCTCGGCCGCGCCCTTGGCCTCGGCCGCTACCGCCTCTCCCATTTACATGATTGCCGTTCTGAGCTTTGTTCACATCATCACCGCCCGGGTTTCCACCTTGCGGCCCAGGTCGATAGACCAACGTGCTATGCAGTAGGTTTGGCTTGCCTCCGCGCGCCGCGCCGCGATTGGGGCCGCTCTGTCCACGACCAGAGTCTCCCACAGCAGCTCCACGCCATCCGCCGCGCAAAGCGGGAGGAGCAGGAGCATCCTTGTACTGGGTGACACCGACCGAACCGTACGATCCGGTGGATGAGGTTGCTGGAACAGTGCGTCGTTGCCGTGATTTGGAAGAGGCAGAGACGACCTGCCAATTTGTAGTATTCAGCACGGTAGATGACGACACGGTCTGCCCACGGAACATTGGGGCCCTCTCGCCGAGGGTTGTGCCACTCATGAAGGGGACATCCCAGACGACATCCAAGAGAACAGCAGTCGCGGTGCGAGAGATACCGGCTACAGTTCCCCGAGTTGCAATGGGGACCTTTCCAGCAGCGGCGACAAAAGTGACCCGGTCTCCCAACTTAAAGGATTGGTTGCCCAGTACCATCTCCGCGTCCGCCGGTTTCAGCAAAGCCGTACGGGGCACAGAATTGAGAGTTTTAGCAGTCGCCTCTAGACTCGCCTGATGCAGCTGCTCTCCGGCTTTAGCCAAGGCCATGACAACCTCAGAGTCTAGTTGCTCGGCATCGAGCGGAACTCGCTCAAACTTGCTGGTCTCTTGTTTCTTCAGCCACGCCACTATGTCTTTGATCCTCTGAGGCGCAACGCTGGGGTCGTTCCACAGGTCGGTCTCATAAGTCTCGCTCTTCTGCGGCTCTCTCTGGATCGCCGCGAAGAAGTCGGGGAATGCTACCATGTATTCGGCAATAAGTTTCACGGCTTGGTTAGAAAATTCCCACCCCGTCTCTGATTTGCGTGAGTAACCCAGAACCTTGAGCTTTCGGCCTTCAAACTTCAAGTTGAGGCCGAGATTGAGCTTCAAGCCGGCAGAGCTGATAACTTGGAAAGATGATGTTATCTTGCTAAGTATGAGGGGGTGAATGCCTAGTTTTTTGGCAATTGCGAATGAAGGCGTATATGGGTTGTTGCGTTCCGCTTGGAAAATCATTTGCTTGGTGATCTCCGGCTCTTTGTTTTTAGGGACGGAGACGACAATATTTGCTTTTCCATTCACATGTCCCATCACTTCCAAAGGACGACCATAAGCGAATTCGCCTAGGAAGAAAGCTCTTGTGCCTTGTGGAAACTCTTCTTCGATCGGGAGGGCTGGCCTCTCAATGAAGCGTTCGTCCTCGTTAACCACCTCCTCCACAATGGTTTGAGCTGCATATACCTTGCGCAGGCTAGGGTTTTCGGCGTACTCCTTGATCAAAGCGCCTTCTTCTGTTCTGATGAGGCCCTTGAGCATGTGAACATGAACTAGGCATTCAACCTGACCAACTGTAATGCCTAGACGTTTGGCATGCCAGTTTTCCAAAAACTCTGCCTCCTTTGCATAATCAGCAGCATCTCTATTGCTGTGGTCTTTTGTTATGATGTCTTGCTCATTCTCAGCCAACTCGTAGGTGAAGAGTTCATCTTGCACTTTGATAACCTTGGCTTCCTGAAGGAATGGATAGCCGACAAAGCAGCGCTTTCCCAGTTTCGATTTCCAAGTTCCGACCTTTGTACGCATCTCAGTATCGGTAAGTGTGACAATGACGCTTGGGTTTCTGCTGTCCTGCTGGAAAACATTGACTCCGGCTCCTTCCACCAACTGTGCCGAGTATGGAAGTGTATGCAAGGTTGGGAACCCGGCAAGGGCCTTTATGTTTATCAAGGCTCCGTTGGTCAGCCCTGAGACGTACTCCAGCCCCTCAACATTGGGCAGGTCGAATATGTTCTCAATGCAGCGGCAATATTGGACCTCTGGGAAGATTCCCGGGAGGGGTGAAGGATAGACAAAATTCACTTCTGGGGAGTAAGTGAATTTGATGGGAACTCCAAAGCCGTTTCGCGCCTTTTCGTCGTCGCTCAACAGATCATTTTTAGTTCCCATGGCAGTGAGGAGACGTGTCTCGTCAATAAAAGGAATCTTGACCACTGCTTCCCATTCCATCTTTTTGCCGTTCATATCCAGTTCAAAGTCTCTCGGATAGAAATCGATGATGGGGGAATTCGGGTTGGTCATCAGATCGTGATAAACCGTCGGCACGATTTTTTTGCTTCGGTCCGGTAACACGCCCATGAGCTGTTCGTAAGGCTTGAAAGGCTGGCCTTTCTTGAAGTTTAGGTCGGCACCAAGGCCTTTGGTAACATCTTCAAGAAAACAATCGTTAGCAGAGAGATCCACAGTACAATAAATCAACGCCACAATGCTTACCCGACGTGAGTGGTGCATAGTGATATGCGTAAAACCACGGCCACGACGCAATTCCTTTGTAGTAGTAATACAGCACCCACTGTAGACCCTGTACATAGTTCTCGCACAACCTCTTTTGTTCCTCTTCATACTTGTCTTGAGGCCACTCCTCGAACTTTTGTAGGTAATACTTAGTCTTCCAGCCTTGATATTTCTCTTGGTACAGCTCATCATAATGCTTCTGGGCATCTTCAGGAGTGAGGTCAATAACAGTGGCTTTATCGTAGGACTTAACGACGCGATAGGCAGCTAGGTTGCCTTCCTCATCGTCATCGTCGTCATCGCTGGTTTCCTTCTTAGGGGGGAATGCGATTTTAAGGCGACGGTTACCCTCCTCATCCTCTTCAGTAGACCATTCTAAATGCATGGAGTCGGCAAGGTCTTGGACGAATTTTCGATCCGCGGCCTTGAGATCCGACCCCAAATCCAGTGGCTGCTGGGATCTGTTTGTGATGAAAGGGCGAATCTTTTGTTTCCACAAATCCCTTTGAAACGAAGTAATGATTAATTGATTGTTCTTTTGAGACCTTGGCTTGGCCCCGTTTTTTTCTTCAAGCTTTTTCTCCATCTGCTTGGATGCGAACCATTTCTGATCAGAAACTTCGTATTCAAAGTGATCCAACTCAGTCTTGCTGAGTTCGTCAAGCAGGCGTTGCAAACGAGGCATGTTAATAACACCATTCTCGTTGATATAGCCTTCACACTGTGGCAGCACAGACTTGTATATTCTGAACATGTTCGCCAGAGCGCCCTCATTGATATGCAAGCCGGGAAGGTTGGGCAAGAAATCGTTTCCAACAAAGAATGCCATCAAGATGAAATCATCAATGACTCTTTCGAGATCAAACGGAAAAGACAGAACATCTTTATTCTGAAGCTCCTGAAATTCCATTTCCAGGTATTCCCTCACAATACAGAGATGGAGCAAATAGAAGTTTTGATGTTCCAATTCCTTTGACTTCGTCTTGGACGCCCTTCCAAACGTAACTTCTTCACGCAGCAGGCAGAAGTGAGGATCGTGACTGAGAAGCCCCAGCATGATGAGATCGGCGTCGAGGCCGTAGAGGCAGTGCCGTACGTTTGGGTCGTAGTTTGGCTGTGCCTTTGCGTTTCGGATGTATTCCATGATCTTGTGTTCTCCTTCACCTGGAACTTCATGCCCGGATAAGACAATGTCGCATCCTTGCCAGTCGGTGTCTTCTGAAACCTTTTTGTTTACAAAGTATCGGAGTTGCTGGGACAGCTTGGCCATGAATTCAGTGCCTAAAAAGAAGAATATATGGTTAGTTCTGGTGCTAGAGGGCTGTGGAGGGATGCGGCAAACCTGGCGTAATGCAGTTGCTGTCAAAAGGCTCCTCCTTTGGGAGCTCTATTCCTTCTCGGATCGCTTTTTCGCGAGCCTTTTCGGCATCCAAGGCTGTCCGGAAACGCCTAGCACGCTGCTGGTTCATTTTGGCACGAGGAGCAACTCCATCAATTGCCATGAAGAAGAGCTTCTTAGGCTTTATCTTCCCGAACAAATGCTCGATGTAGTTGAATATGCGAATAAACATCTCCTCCTCGCTGAGTCGGAAAGTGGCATCTTCGCCCGCATCTTTATGTGTACAGTTGTGGATGATTCCATTCATGTCAAGCTAGGACGAGACGGATTAGCAGGGTGCGAGTTCGTTCGGCATCGAGACTGATTTACATAGAGGCAGTCGAATTCTGGAATTCGATTCTCAGCAATGACTTGCGAGATGGCTGGGTAGCGCTCTGAGAGCCACCTGAAGAACTTGGGAACACTGTAGGCCATATGTATCAGCACTGGTAGCGAGAGGATTCCACAGCCGACAAACGAACCCCATGATGTCTGCAGTCGGGCGGCTTTTGTGCCAATAGTATGTAGAACAATTATACGTCGAACAAGTAGGAGAAAGCAGCCGAAAAATCAACCCGGATGTCTCAAAGCTGGCAGATTCAACCGCTGCGTCTCAGGGACAGGAACAGAGGAAAACGCCCGTAAGACACCAAGGAAAAGAAGACTCCGGAACTCCTGTAGACGAGCCTGTGGCTGATCCGACTAGGATGCTTCTGGGCAGCGGGAGCTGGAGTTGACGAGATTGTTTGGAGGTGGTGAAAGGTGGGAGTTGATGCGACAAAGGCACAAAGGCTCGCATGGAATGACTCTAGCGGCGAGTGGGAGCTGGGCACAGGTACCCAGGTACTGAGGGGAGGGGGGTGGCGGGCGAGGCTGTGGCTCTGAGCCTGAGACTTGCTAGCGCCACGCCCCAGAGCAACCGCCTGTCACTTAACGCGCGACGCGCCCCAGTTCGTACTAACTTGAAGTTTGGGTGCTTTTCAAGCTTCTCTGAACGCAGCCTTTTCTCCTCCCTCTCTATCGCTGTGTCTGCGCCCGGCAGCTTCTCCTGTGGGATTTGAAGCACGGGGTTGTTTTGTCTTCTAATTACCACTCTTGAGTCCTACTGTATTCATCGAGATTCCATCTCTCTTCTCCGATCAACGCCCCTCATCCATCATGGCGCCTCAAGGCTCTGAGCTCGACCCAGATGGTCAGTAGCCATTGAAGCCGTATTGTGCGACCAGGAGTGCTAACACATGCTTACAGTCGACATGGTGCACGACGAGGAAGACGACCAGGAGGAAAGACTCATCAACGAGGGTAAGCGGCTATCTCGACCAACCGAGCTTCACATTGCGCAGCCTTCTGATCTGAATTTTGGTGCAGAGTACAAGACATGGAAGAAGAACAGCCCGTTCCTATACGACATGATTCTTGGGTTAGTTGGCTCTCCAATTGTCGCGATGCTAGACTTGGATTGTTGTTCTAACCTTTCTGTTCTGCTACAGGACGGCCTTGACTTGGCCCACGCTCACTGTTCAGTGGTTCCCCGATGTCAAGGAACCCGAGGGCAAGAACTATCGCATGCACCGCCTTTTGCTCGGAACCCACACTTCTGACGACAGTGCCAACTTCCTTCAAATCGCCGATGTCCAGATACCCAAAGCCGTGGCACCGAATCCCAACGACTACGACGAGGAACGGGGCGAGATTGGAGGCTACGGAAAGGCAGGCGACGTTGCCGCCCTCAAGTGCGACATTGTACAGAGGATTGAGCACCCGGGAGAGGTCAACAAGGCCCGCTATCAGCCTCAAAACCCGGACATTATTGCCACCCTTTGTGTCGATGGCAAGATTCTCATCTTTGACCGAACAAAGCATCCTCTGCAGCCAGCAAGCCTGGGCAAGGTGAATGCCCAGATTGAGCTCATCGGCCACAAAGCGGAGGGTTTCGGCCTCAACTGGAACCCCCACGAGGAAGGCTGCCTGGTTTCGGGTAGCGAGGATAAGACCATGTGCCTGTGGTATGTATAATTGTTGGTGGTCGCTCGCGACACTGCTAACCCTTTTTGTCCTGCAGGGATCTGAAGACTCTCGAAGCAGACTCGAGGATACTGCGACCTGCTCGCAGATACACTCACCACACCCAGATTGTCAACGATGTGCAGTATCATCCTATCTCAAAGAACTTTATCGGCTCTGTATCAGACGACCAGACTTTGCAAATCGTAGACTTGCGACACAGTGAGACCAACAAGGCCGCTGTTGTTGCAAAGCGAGGCCACTTGGATGCCATCAATGCGCTGGCTTTCAACCCCAAGTCTGAAGTCCTCGTTGCCACAGCTTCCGCCGATAAGACGATCGGTATCTGGGATCTCCGAAATGTGAAGGAGAAGGTGCACACTCTTGAGGGTCACAATGATGCGGTGACCTCCCTTGCCTGGCACCCCACCGAAGCTGGCATCTTGGGAAGCGGCAGCTATGACCGAAGAATCATTTTCTGGGATCTCTCCCGCGTCGGCGAAGAACAGCTACCTGATGACCAGGATGATGGCCCACCTGAGTTGTAAGTCGTCACCATGTCACCATAAAATTTACTCGTATCAAGCTAACTAATTGCTTCAATGATAGGCTGTTTATGCACGGTGGCCACACGAATCATCTGGCTGATTTTAGCTGGAACCCGAATGAGCCTTGGTTGGTTGCCAGCGCCGCTGAAGATAACCTGCTACAGATTTGGAAAGTTGCGGAATCCATTGTTGGAAAGGACGACGGTGACTTGCCGGTCGATGAGCTTGACCGATAGATGAGGTGGAAGTTCTGGGAGAAGAGTCGATCTTCATAGGATGAAGGTGAAGAGAGGCTCTGGCATGAGATGGCACGACATCGTGCACAGTGGGAGAGGGAGGTGAAATCTCTTCGTACCAAGCCTGAGATTGTGACTGTGAAACCTGAAAATGAGACTTTGAGCCTTGAAGGGGAGACTTTGAACTGCGAGGAAGAATCCGCGAGATCTGATACGGAGACTTTGAGAGCTCCGGATATCATAATAGAAGACTCAGAGGAAGATGAGATGCCTATTTGGCTCTGAATCCGAATGAGTCTCGGTTTGATAGCAAATATTCTTCTCTAGGAGCAACGCTATGCAACTGTACAGGAAATGGCGATACATTATTGAGATAGTTGAAAGATATTCTATAATGACAGTTGCGTGACAGCTGGCAGACACAATAGGCAGATGTTTAAAACCGTTTGCTCTTCCATTTCCCCATTGACCTGACGGCTCTTTTCATTTCACCTCTGCCTCACATTGAGTCGTTTCAGGATTTTCTTTTTCATCCTGTCTGCATTGCTGATCCAAGAAAATGTCTCCTCATTAATCAAAGAAACAACCCAATCCCAAGAACATTCATTCAGCCGCCCCCCCTTTCTTGACCTCTTTTTTTCTTCATACATCTCTTGGAACTCTCTCGATCTTTGTCTGGAAAACTTCGTCAATTCTCATAATAGATCATCGCCATCTCGCATATTCTCCATAGGGGGGAATAATGAATAGCAACAACGAAGAGGCCGGGCCGAGTAACGGCTCGCAGGCTAACGCAAACGACCTCCACCAGCTAGTTGAGGATATCAGACGCCGAGCTTCGGAAGAAGATGACACCTCAAAAGATGATCCGTGGACGCATCATGTCCGCGATCACATGCTGGAGGACATGGGAATCGATGTGACCGGAATGGAAGAGCTATTCAACCAGTATGGCACTGGTATGGAGGGTACACAACTGAGCGGCGATCACATTAAGCTGCTCAGGTGTATCAATCGCGTTTCCATCGAGGAGGTCGAAGTTGACGGCATGGTCAAAAAGAAATTCAAGTTCGATGATCTCGATGTCGAGGGCTACTTTGGCAACATTGATCCGTACGAGGCGCCGAATAAAGCGAAGTCCAGAGTCGCGTACGCCGGCATAGACCTCATTTCGGTGATATGCCAGCATGTAGAGCTCGCCGTGGAGCTTGGCAAACATCTCAATGGAAAAGATATTCTGAATTTGTGCCTTGCGAACCGCCGCTTTTACGAAGCCGTCAATGGCTATCTGCTGTCCAGTGTCCGCGCCTGGATCGAACACAAAGCCCCTGAAGCAGGACGCATCTTCCACTACCAGCTCTATGCAAAGCATCTGGTTGACGATCCGCAGAAGAGGACGTGGATGGCCTTGAAGCAGGGCATGACGACTTCGCCAAACAAGGACGGCAAGATTCGCAAGGTGCCCGGACTCAAGTATCTGCAGCTCGTCTTGGGCCGGGATAAGTGCTGCAAGGAGATTCTCGCCATCATGGCAAGGTGCGGCCACCGGATGCCGTCGACGATGCACCACTCGCTTCTGCGGCTTTGGCTTCTCATGGATGTTGCCACTACTCAGCAGAGACAGACGATGCTGCGGATGACGCACATCTTCAAAGACACCGACCTCTACAACATGCAAATGTTCTTCGTCAAGCTTGGCATGCTCTTCAACGACCCTATTTACGGCCCTTGCACGCTTGATCTGGTTCAACTCATGATGGGCCAGAAAGGCCTATTCAAGCTCTGGCAGCTGCTCACTCGCAAGAAATTCAACAAACTGGCCGACATCCTAGATCTCAAGTTGCGCTACGATTTCAACTTCTTCAGCGAGGGCAGTTACTGGGTAGAACACGCGCTGGGCCAGATTCAGGGCATCCCCCTTCACGAAATCGGACAGCAGCATAAAGAAGGCTGGGGAGCAGGTCGAATGCATCTGCTTCGACCCGATGAGGCTGTTCCTGTGGAGGCTGTGCGCAGAGGTCTTCAACTAGACGACCATCTGAGCCACATGGTGATCTGGGGATACTTTGACTGGAAGACGGGCGAGAACATTGTCCCTTCCCTAGAGGAGATGTACATTGAAGACGAAGACGAGGTGCTTGCCAACGTCGATACACTCGAACACTGGAAGCCAAGACATGTCCTGAAGAAACGCTGGAATGAGCTCACGCCCCAGCAACAAGACGAAATCCTGTCTGACGAAGAAGACGAACGACTGCGTGCTCAAGCCTGGTGCAGCACCCTCGATGATGATGACGATGCCGGCAGTCTGGACGACGTCTCAGATACAGATTCGGACGAGTCCCTCGATCTGGACGAAGAAATCAACCGCGGCTTCATCGTTCCTCCGCAACCCAAGGACCACGAATCCACGGTACCAGCCGTCGACAACGCGCAGGGCTGGGTCAACTTTGTCAACCAGTCTATACTGGGCGGCATGATACCTGACCTTGGAGAAGACGAGAGGCTGAGGGCCCAGGCGTGGAACTCGCATCCTAATCCTGACCCTGAACCAGAGATAGATGCGGACCAGCTTTTGGACGCATTTGTGACGGAGTTGCAGAGTAGACATAGACGGCAGCAATGGGCGGCGGCATCTGGGTCACAGGGAGAGGGTGGCGAAGAAGGAGACGATGATGAGGAAGAACAGGGTGAAGAAGACTTGGATGACGAAATGGAAGATGAAGCCGATGATGAGGGAGATTTCGAGGATAATGACGGGGAGGATGATGAGGCCAATGGTGACAACGAAAATGTCAACTTAAACGGCCTGGACGGCATCTATCAGGGCACCCAATTCAAATTCCAACCTGCCTCTGATACCCAGCTCCCTTACTACTACCCTTTCGATGACACACAGATGGACCTCGATCTACAATCCTTCATGCCAACATCATCTGCTCCCAATCAACAGGGCCCTTTTCAACTCTACGACGGAGAAGACGAAATCATGCAGGATCAGTATCCGGATCAGGGTGAGGCTCAAGACTACGGCGACATGTCTTGAATGATTTGTCGATTCCTCACACTCTTCTTCTACTCTACTCTCACCAAAGGGAGGGGGGACAAAGCTCTCAAGGATAGATATATGCAAAGACGAGCCTGGCTGCGAAGGTTCGGCAATGTGGCTGCTTGTAAACCTTAGATTCAAAGCCAAAATTTAGCTGTAGATTCATAAAGTATATGCTCATCTATATGCTATCCTATACTTTGGCCAAACCAAATGTGCCGATTTAAGCCTCGTAGATACCAAAACCAAAACAAACAATCACACAATATTCATCTCCATCTTTATAGCCCCAAGATATTACCAAGAAAAAAAAAAAAAAATCAACACACAATATATTAGGACACGCCTCCCATCCCAACTCACTCTACTTTTATTTCATGTCCACATCCTTTGGACGTTAAAAACATCAGAGCATTCTCACATCAGCAAAATCAACCGTAGCCAACCACCCACACACACAGCCCCCCCCCCCCCCCCCCCCAATTTGAAAACCCCTATCCCTCCCAATTTCCCTTCCCCTTTCCATCATCAAAAGTTTCCATTTCATTTGCCCAAAAACAGGTTTCCCTCAAAACTCGATTTCAGCCCAACTCCCGCCAGATTTCCCCCGCTCCCTGAAATGCTGCTACCTTGACACCTTCTCCTCCCAACTTGTTTAAAAAGAAAAACGAGCGAACGAAAAAGTACAATGCGAGAAGAGAGAATGTCCTATGTAAAAGAAAGGATTGGTAGATAAAGAGACAAGATCAAGTAAAAGGGAAGAAAACGAAACCAAAGTGAAAAGGAGACAAGAGATTCAGACCAGTAAAAAGCAAGTTGACAAGAGAGAAAGATGAAACAAAATCAAAGACCCCCTAGATCTGAGTGATAAATCCGACACCGGCGAACTGGATATTTGAGTCAAACAAGGCCATGATATACCCTTACACTCCCTTTCGCTATGCACCAGCACCGGGACAAAGGATTCCAGCAAAATGCCACGTCCGACCGATAATCGAGTCCACACAACCTTATTTCCCTTGCCAAGAACCATGTTTGCCCCCCTAGCGCGAAAGAGAACCAATAATTTTTTTCTTCCTCAGCAAAGCTTGAACCACAAGTCTCGTTGACCCAGAATAGCCGTGGTGTATTCACTTTTGTCTTCCAGCCCTCGAAACAAGACCACAGCCCCGCCTAAAACATATCCGACACTCCGTCCTAGTCCTCCAAAAACAAACCAAATACACACCAGCCCCTTTCCCTTGAAATAGCAAGCAAGCCAGGTCCAGAAGGTATTTGCCAAGGTCAAATGCTCTATGTTCATCATTCCAAAGTTCGTCTCATGGGAACGAAAAAGATATACCGATGGTACATGTAACCAGTTGAGTAAAATCATCATCTAAAAAGATGGCGTCTGCCGCAGATGCTTGGCCCCACCGTTTCCGACAACCTCACCCTTAGGCGGGTGACTTGTTAGGAGTAGCACCAGCACCGTTCTGACGAGCGTCGCCGCTGACAGACAGGCCGCCGATACCACTGCTCAGGAAAGCAAAGGGGTCATTTTCGTTGTTGCCAGGGTTGCCGTTGTTATAGAAGTTGTTGCCTGGCCCACCAGAGACGGGACCGTTAGTCGCAGACTGGAAAGCCGCCTCGGCAGCCCTACTATCAAAGGGGCCTGCAGAATGCGAACCGGGAGCGGAAGCGAAGCCCTGCGTGTTAAGGGAGCCTGGGTAGCCACCGGCGCCGCCGCCTAATCCTGAGGGAAGGAAATGGCTAGGAGGACCGCCAAAGTGCTGACCGTAGCCGCCTCCTGGCCCGAAGGATCCTCCAGAGGAGAATGGGCCGGGGCCTGGCGTACCGGCCATCGAACCCTGGCTCATGCCGTACTGAGAGCCGTTATCCATCGGAGAGGGGTAGCCAGAATCCGCAACGACAGCAGCACCAGCACGGCTGGCGCCGCAGCGAAGACAACAGACATTCTTAGCAAAGTTGTGGTATCCGCAAACTTCGTTTCCACATTTCCAGTCACCGGCACGGAAAGGCACAACACCGCCACCGCCCATTCGTCCACCGTGACCCATAGGACCGTGATGACCGCCGTGGTGAGGAGGGGTCATCATAGCTGGGGGACCGTATGGGTATGGGTAGCCACCAGGGCCCATGTCACTAGGAGCACCGCTTCCAACAGCAGGGAACGAGCAACGGAAGCAAGCCGTGCGGCGCTGGAAGTTGGAGAAACCACAAGAGGGGCAAGTCCAATCACCAGGCCGGGGGCGGTTCTTGCTTGGGGGGAAGGGTGTCAAAATATCTTGAGCTCGATCCAACACGCGGCTAGAAGAAGGAGAAACCTCGATAGCCTTTTCGTTGAGCGCACGTCCGTTCATACACAAGCTCTCAGCAGCCTAGACGAGGTTAGTTACGATACCCCCAATATATTCGTGAACAACGGAAACTGAGTGAGTAGGGGAAAGGACCCCCAGTGAAAGTGATTGAAGAAAAAGAAAAGAAAAATAGAGACTCACTTCCTCATGGGATGAGAAAACAGCAAAGCCTGTACCAGTGGGCTTGTGCTGCTCGGGGGTTCGAAGAGTCCAGAAAGCAATAGGACGACCACCAAACTGGGTGAACCAGCTCTCCAGCTCGGATTGAGTAGTATCATGCGGCAAACCAGACATGTGCAAAACCTTGCTCCTCTCTGAAAGGAACGCCCGGACATCTGCCCTCGCATCCATAGGCCGAGTCAACACATCGGGGTGATCCTGGGCGGGCTGAGACTTGCGAATCAAGCCACGAAGAACGCGGGCCAAGGTAATGGCCTCTTCCATTGCGCGGCGAGGAGAGGCGGGAGCAAGAGCCTGGAGGTGGAAGGGCAGATTATGCTTAATAGGTGCACTGGACTGGACGGGCTCGACCTCAAGAGCAGCGCAAATGTTTGACAGCATCGAGGGACCGAACGGCAGAGATTCTGGGTGGTGCTGTTGCCAGCGTTGGTATTCAGTTCGCAGGTCGAAGGTGCGAGAGTGCTGCAGATAGGGAGGCAGCACGACGGCCTTGTCGCGAGCTTCTCGCGGGAGCTGAACTCGGAGATCCCAGGCATCGAGCGTGACGAAGACAAAGTCGAGGTTCTTAGACGTCAGATACTCGGTTGCAAACGTGTCGAATCGACTGATAGCATCCCTAAAAGTACCGGCATTTCGAACGTGTTCCCAGGTGAGAGTCGTTAGACTCGCTGCGAGGAGAAAACATCACAAGTCAGCCCCAGTTTTCGACGATTCGCCGCAAGCTTAGAATTTTTGGACGCCAATTCTGTGCCCTCTTCGCGAGCGCAAGGCAAAAAGGGGGAGGCCGCGACAGAGGAGGCCGAAAAAAAAAAGATGCACGGCATAGAAAAACTTACTGCATAGCGGGGTGATGGGAGTATTGACAGGCTTGACGAGGACGCTCTCGTGGGTGATCTATTGTGATGCCGCCGGATTAGCGATGCTTCAGCTGAGAAGCCATGCAGTGGGCAGGATCGTGCGGCCAGGTAGTGGCGCAGGGGGGGGGGGGCAAAGGTATTTCTAACCTCCTCCAGACTGTTGGCATCAAGGAGAATCCATCCAAGCTCAATGACTTCGGCGGAATCCTTGGTGACATAGACACCGTGTTCATCGCAGGTAGTCGCAACGTGGATCACAACGTAGCGATCGATGTTGAGCTGAGGCACCTGCTGTGAAGACATGATGGCGACGGGTCTGCCGGCTCGAGCCAACAAACGTGTGCAAGACGCAGGCAACGACTATCGACGGTGAAGCGATCGCCGGACCACTTGCAATGGGTCGTCGAGAGGGGGATAAGAATACAGAAACGCCGAGCGGTAGCCCTGGACCCCAGCCGGTTCGAATATTTCACGGGCGGGAAAAAGGGCGATGGAGGAGGCTGTGACGAGGCTTCAGGAGGCGTTCTCAGCAAACACAAAACTGCCGGGGAAAAGCCTGTAGCTCGGGTCGGCGGCCGGGAGAAGAGAAGAAAAGGTGAGCACACAATGAAGGGTCGACGGAGTGGGAAAAGATTGGCCGCGCCCTGCCAGAATGCGCAACACACCCTCGAAACAGTCGAGCTTTGAAGTAGATGAAGAAAGACTGCAAAAGAGAGAATGGGGAGGATTGGAAGAGACCGGTTGGGCGAGCGGGAAATTGGTGGTTCCAGCAGTTTTCTCTTGTCACAGCGGCTGCAGTCTAGCTCAGGTACCTGACTGCTCAGGTTCCAGCGGGTGGTACAGGACAAAGGGCCGTTGGGGGGTCTCTTCAGGGCCTCTGTGGAGCGGAACATGGGCCGTCTCAGTGGGCTCAGCGCTTTGCAGGTGCTTTCCAGCTGGCCAGCTCAGGCGCTCGACGTGCCGCAACCCTGCTAGCCCTGCTAAGCGTCCCCAACTAACCTGGCGGGAAACAATGAACCCTACGGCGTGCTACCTGGGCCGCTTATCGGGGCTGGCTGGCTGGCAGCGTCCCACCCAATGGGGGCAGAAGGGGGCCATCCGGCAAGTCGGAGACGGCAACATTGGGAGAATTCATCAGCAGAAGCTCAAGTTGTCTGCAGGGACGAGCTACTATGTACTAGGTAGATCAAGAATCGATGCGTGGTGTTGCTTGATACACGCAGAACTCAATTGATGAAAAGTAGCTGAAACTTTCATTGTTTTGCTGTCAATTGTAGGCTTAACTTAAACCTTAGTCATACTTCACTTCGTACCCATTGATGTACAAGTACGGAGTACAGTACGTACCCAGTTGCCTAGGTACCTTGGTACGTGTCTGAGCAAGATCCATCACATCAATACATGTATGTACCTTGAATCATGCCGCCGCGATACTGGTCTCGGCAAGTCTACTACCTACCTAGGTATGTAATACTGGGACTGTACACCGTAACTTTGATCAATGCTTCCCTGTTCAGGTACAGGCACTGTACATCCAATGTATGTAGGTACCTGGGTAAGTTCCCCAGATCTATATTAGGTTATGCGCAATACAGCCGGTCTGGCTCGATAGGCGAATCTCGGGCAAGGAGAAGCTGTTCCCACCTCCGAGTACAAAACAGACTGCCAGCTGCCAATTGCACGTCTTCTGGCTTGCTCGTGTATCTGGATACGGCACAGCCGGAATCAGGAATCGTATGTTGAATACGAAGTGCAGAAAATACGTTGATGTCCGTTACCTGCTGTTGGGCCCTTCCAACGCAGCTCCCGTACCCAATGCAAACATGGACAACTCTCATCGTCACATCAATGATCAGCATGACCAGGTGACGGCCACCATCTCCGCATGAAACAACAACAGCAGCAGCAGCATCTTGACCCTCGTTCAGTCTGGGAATAGGAGGACTCTCACCGCCGCAAGCAAGTTGGCATATTGTAATCCTGCTAGTACAGTTTCTTACACGACCTCGACTGGACCCAGCTACGAGTATAAGCCCGCCAGCTTTCCAAATCAATCAGTCGGCAGCAATTGGCGTATTATGCATAATAAACGACTGCTAGCTGGCATGACAGAAGACGAGTTCCACATATATTCTGTACTCGCAGGCCAGCAACGTCAAACCAAGAGACCGGCGCCGTGTGGCGAGACAGAATTGGTCTTTATCACGCGGATCTCTGGCGGCTCTCCATTGTTTTGTAGCTATGGATTCCTGTGCTCGCTACTACTTGCAACAAGTATCCATCCCACGTATCACGTTGAGATTTGCTGCAGAGTGCTGCGCTCTGTCATTTGCGCGGTTGACACAGTGTCAGGCACCCTAATGGCATCATGCTGAATCAGGTTTTGACAGGAGCTTCTGTTGGGTGAAAAATGACGAGTCTCATGCAATCAAGCCTCTCTTGGGGAGGGCCACTCTTCTCCTCCATGTTCGGTACACAGGCTTGATCCACGAAATCTTGTAGTTGCGCAACCCTTGTTTGATGCCAAACACGGCTATACTGGTAGTATTATCCGCCGCTCGTCTCAGCACTTCACTGGGGCAGGGCGTCTTTTTTTTTTTTCCCCTCTTCTCTGTGAAGCAGCGACTAGTGGCTATAATAGTGTCCGTCGCAAACCCGACCCTTTTAGTCGGGACACTAACTGGTATCTACTCCCGCATGGGCGTCGGTATGTCGGGAATACCCGCTCTGCGAGACGTTTGGAAGCAAGGTCGAGAGAGGGTAAGTGGCCACTTCTTGTCATTGTTTCCACATAAAAAAAGGAGAGTCGCCTTACCGACTTAACAGAGGAGCCGTATGGCAGGCCTGAAGAGTGGGAAATGATCCGATTTGAGTCACGGATAAAAGGGTAAGGTTCCCGGTAACTCGGACCGCGCTCTGCGTCGGCAAACCCCGTTGAAGCGGCGTGATGACGGGCCAGGAAAAAGAAAAGAAAAAGCACTCTTTCGTTTGGACAAAGTGCTCTGATTTTAGCGTACTTTAAGGCAGACTCTTAGACGCGTCTGAAGTTGTCTTGTGTGACCGGCGGGGGTTTCCTTCCTTGGCATTTCCTCTCGGAATCCAGGCCAACCACGAGGCCTGTACGGAGACGGGCTGCCGGCTCAACCATATGATTGGCGCCGTGGATACTGACTCAGATGAGTTTCTAGAACGATGTCAGAAAAGCAGCGTCTTGTAGCATATGATTGCCATTGCAACCTATCCAGTCCCGCAGTATCAACTGCTATCTGTCTCATTCAGGGAATAATGGCCGTCGGTGTATCTAGGACTTACAAAAGATACACTAGTGAGCTCGACGGAATGCCAGTATTTTCATCCCCGTTGCTTGGATGTCATGCTCTTAGCTTTGACGCATGCCGCAGGGGTCGCCAAATCCTTCTCTTACTCCGAGTCTCAGCTGAGACATGTCCAGCTGTGTTTCACCTCTGCTCCCCGCATGTCATTGTTCCAGCATCAGCCACGGGGCTGGTCGGGGATTTTATGGCTCGTAACGGCAACATCCATGAATCGGGAGCCACGGCTCGCTTCCATCAGAGTGCTAAAAGTCGCCGGAAGGTCAGATGCTATTTGAAGACCAACGCAATCTCGACTCGCCAGGATATGCTTGCCTGGGCTGTTAAGAATATGAAGTCAGCACGATTCAGTGAAATGATCCAACAGGAACCGGCTATCGGTCGGCTACCTTGCAATTCTGTGGGACAAGTACCCATGTGGGCGCGGGATTGTCAGCTATACCATGCCATCCTCTCATTCCCACCAAGATGATATGATGAGCTGTTGCTAGGAATCTGCTCTGCACTGTGCTCTTCTTCTGTGCAGGTGAGGATATGTAGAAGGTTTGAAGGGTTTGAGAGCAGACAGAAATCTTTCGGGGGCCTTGGAAGAAGTATGGCGTCTTGTCTTCCTATTTATCACGCTTGAGCTGCCATTGCGGAATTGGGGCAAGAGTTCAAACATAACAAGGCCATTGCCAACATTTGGGTTAAAAAGACAAGTTTTAGATTTTCTCTCAAGTTCTCTTTTGGCGGCTCCTTTATTTCCGCCATCAATCAATTGAGTTTGAAACTACGAGGCCGCCCGCTCCTTACTGAAGGCGAGCGGGAAAGTCGTCCACGTGCGACTACGTCATCCGCTCCTCCGAGGCTGCGTCATGGTTGGCACATCGCGGGTAGCCACTGCCTAGAGCGGCGGTTGACGGTGGTTGATTGCGTGAACTCAATATCATCAAGATCTGGGCACGCAAGCTTGTTACGCAATAGGAGGCTAAAAACTTTAACCTGGCAGAGCATTCCAAGCTGCAATAAAAAGAGCCAGTCTCTCGCCGCTTGTATCGATTGCCATCGCAACAGTTGATCCTCCAGGTTCCAGAAAGAGAATTCCAAACTACGCTTGCCATCCGTTACAATCGAGTGCTACTCGTTCGACTTTTACATATCGGCATACCTTGTCTTTACAAAGAACATTCAGCGAACCTGCAACGACTTGCTACCGCCATCATGGGTGTCTGCGGTGCCGTACTTATCGTCATTGCCACCATCTTCTGTATGTCGCGAGAGATAACCATGCCAAATGCCAATTCGATGGATGCCTGCTAATCGTGATTCTCAGTCCCTCCGCTCGGCGTATGGGCTGTGGCAGGATGTGGAATGGGTATGTATTTTTTTGGGGGGGATCGTTGATACTGGCCTCTACCGGGTGGCTACAATAGAATGACATGCTGAGACGCTCTAGACATCTTTATCAACATATGCCTGACTATTCTTGGATACTTTCCGGGCCACATACACGCATTTTACCTCGAATATGTCTACTATGACCGGAAACAACAAGCCCGCGAGGGTCATTATCCGCCGCGCCGCGCTCCAGGCATCTACTCTGACAAGGTGCAAACGGGCGGACAAGGCCGTCGACAAGGCTATGGAACGATGGCGCCGGCGCCTGGTGCGCCTATAGGAGGCCCGGCCTATGATAGCCAAGGTTATGGTAACCAAGGTTATGCTAATCAGGGCTATGTAAATCAGGGCTATGGTAACCAAGGTCAGGGCAACCAAGGATACGCCTGAGTGTCTCTATTTCAGTAGGGAACATGGTTGTGAAATTGTGCAATGAAGAGGGGAGATGATTCAAGACGCAGACTGAGAGGCGCGGCTTCAACCGAAATGGATTTTGTAGGTCGACCTGAATGGTGTTGGGCTGAGTTGAACGGACACAAGTCGTCTTGAATGAACTTCCAAAGCAGGTGTCTAACCAATTTGGTTCAGAGAGTCCAGGCCGACAAGCTGTAGGCTGTCTATGAGTGAGAGCTGTTCAAGCTGAAGTAGAAATAATATTACCTTACAATCATATTGGTTATTGAAAACACCATTTGGATTCCTCGCGGTGGTAAGATGAGTAAGGAAAAGACTTGAGGATGACATCACCGCGGCCTTGCTTCACTCTCTTAGTGCTTCCATCTGGGGAATCTAGCCACGGAATATCTCGTCCGCAGATTCTGCACAGCCGGCCAGCAAGGCATTTCCAAGGCCAATCGGATGCGAGTGATAAAATTGCAAGATGCATTGGTCTGAAACACCTTGCGAATCATGCATTTATTACCCAGCATAAGCTGTCGAGTCAAGGTGCAGCGACGGAGCAGGAGCTTGAGATTTGACGAATTGGGCTCGAGCTTCCCCGCTCCCGCAAACGTGCCCCAACCTTGGATTTAAGAGAAGAAGAAAAGAAAAAGAGCATGGGACAAGGGGTCAGTTTACAAAGCACAGACACTGATTAGACGCTGGTGCTGATGCTACGGCTGACTACAGTAATACAGATAGACGACTGTGGGGGAGAAATGGCCAAAGCGCTGAAGATATGGTCAGAGTCTCGGAGTGCAGCGCTTCAATTGCCTGATCGCCATCAAGCTGTTGCATCGATCCAATTACCAACTGGCAGGCAGGCGTGATATCAATTTCTTCATCTCACCACCAAAGAATCTGCAGCACCTACATAGAAGGCAGCAGTGTCCACATCGGCATCGACATCGACCGTACCGTATAGTACATACATACATGGCTGTACATGTACCCTGTAAGCAATTGGCAATGGGCATCATCTCCCAGCGCCGTGATTGGCCTCGGCCATGCAAAACAGCAGTTTGTGTGCCCTTTGGAGCGCATCGCTTTGCGCTGCTGCTGTGCGCCTTTCCGCTTCAGTCGGCGAACACGTCGAGATGCCTCACGCCAGCCAATAGCCGGCGCCCACGGCAGCAAACAGCTGCGGCAGGGATGGCGAGGGCAAATCAGCCAGAAGCTGTGGCAGAGGCGAGCGGCCGGCGCCGGAGGCAGAAGCCCTTTAAGCGGCGGCCACGACGGTCGTGCAGCTTCGCATATGCCATGCTTATGCAGCTTGTGCATCCGTCGAATGCGTGAAGCGTTTTGCGCTTTTGCGTGCTGTGTTTTTGCTCCGCCCACGCCTGTTTTGGCGGTTTGATCTGTTTCTGTTTTGGCGCTTGGTGTCGTTGTCGATTTTAATTTGCCTGGCCCAATTATCGCGTCGTGTCGTGCCCCCTCACTGCGACTTGCTCGCTTCCATCTACTACTACTACACCATCGCAGCCTCGATAAACGCAGCCTCCACAGAGAGATAGAGAGAGAGGGATAGAGAGAGAGTCTGTCTCTCTGCATCATCTCTCCCGCCATTCTCCCTCGCTTCGTCCAGCTTCGCCACTACCACCACCCACCAACCACACCACCATCGCTTGCTTGCCACTGCCACTGCTATTTCAAGCACCCTCTTGCAGCTGCAGCTGCATCTCTCTGCCTTACTCTGCCCTTAGTCCTTGTGTGAGACTCCGCCAACGCTACAGTCACTGTCGTGCCACTCTCTCACTAGCGAGGGACACCCTACGGCCCTACCACGTATCCGTATCCTCCTCTTCCCCCATCCCATCGAAGCCAACCCAAGCCAAACCAGACCAAACCAGGCCTGGCCAGGGACCTTGTCCGAACGACACGAATGCATTGAGTGCTCGGAGCTGCACAGCTTGCATGTTGCCGCGCCCGATGTCTTGCTGAGACCCTAGACCGATCGTCGCCGATACCCAACACCCAATACCTCTCCCAACCTGCCTGCCTTACATATATTGTATTTAACCACCGATACACATCGCTCAGCCCATCATGTCCTTACCCCCCTCTGGCCCTCAACCGCCGGCAGACCAACCTCTACCTGAGCCTCATCCTCAGTCTCGGCCTCAGTCTCAACACCAGTCTGAGCCTCACTCCCAGCTCCAGCCTCAGCCTTCATCTCTTGCGCCGCCTCGGACATCCACCACCGCCGAACAACGTGCTGGTGGCAATTCCTTCCCCGTCTCCTTCAGGCGTTCCATCCAGCCCAATCCGTCCCCGACCAGCCTCGTGCCGTCTACCGCTGAGGGCAAGCCGATCCCCGTCGATGATTCGACTGTAGAGTACCGCACCACCGCTCTCCGAGAGCTCAATCACAACTTTCCGAGCCATCGTTACGCCAAGTCGACCGGCGCCCAAAACAGCACATACTCGGAGCCCGTTATTGTCCGAAGCTATTACCCCCCGCTGCCATCAAGCAGGCCGTCGAGCTCGTCTCGTGGTCCCATTGTTCACGGACCATCCGTCTCCGGTCCTGGTGCCGCCTCCGGATCCCAGGTTAGCCGATTTGCCGAAGCAGTCGCCGGTGTCCCTTCTAGATTCGTGTCCGGAGAGCCCGGCATGTTAAGCACCATGGTGTTGTCCTTTGGAAAGAAACCCGTAAACGGCCGTGCCGAGGATGAGGCCCGCCTGCCCCCAGTGGACGCCTTTAGCTTCAAGAGCTTTATGGCCAATATCGAGGCCCAGGGCGGCGGCGTTGCTGGTGATATCAATGCTGATCTAGACCGGATTGCCGAGATTTGTGCCAGGTCCAGGTACTCGCTGAGCAACCAATACGAAGTCCATTATACTCCCCATGGATCTGGATCCTCTTTCTTCAACTCCTCGACCCAGTTAAATGATTCTCAAGGTCCAACCCTGCAGGTAGTCTCCACGGACGACGAGCAAAGCGTAGGAGCATCAACCCGTAGGAGGAGACGCATGGCTCGAAGGAATAGCAGAGCCGTAGGCACCTTAGAAACCATCATATCGTCCAGTCGCTCTTCGGATGAGGAACAGCCTGGCAGGAAAAAGACCGCCTCTGAGATCGCTGAAGAAATTCGCGGCCGGGCGGCACAAAAGAGTTCGGCCCACTCCTCTCACAGCAGCTCTTCCAGCGAAACTCTTGATGAGCGAAGAGACACGCACCAAGAGGAGGCAGCGCCAAAGAAGTCATCATCTTCCCTTGCTCTCATTGATGCCTCTACTAGGCTTAACGGCGCGGTCATGGATTCTCCACGCACATCAGCCACCGGCCTCGTCAGTGAGCCGGCGCGGCCACAAGAGTCGACAAGTCAGCTGGAAATACGCACAGTTCCAGGAGAGCTTCTTGAGGGACCCCCTGTTGTTCTTGTCAAGGAGACACCCGCTCCCCCCAAGCAATATGGCCTCTCTGTTGCAAAGGGGGCCATTACGCACACTAGGACGGACACTGCAGGCAGTGGTATTCTCTCCATGATCAACGGCTGGATGCCCTGGAAGCCATCTTCCAGCGCATCCGCCCATCACAAGGGTCTTGCCGAGGGGAGTCTCCGAGACCTCTTAAAGGTAACTGATTACAAGGGAAAGGGGATACTTCAATAGCCCCTCGTTGATCGGTACCAAAGAGATATTATATAGATGAATGGGCGAATGCTGGGGCTAAAGAGTGCAGATGGACAATGGTTTGTCCACAGAAACGATGAACATGATACCAAACAAAACAGGGTAAAGAGGAGGAGAACACAGAACGACCCTCTGCATCTGTTTATTCTCATTTTTTTTGGCTGCTTGATGGGATACGTGCGTTTGGAAAACGAACTTGTGATACCACTTTATGATGAAATTCACTGATGATGTTATGACAATGGGACGACTCTCTCGGAGAAGTTTGATTCTTCTCTTCTCTTTTCTTTCTTTTTTATTTCTTTCTCTTCTTCTTTTTTTTAGCTGGCCTATGAATTACGCGAGGCAATGGGCGGATTTTACGCACTTGAACTTCAGGACACTCGATGCATATACATATAGCCGGAATGAAAATTGACTTCCAGTAGCACAGTACACAGCACAGCTTTTTGTATCGTCGTAACAGCTTTCATATATTAAACTTCCCACCAGAAGACTGAATCTTCTCTTCTACATGCTCCCAAAGCCGTAAACAACCACGCAGAGCCAATGTCTGCCATGCAATGCCATCTCCCCCCCTAGGAAAAACAAGCTTTCCACGTCCACGAAACGCCAGATATACCCTTTTGAACACCTTTCGAGTGGGAAGAAAAAGAGAAGAAAAATAAGAGAAAACGTTCATGCCACATGTACGGCATTATAACTACATTGACAGCGTGCCGTCTCATCGTCAAGCATCAGGGCCAAAGCCCACGCCGGAAGGGGAGGAGCTGGGGTGAGGAGGAGGAAAAAGCCACCCTATATATCAAACAAGAAACAGAAAATCACAAGATGCCCTGGGGGGAAAAAAAGGATAGAACCACCCATTTATTCCTTCGTAGCTGTCGTTGTAGTTGCTGCTGTAGTAGTGCTGCCTCGATTATCCGCCGGCTTCTGATCGACGTGTATCCTCTTGGCGCTCCTCTCGCGATCATGAGACTCTGTGACGCGTTTCTTGTCCTTTTCGCGGGAGCTATCCTTGGCTGCTTTCCGAGCCTCCCGATCTCGCCGCTCGTTTTCTTTTCGCAGGGCTTTGGACTCAAATTCGTGCCAATCACCACCAATATTTGCCAGCCTGTCGTCGGGGGTCAGTAAATCAAACGCATTGCCGACAAAATAGCCAGTCTTGAAGGATATTGGACTCACTCTATGGCCTGCCTTGACAGCGGCTCTTCGGTAGTGAAATATGCGTGTTGCAAGATCTTGGATGCCGTGGGCCTCTTTGCTGGGTCGTAACAGAACATGGATTTTAACAAGTCAAAGGCAGCTGGAGAGACTCTGTCTTTGTATTTCTCCGCAAAGACATTCTTTCGTTTGGCAGTTGGTCGGAGCAGCTCGAACCAGGCCATATCTGTAATTCCAGGCCAATCATGGCGGGTTGGTGTCCCGAGGATATTATATATCTTGTCAAGCTGGCTGAGCTCTGTTCCATCTCCAGCAAAGATGGCAAGTCGGGTGAAAATCTCCACCATGACACACGCGGCACTCCAAACGTCGACGGCAGCGGTATACTTCGTTTCTCCCAGTAGGAGCTCTGGTGAGCGATACCAGATTGTAATTACCCGATTCGTGTAATCCAGCTGGTGTCGCTTCGCATAAAACCGAGCCAGTCCGAAATCCGCCAGCTTCAATATTCCCTCACTGCTGACAAGAATGTTTGCAGCTTTAATGTCCCGATGGAGGACGCCTCTCTCGTGAAGATAGTCTAAACCTTCGAAAAGCTGTTTGGCCATGTGCTTCTTCTGGGCCGGGTCTAGCGTAAAGGAAGGATGGTTGAGCAAGCCTGTCAGATCATGAGAGAGGTATTCGAAAACCATGAAGCAGTCATTCTTCTCTACCATGACCTCCTGAAGATTGACAATGTTGGTGTGCCTCAGCGACTGCAGCAGTTTGATTTCTCGGACGGCCGTCACCGGAAACCCGTCTCTTTCACCCTCCATGCGAATCCGCTTCAGAGCAACGAGTCCTTTTGTGTATACATTGAGCCCCTTGAATACTTTTCCGTATGTTCCTGAACCGACAACAGACTCATTTCCGGGTTTTCTAAAGAACACCGAGTCGGATTCGATCAAGTCGTCAGGGAGAGTCGGTCGAGGTTTCGGTCGTTTCATGACCTTGATCACCTTGCGCGTTCTCGGTGCCAATTTTGGTCCCTCGGGAGGGTTCCTAAACTCCCGCCGGGAGCGTGCCGAAGACGGCTCAGTGGGTGCACTTGGAGGAGGTTCTCGATCACGGTTAGTGGTTTGGGCCTGTTGCACAGGCTCTCTTCTTGGAGGTGCGGCATTGAATTTTTGGGAAATCTCAGGCTTCGGAGTCGCAGGCGTTGGTTTTGAAGAGGGCTTAAATGCAAAACTGAACTTGCCAGCGCCACTGCTCGGCTTGGGGGTAGGCTGTGATGAAACTTCAGTACCATCCTTGGATGCATTCATATGGTTGGTGGGGGCTGATGGCGCATCGTCCGGGTGATCCAAAGAGGCATTTTCATTAGCATCAGTGGTCTCGATATCTGCCGTGGCACCCGCATCCGCGTCCGCAGCGGTGGATCTCCGGTCTACCTCTTCATCTGACGGAAAACCATTGTTTCGAGGGGGAGGGCCAGGCGGCGGCGGCGGCGCCTGGAATGCAGGGTTCCTAGAAGTGCTTTTGAAGCCAGAGCCACGATAGCCGCCCCGATTTGCAATGGGCGCACCACGAAAGCCACTCCCACGATGACCCCCTCGATAGTTACCCTGAGGACCAGTGGGCGCAGCATAAGGGGGTGAATGCAGCGAATTTGCATGGTAATGATTCTGTGATCCATTCTGAGGAGGGCCACTGGGAGGGTAACTGCTGCCAGCGTGAGCATACTGGGGGGGATATTGCCTGTTTATTTCCATTAGCAAGGATAAATACAAATATCCAGCTTTGAACCTACTGCTGAGCGGAGTATTGGTGATTCCAGCCAGAACGGCCTGCGCCGTATGATGACGGAGATGGGGAGTTGTGAAAAGAGCCCGAGTTCTGGGGAGACTGGGAATATCCTCGAGGGTCATTGCTGTGGTGGGATTGATGTGAATAGGTGGGGTTGTATCCTCCTCGGTAACTACTCCGAGACGTCATGTCGTCGTCGATGTCGGACCGCGAAGCGTGATGCGGTTCGGAAAATTCTTTGCCTCGTTTTCGATCACGATGGGCCTGGGGAGATGGAGGCCTTGGGTCTCGATTTGCTTGTCGGTAATCGGCGTCGACTCGGGACCGGTCGTCAGCAGCAGTACGGACCGTCAATGTTGGCTCGGTCACACGCGATTGCGAACCCCTGCGATTGGAAAATGATTGTCGACTGCTGGCAGGTGGTGGAGACCGTTTCCGCGATGGGCTTCGAGGGGCTTCGGGTTTGTGGCGGTGCCGTGAGTCGCGTCGGGAATGTCTCCTGTCGGCCTCGGATCTTGCTGGAGAGTGGGAGGGAGATCTATGTCTTGAATGGTGGCGGACGTCGTCCTCGACTCGGGAAGGAGATTTGTGGGAAGAGCGATGGTGACGCGGTGAGGAGCCTCGGCGTTCGGTGGAATGGTGTCTTCGTCGCTTGGATTCGGGCTTGGACCCTTGATCTCGACTGCGCGGCGGCGGACTGTGCGCTTTCTTGTAGCGTTTCCTACGTGACGAGCTCAAAGACCGGCTGCGGCTGCGGCTCCGACTTCTGTGTCGCTTGGAGGACGACGGTGAGCCGAGCCCCCCACGGTCACGATCTCGGTCTCGATCTCGATCTCGGCCTCGCTCACGGCTACGGCTACGGCTGCCCCGAGTTGTCCTGGCTTTGGCCTCAGAAGAACGCGCCTTGCTCTCACGATAGCGAGGGATCAAGTCGTCCGAATCGGCAGGTGGGCGCGAAGATGCAGGCCGCTCCCGCCGGGAATAGTCCCGGCTGCGGTCTCGTGAGCGATGCCGGTGCGCTGGCGCTGAGTCTCTGGGGCGATGGTGCTGGCGAGAGGCGTAATCCGAGCTGTGACGGGCCCCGTGGGGAGGAGATCCTGGTCGATCCGAGGATGTCACTCCTCTGCCAGATCGAGGCCGTTCTCTGTAATCATAACTTCCTCCGTCGTCTCTCATGGCAGCATGTCGAGGGCGACGCGGAGGCGATGTAGTCTGCCCCATTGGGACCTGCACCTCGTTTGAGTTTTTAGCGTCGCAGCGCTGCTAAATCGCCGCACCTTAGCCGGAGGAGCAAGGGTCGAGGCATGTCCCCGTCCCACAGCCTGGGACCGACGGCGAAGCAATGAGAGTTGTGAGGGTAGAGTGCAGGGCAGTAGAGGGAGGATAAAAGAAGAGAAGAGATGGAGAAAAAAAGAAAGGCGTCATGGGGCCCCGGCGCCGCAGGGCCCGACATCCCCCCAGAGCTGAACGCCGTCATGATGGTTTTTTCGCGGCCGTCGTTGGATGCCCTGAGCCTCAACCGTGGCTCTTCCCCAAAGCAGCCCATCCCGAAATCCGCCACGCCCAAAAAGCCACCAAGTCTCCCGGACATGCACTTGCAAGCTTTCACCGTCATGGCAGTTTTTCTCATGCACCTCCCCTTCACTTCATATCCCCAAGACATGCAGAAGACAGCCCACTACTGCCAATCATCTCGACTGGCCAGAGCATGCTCAAGCCGTCATCAACCAGCAACAAATCGCTATATACGTATCCCGGCGGATCATTTACGAGACTTACCGTGGGCATCAATCGCCGTTCTAACCCTGTCTGCCACGCATCTTCGCCGGCTACCTCGTGACCGTCGATTTGTGATGCATAGTCCAAGTGAGCGAGCTGACCACGACGTAACATATGTAGGGATGAAACGCGCAAGTTTGCGGTTTTAGCCCGCTCCCCGTGTCGCAAGTCTTCTTCTTGTTCCCTCCTTTGTTCCTTTTTTTCTTCAAATAAAGAAAAAAAATCATCCCCCCTTCAGCAAAATAGCCAATCATTATTCAGGATGCTTCAGGGCTGGTCAGCGTCACCGTTGACGCTGCAGCATCTCAACGGTATCCAAGTCAAAGAAACCCCTGCTCCAAGGCTATAGAGAAAGAATGCCGAGCAAGCAGAGAAATAAAATCTGGGTCCATATGAGCCGCAAATGGCCTCCATACCGCCAAATCCGGCACCCAGAACATCTGACAAGACTTCTCGACAAGCGAAAGGCGACAATTGATTGAAAAATAAGTCTGATGTTGAGAGCGCAATATATCCGCATGGCCGGGTAGCGATTTATCCGTCTATGCAAAGTCGATTTCTCCTAGAAAACTAGCCATCACACGGTGGTGCCGTAGGCGTGAAGGAGTTCGCAAATGCACAGTGAGGCGATTTACAGGTGGTTTGTTGCGACGTAGACAATAAGGTTGTGGTGGAGGATTGGCGAAACTTCATCAACGGGTTGGCGGTATTGTATCATGCCTTCTTCGAAAGCCCCAGCGAGCCCATACTTGATCAGTGGGCCGCATCCAACGTATCGGCTCGTGTAGGGAAACGATATTCCGGGACAAGGCTCCAAATCGCTCGTCAGGGAGTCAGAAGCTCCCGGCTCCTATTCACACTCCCCCCGCTCCTGGCAGGCAGTGACATAGAGTCCCAGAGAATAATCATGGCTCTTACTCTCCAGACGATTTCGACAGCCACAGACGTCGCATCTTGTTGAGCGTCGATGTGGACTCGTTGCGTGGTGATGCTGCTTTGCATGGTAGAGTCTCTTTCGTGCGAACCCACACCAAAAAGACGGCTAGATCACGTGATGGATCCCGTGCACGGCGACGGAGTGCCTTCCCAACACATACTAGTCCCATAGTGGGGGTGCTTTATTTTGCAAAATGCCGGGAGTGATTACAGCATCTCAGCAGAGGTACCTTCTGTAAATCGAATCCGCAAAAATTGGCAAGCAGTTCAATATTTGCTATAGTCAGCACTTAAGAGGACGGGAACTTAAGATGATGTGGCTAAGACACAAAGCACCTTATATACAGGTAGAGAGTTGATAACGCCCAGTAAACTCAAGCCATTTAGATGGATGCTGCAGTAAACAACACGAGCAATATAGTATTGCGATGTATCCCAGTCACTTCATGTCTTAATCTGTAGCACTCTTGCCCTCTTAGCATTTACTTGCCGCGGTTTAGTGAACGCGCAGCCTCGGAACGTGGGTGGGCCCTGCAGTTTTTGATGCCAAATGAGTGATTCGTACCTCGCTGTACGGTGTACTCTCTGTTTGCCAGGTATTGCCACCGCCATGGGCGTACTGTCTACCGGGCCAACAGGGATTCCGCGTCAAGGACACTCTTGCATGTGCAACCCTCGTTATCAAGAAGCGGGCTTTTTCCCTCCCTGCGCCTATCCCATCTAGATAAAAATTCAAGTTTTACTAGTTATGTCGGTAGACGCCGGTTTTGTTCTAGATTGAACTTCCCCCTACTGCTCTCTTATACACCTTCAAGCCCTTTCTTTGTGACAATACATGTGCCTCGGGCTGCGCAATTGGGTGATTCAATCGTTCAAATTCACAGCAATGGAGTGGCTTGGGAGGGCCAAGATTGAGTTCACTCATTCGCCAACTCCAAGGACGATCAAGGAAAAGGATGGCAATGAGACGGATCTCCTCAAGATCTGCGAGTCAAATACGCCACCATGCCAACTAAACCCACTGTTATTCAACGGCCACCTCCAGACAATCTGGACAGCAACGAAGCCGCATGGACCCCTGGTTTATTACAAGCGCAAGATCTTCGAGGCTGAACACGAAGCCTACGCAGGGTCCTTTGCTGTCGATTTTGTCGTAGAGCCTCACGATGGTCGAGACGAGGGCCTACCGCCCCGGACTATCCACTACTCGGAACAAGAGTTCGCCAACATCAGCTCGGATGATGCCAAGCCTATGCTAGTGGTGCTCCATGGCCTTTCAGGCGGCTCTCATGAAGTTTACCTGAGACACACAATTGCTCCTCTCCCAGCACAAGGCTGGGAGATATGTGTGGTGAATTCCCGAGGCTGCGCAGGCAGCAAAATCACCAGCGGCATCTTGTACAATGCACGGGCAACGTGGGATATCAGACAGGTGTGTTTCCCCCCCTCAGAATCAGTTGATAAACACGGAGAGCTGCTAACAGATTCACAACATAGACGGTCAAGTGGCTTCGGAAGACATTTCCAAACCGCCCGCTGTTTGGCATTGGCTTCTCCCTCGGTGCCAATATTATAACCAATGTAAGTACCAAAATCTCAATGTCTAAAGCCCTACCCCCTAGTTTATCGTTTCCATATGCAATAATAGCTAATCTGTCCACCAGTATTGCGGTGAAGAGGGTTCGGATTGCCTCTTCAAGGCTGCTATTGCCTGCTCAAGCCCCTTCAGTCTGGATATTGCGAGCAAAACAATGACAAGCACCCTTATTGGAAAAGAAGTCTACAGCAGAGTAATGGGCAGTAAGTTTTCCTCCCAAAAATGCACGCTTGAACCGAGTCATAACCCATTGTAGCTGCCATGAAAGCCTTGATTGAGAGACACAAAAAGGAGCTTAAGCAATACACCAACTTGGATTTCGCTGCTATTGCAAACACCACTTACTTATATGAGTTTGATCGGCAAATCCAGTAAGAACGCCTCTCAATTGCATTATCCATATGTTTTATACTTATAGTTACCTAGATGTCCCACATGGGGATACCCAACCGAAACCGCTTATTACCGCGACGCTTCTTCGGCCGACGCCATCCTCTCAATCAAGATACCTTTCCTAGCGATCTCAGCCATAGATGATCCCGTACGTTCTTCTCTCCTAAGAATACTAAAGTCTCGAGAAATTAACACTTTTTGTAGATTGCGGTCAAGGAAGCTATTCCATTCGAGGAGTTCCGTCAGAATCCCAACACTATTCTGCTCACCACATCTTTGGGCGGCCACTTGTGCTGGTTTGAAACTGGAGGATCTCGTTGGCACCCTCGTCCGGTATGTATTACTATACTTCCACCTCTTAAGTGAAATTAACATCCAGAGAACCCATCGCCACTAACATGACTGGTGTAGGTGTGCAATTTCCTGAACCATATGGCATTCAAGGTTGATCTCGATAGTGTCGTGCCAATGGATTATCCCGCTAGAGCGCAGGCGTTTTCGGGCTCTGATTATGACCCAATGAGGCGTAAGATGAACATTGTGCGGAGTTAGGAGGCATTGCGCTTTTTTTCCCTTACCAGATAGACAAGATTATGAACCGTATAGAGAGACATAAAAGTAAGAGATGGATGGGTTTCCTTAATAGATAGGCTAGAATTAATACACGATATATGCGGCTTCGGCAGCCTTGGCGCTTGATCCATCTTCTATAACCCAGTGCGGCTTCGTAAAGATACCACCAACCTCTCTTAACTGCTGACTGAATGCTATTGAAGCCTAATCAAAACTAATTACCTCGCTTCTTCCATCGCTAACTCTGTAAAGGGGATTGTAGTGGTTATAACAGGTCCCCCAATTCATTATTCTCAAGGAGAGGGTAAAAGCTCCCATCCCCATTTGTTATATAGTGATATTGTAATTTTCCCCTTATTGCATGATTGTACTCGATAATGGGGCAGGTTACTGGTTTTTTGCTTCTTCGGCCGCCCATTCTTCCTCGGTGAAATGATAATACTGCGAAAGGCCTGTGAATACTGCCCAAATCTCTGTAGTGAGAAAAAGGTGTAAAAACTCTGTCCCTAGATAGTTCATGATTGAGGTCCAAGTGCAGCCACTGAGCAAATTAGTGTCGCATATATCTTCGTAGGATAGCCCATTTCGCAAGCAGAATGCTTGTGCCACTAAACGTAGGGCAGCTGCGTCGTATGGTGTCATTAACAACCGAGTTACGGAATTGGAAAGCATATGTGACGCCAACAGTGCCGGGATCTGAGTGAGCAGCGTATCCAGATATGTGGGCAGAGAACTAACAGACCCTCTTGAGTCTGTATTGGCAACGCTTGGCCGCAACTCTGCACTCCATAACCCTTGGGGGGCGTCCGTAGACTCGGTCGCTTCGACATCAAAGCTAATAAGGGTAGCCCTTATCACGTCGTTGTCCTCCTCATCGCTCCCGTAATCATCACCTCTGGCTGAGAATATGCTCGGCCTACGAACAACTTCCATGCTCCCTGCGTCGGATGGCATCTGGCTATCCACGGGCGCCGCAGGGGAACCCCCTTCATTGCTGTGAATCTCACTAGGAGCCTCGTTCATAAAAGATTGTGACGATGATAGCGGACCCTGTGGTATTGTCTTGCCACGGAAGACTGTGCTGGGAAGTCGCTTGAAAGTCTCAGACCATATGTGTGGCTTCCAATCACGAACCATTCGCTGGGTCATAACAAAAACAAGAAATGGGGCATTGCATATTAAAGCACTGCCCAACCAATGCAAAATTGAAGAGAGTCCAAAGTTTTCGGGCGTCGGGGGAGCGACAATTGGTGATTCTTTTGTAAAGGGAATAAAATAGGAGGGGCTAGGCAGCAATTGGCTGCTTGGTATCAAGCCAACCCTTTGAAGGGATATATGTAGTTCCAGGTGAACTCGGATATATGACCAGACTTCATGAACACTAAAGCGAAACAATTAGCAATTCCTCAAAATCTATTACCAGAACGAGATGCGGGTCCTTACCAGCGCCTAGCAGTGAGCTTATCTTCTTCGCCAAACCACAGACGGGAGACTGTGAACTCGATATAATTCGACAACAGGTTTGCAGGAACACCAGAAAGAATATCCCTGGGGATCGAGAAATCTCGTCGTGCTTGCTGATAGAGCTCCCAGAATGGAATTCGGGAATACCGCTTATAAATCTGAGAATATCTCATTAGCACCAGCACGCAACCAATACAGAGTTCGTTGCTTGGGAAAGGGCGCTTCACCAGTATCCGATCTCTTAGTCCATTAATACCAAAAAGTCCGACTGCCTCTACACAGCGCTTAGCAGAAGATGCCAGCCTCAGTCCTTTGGCTTCTTCATAGGCGCCGTGTCGTCTCTGTGAATCGACTTCAGGGCCCGGGTTTTCAGGTTCAGCGATGCCAATAATAAACATGACCTGGTTGTGTGATCGGATAATGTCCCTGTTGATCCTCATAGTATCAGGATTGATTGGACGCCCGCCATGGTCGTATTGTTGGCTTGGCACCCGCGAGTCATCTTCACCTTCACCTTGGACTACATCATCAAACGGCGAACGGCCCTAATAACGTCAGAAGTGATAGGTTATAGGCCAGCTGATCATCTCATACCAGGGCCTGAGCCACGAGCGGGCCTTGCATCCCCATAGCGAATGACTTTAGAAGCGACCAAGCTTCTCAGCGTCTCACTTCATCCAAACATGGTCCACGGACGTGGAAATAGATGTAGATGTAGATGTATTGTACGATGATTAAAGTTCCAAGGTTGTATTTTGCCTCCCCGAATCTCTCACTATATACACCGGGGGTTGCAACTGGTTAACGCAGGAGCAGGTTGCCTGTAATTGAAGTGGACGTTGCCGGTTAAACAAGGGCACATTGGCGCGACCAATCATGTCCGAGCGGCATCGCCCTTGCGCATTAGCCCGGCTCTTATCTTATCGGAGCATCAAAAAATAATTCCTAGACAGGCACATTGCGCTTCCAGATTCCTCTTCACAGTGAGCCGAGTTCATCACCATGGCGACAAAACAGCCCTTGAAGACGACGTTCGACGTCGAGCGCGTCATTCGGCCAATCTACACTGGAGGGTCTGTTGCAATTGACAACAAGGCGCAGATTCTGGCCACAACTCTGGGCGAGGATGCCATTCTAACAAACCCCACCAATGGAAAGCATTTGGCACAGATTGAAGGCGTAAGTGATGCCTTGCAGAGAGATTACTTCGGATGAAAAGCTAATTTTATAAAGGATGGAGACTCCATTTCGACATTGACACGTTCGTGGACCCCGCGTGACTTTGGTGAAAGCAGAGACTGACATTTGTCTAGTAACGCCTTCCGGCTCCCACCTCATCGTTTGTTCCCGGTCGCTGTCTATGAGGATTTTCGTGCTTAAATGGTCCTCAGAGGGCGATTCGATCGAAGCATCATTGGTGCGAACACTAAAGCCTCATGCCACCCCTGTTATCGTTTTGGCGGTTGATCGCACAGGCACTCTCCTGGCGACAGGTGGAACCGATGGTGTGATCAAGGTCTGGGACATTGCCGGTGGCTATGTCACCCACACTTTCCGGGGACCATCGGTATTGGTTTCTGCACTGCGCTTCTTTGAGGTTGCGGCACGAGCAACACCCAATCGAAATCCCAAGGGTGCAAAGAACCAATCTAGGGCGGAAGATGAGGAGGATGAGGACGAGGTAGATGCCGTTACCACTACAAATTTCCGATTGGCTTCAGGCAGCCAGGATGGAAAAGTGCGGATTTGGGATCTGAACAAGAGGAGCTGCATCGCCAACCTGGATTCCCATGTATCTGACGTACAGGCGATTGATTACTCTCCAGCACAGCATGCTCTTGTCACGGCCAGCAGAGACAAGACCCTCATCTGGTGGGATACGAAATCGTGGAAAATTCGAAAAGTCGTTCCTTGTCTCGAGCTCGTCGAAGCAGCGGGATTCCTGGACGATGGAAACCTCACATTCTCCGCCGGAGCCAACGGCTGTCTCCGCATCTGGGATACCGACAAGGGCTCAGAGCTGACGCCGAAGCAATCCTCCAAGAGCGAAGAAGAAGGAATTATTGCTGGCATTTACCGACCAGAACTTCCTTTCATTCTCCTGGTTCAGGTTGATCATACGCTGGCTTTGTACGAGCTATCATCGAAGGCTACAACAACAAGCTTTGCTACACCTGAGCCTTTCCGCCGAATATCCGGCACGCATGACGAGATTATCGACATGGCCTATCTCCTACCCGACCACTCACTACTTGCTTTAGCCACGAATTCAGAAGACATACGCTTGGTATCTGTGGCTGAATCCAAAAAGGATGGTCAGGAGATGACATGGACAAAGTCAGAGACTCCATTCTTTGGCCAAGTTGTGGCCCTGTTACGTGGACATGAGGATATTGTAATTGCTCTGGATGTTGACTGGTCCGGGCATTGGGTCGCCACTGGAGCTAAAGATAATACTGCAAAGCTATGGAGAATCGATCCCGCCAGTAACACCCATGTCTGCTGGGCTACCTTCTCAGGACATGCGGAATCTCTTGGTGCTGTGGCCTTGCCCAAAACTGTTCCTGCCGAAGGGTCAGCGGCACGAACCGACCCTCTCAATCATCCACCTCCTTTCCTTTTGACGGGATCACAAGATCAGACGATCAAGAAGTGGGAGATATCCCGAACCCCCCAGCAGCAAGGTCAAAAAACAAACGCCCGATCTGTCTTTACGAGAAAAGCCCACGACAAAGACATCAATGCGATCAATGTACACCATACCGGCCAGCTCTTTGCATCTGCTTCGCAAGACAAGACCGTCAAGGTGTGGTCGGTTGAAGAAGGAGAAGTTCAAGGTATCCTTCGTGGTCACAAGCGAGGAGTATGGACGGTGCAGTTTTCGCCTGCTCAAATGCCTGCTTTGCAGGGAGAAGATGGCCCTGTCACAGGCAAGGGTGTTATTCTGACTGGCAGTGGTGATAAGAGCATCAAGCTTTGGAATCTTTCAGACTATACTTGCATTCGTACGTTTGAAGGACATTCAAACTCCATTCTCAAAGTAGCCTGGCTCAACATGACGTCGCGCTCGGAACAGGCCAAGGGATTGGTGCAGTTCGCAAGTGCCGGCGGTGACGGGCTTGTTAAGATTTGGAATGCAAACTCTGGAGAAACTGAATGCACTCTGGATAACCACGAAGACCGAGTGTGGGCCTTGGCTGTGCATCCAAAGACCAATGCAGTCGTCTCTGGAAGCGGTGATTCTACCGTTACGTTCTGGAAAGATACAACGTCTGAAACTCAGGCAGCAGCATCTCAAGCAGCACTGGAACTCATCAAACAAGAACAGGAGCTTGAGAACCACATGCACGCTGGATCTTACAGGGAGGCCATTACTCTGGCCCTCCAGCTGAATCACCCTGGACGGCTGCTCGGCCTTTTCACCTCTGTTGTCACAACTAGCAAGCCCGAAGAGAGTAGTCTGTGTGGCATCAAGGCCGTCGACGAAGTCCTTGCAACGCTTTCCGATGACCAGATATACATGTTGTTGTTGAGGCTGCGAGACTGGAACACAAACGCTCGCACAGCCCCAGTGGCACAGCGCATCCTCTGGACGCTGATCAAGAGCTATCCGGCTTCAAAGTTCTCGAACTTGCCGGTCAAGGGCTCAAGGGGAGAGAAGAGCTTGAAAGATGTGTTGCACGGTTTGAGGGTGTACACTGAAAGACACTACAAGCGCATGGAGGAATTGGTGGATGAAAGCTATCTGGTAGAGTATACCCTGCAGGAAATGGACAGCCTCGCCCCGACGCTCCAGGGCGACACTGTCATGAGTGGTTAGACTTTCAATTGCATAAAAGACATATATGTGGTAGTATATAGTTGGTATTTTACTGGCTGACAGGATGAGGTGATGTAAGTGGTCATTTCCAAGTCATCATATTATAGCGAAAGGGTTAGATAAATAAAAGGGTAGTAATACATTCAATCTATGAACATGTCGATAATTGTTTCTGACGTTAATCACTGCTGGCTCTGAACAATGTTTTGTCTAAATGAAGTGTGAGGGCCGAGGGAAAGGAAAATGTAGTCTAGGTTAGCAGCAGATCATGAGGTTGAATAGATGGTAGGCATTCTGAATTTACAGGTTTCTAAAAGAGCCCAGCCGACTATGATATTATCTAAGAAAATCGAAATAGTATTAAATGAGCTTATATTCACCTCCAAACTGTTTACAAACAGAGGAATCATCTCAACCGCAAGAGATATAACAAGGTGGATGCTGTCATCTCTACCTAATAATAGCAGCTGCCATGTCGCTGGACTTTTAGGCTACCGGACCCACTGACATTTTCCATTTCAGCCTTGTGCCAATCAACCAACCTCATTGTCCATTGAATTCTTATCGTAGCATTGCTCTTCTTCAAATACACAGCTCCTCTTCCTTCTTCCTCCTTCGTGAGCCATGTCTAAACGACAAGCTTCGGAAGCTCTCGACGAGCTTCAGGACGTCGCATCGCCCGCGTCCAAGCGATCTCGAATGGGCGACCTCGACTCGCCTCTCGCAAACAGTCACGACGATGCGCAAAGCCTTGAGCAGGACGGGGATGCAAGAAACGGGCGTCCAGAAGATGAAGACAGCGAAGGCTTTGATGACGAGGACGACGAAGCTCACATGACGGCTCCTGTCCGGCAATCGGGGCCGGCCGACGGATACGACGACCTCTATCTCGACACCATCGACCGCAACGTGCTCGACTTCGACTTTGAGAAGCTGTGCTCCGTCTCCCTTTCCAACATCAACGTCTACGCATGCCTCGTCTGCGGGAAATACTTTCAAGGTCGCGGCGTAAAGTCGCACGCTTACTTCCACTCCCTGGACGAGGACCATCACGTCTACATCAATCTCGAAACCCAAAAGGTCTACGTCCTGCCCGAGGGCTACGAGGTCAAGAGCAAGTCGCTCGACGACATCAAATACGTCTCCGACCCTAGATACACCAAGAATGAAGTCATTCAGCTGGACCGTCGCGTCAACCACGTCAGCTGGACGCTCGACGGCAAGGAGTACACGCCAGGGTTTGTCGGCATGAACAACATCAAGGAGAACGACTACCTCAACGTGGTGGTACAGGCACTGTCACACGTCTCCCCGCTGCGGAACTACCTTTTGCTGGAGGACTTCTCCAAAAAGTCTGAGCTCGTCAAGAGATGCAGCATCCTGTTCCGCAAGATCTGGAACCCGCGCGCCTTCAAGTCCCACGTCTCGCCGCACGAGCTCCTCCAGGAAATCGCCCTCCTCTCCAACAAACGCTTCACCCTCACGAACCAGTCGGATCCCGTAGAGTTCCTCTCGTGGTTTCTCAACAATCTCCATCTAGGCCTCGGCGGCAGCAAGACGAAGCCGGGCAGCTCCATGATACAGCGCACATTCCAAGGCAAGCTCAAGGTCGAATCCCAAGCCATCACCGCGCGAGCCGACGCAGGCGACCGTCTGCGCTTCGAAGAGGCCGCCGAAGTCAAGGTCGACATTGTGCGCTTCCTTTTCCTGACGCTCGACTTGCCATCAGCACCTCTGTTCCAGGACGAGCTGGAAAAGAACATCATCCCGCAAGTGCCTCTGAGCACCATCCTGAGCAAATACGACGGCA